CTAACTGGAATGTGTTGCTTAATACATGTCAAACATTTGTGATTATTATAAACCTGGTCCTGGTCTACTTAAGTTAATAAGTAAAATATATTTTTCCAAAAATGCTATTTTACTTCTATAAATTACTTGTAATGTTAAAAAAAAACATTTTTGATTGGTTGAATGCAATGATAATACTATGTTTGTTTTGTGGGTTAATTGTCCTGTGTTTTTTTGCGAAGCAGTCTCCTTCTCTTCTTGAGGTAGCTGGTGGCTATGTTACTGAACAACCCCTGGAAGGCCCATTGCATGTCATTCAGAGCAATAGGTAAAGTGTCTAACATAAGGACACAACCATCACACCACAGGCCAGTCCATTTTTTAGCTTCCTGACAAACAGCCATGGGAGATAGTGTCATACCACGAGCCTAATGTCTTTACATGAGGTCACATAATTAAGCCAGCAAATCATTGTCTGAGCCATTGTAGTGTCTATAACACTAAAACATCAACAAAAAAATCGCAAACTGCAAACAATGAAATAAGAATTTTCTAGGAAATATCACAAATTTTATCCTTCCATGTGGGACAGATTTGGTAAATTAAATTTATGCAAAATGGAAAAATGGAAGGATTAATTTCAGTTTTGAGGAGTCTCTTGGCATCCACTGAGATTTACTAATAGATGTCATAATCAAACCATCTATGGACAAGGTTTCTGCCTGACCTTATCTGTTTCAACATCTCCAAACTGTAATGAGTAGTTTCTGGAGAGACACTTGATGGGTTGGCAGATAGTGCAGTGGTGGCACACTTGCCTTTCATGTAGGCTACAAGGTTTTCAATATGTAAAAAGGTATGGGGTCAGTAATCTGACCACATAAGTTTTCTCCAGGTACTCCAGATTCCTCCCACAGTAAGGCCCCTCTTGCATGTTCATCTCACCAACAGTATGGACTGGTTTAAATTAATACAACCTGATTCTCAACTGCTTTAAAACAGATGAATTTTAAAGTTAACACCAAAATGATTTCTCACTGATAACTGAATTCACACTGTGACCTGACTTAGAGGGTACCGACAGCTGCAAAGGTCGTTCACCATCCTGTTAGGATACAAAAATGTCAGAAGATTCATAAAAAATACTAAGATCATCTAATGTTAGCATCATAATGATATAATTGGGTTGCTCCCAGCTGTGACCTCAGCCTTATGGAACCATACTGCAGAGATGTGATACATTTCACTAAACAAAAGGCCCATGAGTCCACAAGAGGTCCATACAATTTCAATATATCCATCTATAATATATCATTAACAAGAGGCCCATGGGGTCACACAAAAGTCCCTCCAGTTGTAATACATCCATTTATGACATATTCCTGAACAAGAGGCCAATGGGGCCAGACAAAGTCTCTCTAGTTGTGATACATCCATCCCTGATATATCCCTAAACAAGAGGCCCAAGTAATCAAAAGAAGATAAAGAGAATATTTCAATATAATTTGTATAAATAAATATCAATATGTACTATCAAACAGCCATTAATGGTTAAAAGCACTAATGCATACTGCCAAAATGAATTTTGCATTACACATTGTTGTAAGGGAAAACACAAGTTCATGTCATGTTGATTAAGCCAACAAAGGTTCAACGTAAAAGGTTGAAAACTGATACAGATCATGAACAACAGGTTACTCTTCAAAATACTATCAAACCTATTCAGGAAAATACAACTTCATTTCATGGTGATTAATCCTACCAAGTTTGAAACAAATTGGTTAAAAAACTGAGAGAGGAGTTCTTCGGACAAGATTAACATGATGGAAATATCAAGGGAAGTAACTCTTTCAAATACAGTTGAATCAATGTGCCAGTCAGGAAAAGACAACTTCACATACTGGTGAATAATCCTACCAAGTTTGTAAAAGATTTGTTGAAAGTTGTGAGAAGAGATCTCTGGACAAATAAAACTAAACGACAATGTGCTGTCAAAATTTTTGAATGTCTTTTAAAAAGGTGGTATGCCACTGGTTGTATTCAGGTATGAAAAATAGAGTGGTAGCAGAGGAAGTCTGCACTTGTTTAAAAGGTAGCAAATGTATACAACTGGGATTCAAGCCTGAAATTCTAGAGACAGTCTTCAACCATAGTCAGTGATGAAAATGAACTTAAAAGTCACAGAAAGGCAGGTTAATCATTTCAATGGAGTCATCCCTGATGATCAGCAAACATGCTCTGGGCATCACAACATTTTTCACCTGCATGTTCACCTGTAACCTGTATTAGATACTGTGATAGATATTATATTAAATGCCCTGATGAGTGAACTTCAATTATCATGTTGTTAGTTTCCAATCAATTGGTAGAGACTTAATTGTAAAGGTTAAAACGATCATCTCTGCAAACTTACATATTATAAATAAATGAACACTTTGACATTTTTATCAATCACTTTAAATTCTTTTACAATTATTATCTACCAGAAGCTGTTATGGTTAAGTGACTCACGACATAAAACCCTCACAGAGAACTGAAGCATACAGGTATGTATTGTAGTTTCTCATAAAATCAAAGTATATTGTTTTATAACAAAAAAACCTTCAAAAAACAGGCTCTTTATTCGTTAAAAAAATCGAGAATCTTCACAGCAACATCTGTAGCATTTTAGTCATATATTTGTACTGTTTGCATCATATTTCCAAAGGATTTCCATAGTACCTCTGAAGTTAATATAGCATGGCCAAACCATTACCATAGCACTTCCAACCGAGATAGAAAAGTAAGCATATAAAGGTCTATAGCAAATATTGTCACCAGACCTTTGACCACTAGTCAAGGTGAGTTGAGACAGCAGATTGAAAAACTGCATTGATGTATGGATAGGGGAGGGCAAATCTTGTGTATGTGTCAAACACTGATGTCATCTGTGATGGTTGAATTTCTAAACATCCAATCTAGTTACAGCAGTGGTAACATTCAAAGTAAAGCTTTGCTAAGCACTACCCGACTCATATTAGCTTCATCAGTCAAAACAAACTCATACTACCAACATATGAGACCACGGGAACTTGGCACACATTCCAAACCCATAGTCCATATATATATATATAGCGTCTCAACAACGTTTCCGCACCATTATATATTTTGGAATAGCCAGTGCACTCGGTTGATTTTGGTTACTGTAACATGTCACATTTCCAGAAAAAAATTAGATAATTGTGATTACAACTATTCACCATACAGAGATCCCAGAGGGATTTTGGCACCCAACATTGTTTGATCTTTATTTGTTCTTTGAAAGATGTATCTTTTTTCCAATTTCTTCTCTGTTTTTGCTCTTAATAAGAAATTGAACATTAATCCATTGCAGAAATAGTAATAATACTCTTTAACTGTCAAATCCAAAATGATCACCTGGAAGCCATTTTGTGATCATACTGATCAGTCCTAAAATCAAATGGGAACAACAAGGGATCAAGGAAAATTACACATGGAAATTGGAGAAAGATCTATGTAGTAGTTTTAAAGAAATAGCACCAACAACCTTTCAAAGTAAAAACCCAAAATGACCACCTGTCAGTCAGTTTTGTATTTCTGATCTTGTCCAAAATCAAAAGTGCACTTCAAGGGAAAATTTGAGAGAGACACATTGTGTGCTTCTCAAGAAGTAGATATAACAAACTTTCAAATCAAAATCCAAGATGGCCGTCTTTCAGTCATTTTTTCTTTCCTGATCAGTTCCAAAAGTAAACAGGCACAACTAGGGACAAAGGGGAAACTGCAAAGGAAATTTGAGAGAGATCCATTGAGTACTTCTCAAGAAATAGTGATAACAAACTTTACAAGGCAAAATCAAAGGTGGCTGCCTGCCAGCCATTTTGTTTTTCTGATCATATGAAATTTGAGAGAGATCCATCCAGAACTTCATCAGAAATAGAGATAACAAAAACCCAAGATAGCCACCTGTCTGTCATTTTGTTTTTCTGATCAGTTTAAAAATCAAACAGGTACAACTAGGGACCGAGGGAAACCTACATATGAGCAATAACAAATATTGTATACAGACTACAGATGGACCACTAATGTAGGTTGATACGAATAGCCCATTCTCTGATGATGGTGGGCTAAAAATATTACGAATAAATATTTCATCAACAATTTTCTGTTTCGTTTTTTACACATTTTTACAAAAATACCCAGATATGATGAAATAACCAATCAATCCATCTTTGAATGTCAGATTTTTGTTGTCTGTCAAGTGACTGCAAACACATAAACACAGATTTCCACCACCTTCGCACCATAATTGTATTTTGACTTTTATTTCCACCAAACTGTCATTCCCGTTCAAACAATGAATGATGTCGTTCATTTCAGGTGAGCAAATTTGAGATCACAGCCGTGGATAATTTTTTTAGACAAGTACTGGTCTGTCATCGGTCAGTTTTTAAATATATATTAGAGTATGAAGACATTTCAAGTCATTTCTGTATTAGCTTGGTGGCAGTTCATCGACATAGCGTCACTAGCAAAAAATGATTCTTAATGTGTCCGAAACTAATGCGCAGGGATACATGTGTGTTTGATCAACAAGATTGTCTAATATCTGTTATGACACGTGTAAATAAACAATTGACTCTCAAGGTTTGAGTTATTTTGTCAATATATTAAGGTCGTATATCATAAAGTGGAATGTTTAACGACAAACTATTGCGTTTGTTTACGTACGGGGTCTTCGTATTTCTTATTGCCCGCCATTACTTCTTCCTACGATAACAATCCTACCTCCTACATTAAAAACATAGATAGGGAGAACTTATTATATTATCATGGGAACCTGTACTGTATTATTGATAAAGGGCATTATAGATTGAAATTATGATAGAAAAAGATTCTTCTTAAATAATTTATTATTTTATAATCAAAAGAAGTATTTCTTATTGTTAGCATATCTAGATTTTGGCACTGTTTCTACTATAATCAACGCTCCCCTCCATCACGGAAGTGTTCCATGTGTCATGGCGCACATTAGGAAAAGGAAAAGCTCCGAAATGATTCAAAAAGACATTGAATTGGACAGGTTGTTGGTGTTGGCATCGAAAGAGGGCGATTTCGAAGAGGTCAAAAATTTAATCGAACTCGGTGCATCACCTGATGCAACCGAATACAACAAAAATTTGTTTTATGCATCACAAAATTACACCACCCCTTTACAAAATGCTGCTGCGATGGGATATCCTCAGATCGTCCAGTATCTCATTGAAAAGGGAGGTAAGCATTTAATAAGTAGTCAGTTATATTCAATAAGACACTACTGTTTATAACTAGCTTTGTGTCTGATATGACTGACATGTGCATGATTTCAGAAAATTCATAGTCATCCGAAAGTCCGCCTTTCTATTTTGCTGAAAACACCTATTAAAACTATATATGACTTATATTTTTAAAGGAGTTTAAAAATTGTGGAATAGGGGTAAGGGGAAATATAGTTACTTCACATATGTTGCACACTTCTCACTTGACAAGAGGCAAAGGCATTGTGGTATTGCAGTTATTCCTAATTATTTCGACGTCCTATCGACTTTTCCTCTCGGCCATTTCGTCAATTTTGTCAATACATATACAATACAATAATTGAATTTACAAAAGAAAGTACAGTATACATGTATTAACAAAAGGAATTGGACAACAGGCTTATAGCCTAAATAAGTCTTTTCCTACAAGTTACAAGTTCCTCTCGGCCATGATTAGGAGTCTATAAACTTCAGAAATCAGACCATGTAACCAGTTGGGTAAAATAAGTGAGCAGTTCCAGGGTTGATATTCAGACAAAACATATGGAAAGAAGTTGTCATCTTTACATACTTTCTGTGAACAGATAGAAAGGTCTTTTTCTATCTTTTTGGTCAAAGACTTTGTGAAGACAGTGGCTGTGTTTTTTCATTCCTCTTTTAAATTCTATCAAACTGCAACAGAAGTCATTATTTGTTTCAATGCCTCAGCTAGGAATCGAACCCGGGACCCCTGGCTTACTAGTCTGACGTCCAACCAATCTAGCTAAAGAGAAGTTCTCTATAGCCAAGTGGTATATTGTGGTTAGTATTTTACCAGGGTAACATACTCCTCCTCCAGGAAATAACTTGTCCTTGAGTTTCCAGGGGTTACAGCGATGCTGGTGGGGCATGGCTTAGTACTATTTCCGGGTCCTTATATGGGCACAAATGTAACAGAAGTCATTATTTATTTCAATGCCTCCGCTAGGAATCAAATCCGGGACCCTTGGCTTACTAGTCTGACGTCCAACCAATCGAGCTAAAGAGAAGTTCTCTTTAGCCGAGTGGTATATTGCGGATAGTGTTTTACCAGGGTTACAAAACATGTTCATTGACTCCAGACGGTTATAAAAAGATAATAGAATGTCTGATAATTCAGATAAGTAGTGTACTGTGTAAGAGAGTTTGAATGGTACAGTTGCTTTTACACTAGCCATCTAGTAGATTAGTCATTGAGTTTTCTATAGCCCCTACATACACTAGACACTAGATATTTGAAGTACATATGTTTGCATGGAGTTGACATTCCATAAAAAAAAATGCACAATATACCTTTTGTTTTGGCGTATAGTACATGAACATATTTTGAATATAATGATATGAAATTATCTAGCCTTGTGTACACCTCTAAAGACTTTATACATTACAGCTGACATTAATGCCAAAGATCGCTTCGATGTGACAGCATTACATATGGCAGCAGAAATGGGTCACACAGACTGTCTACAAAAGCTTCTGGATGCTGAAGCATTATGCAATGTTGGAACCAAATATTCTAAACAGGGATCTTACACAGGTATTTCATTACTTCTAAACAACTAGGTAATAAATCTAAACTGCTTTCTGGTAATTAAACAGATACATCTTTGTTATTAAGATACAAAAAGAATAGTAGTTCCATGATCACTGACTTTACTTTAGGAGCTTGATTCCTAATAAATTATTAGTTGATTTGGTATGGCCTTAACATGTTTATATTTATCACTTTTCTAGAATAAAATAACAGAAGATTAAATATATTGTTATTGGAGGAAATTTAGAATGAGGCTTAAAGATGATTAGAAAGTTCACAACAGTTCATTCAGTATCCATCTAAAATAAGCTGCTAGCCGGTTCACTTAATCATTAGTCGTTTTATGATACTACCAGGTAAATAGCTATTTAAATGTATTGTCTCATTTGGGATTTTTATGGTAAAATTTATTTTTCCTTCTGCTTCAGCTTTTCCTCATGCAGGGGGCACAACCCCACTGCATCTGGCAGCTGCTAACAATCACATTGAATGTGTAACCAAGCTGATTTGGGACGGGGCAGACTATAATGCTGTGGACGAGTTTGGCCGCACCAGTCTGTACATAGCAGCTCAGAAGACATTTGAAGATTGTGTTCATGCTCATCTCAATAATGCCATATGGAAAGACATTTTATCTCTTCCTTCTAAACAGACAGGTATCAATTCAATATTTTGTTAGTTTATCCAGGACTTATTACTGTTCCTAAATGTCATGTCTGTTAATGTCACTTTCTACTTAATATCATGGTTTTCTTGAAACACTAATTTCTTTCCTATTTATTCTATGTAATCCAACATCTGAAATCGTCACTTATTTTCATGTGGGCAATGCTTAATATCACTTCATTTTGCTGACCGTCACAAAAAAAACCCCACATGTAAACCACAGGTAAGTGAGGACAGGAACTATGGATTCATGCCTGAAGGGTTAAACATGAACCTTAATTTACGATAAATTGTTTCGTTTTGTTTCTCTTTACAACCACCCATGTGGCACCAAACTGCAATATGTTACTGAATACTGAAGTTCAAGTAAATGAAATCATTTATAGATATACATTAGAGAAGTGGATAACTACATGAAAATAAATTTGGTCACATGGCACATTCATAATGCTTATCTTTCACTTAAGACATCCACAAGCACATGTGTTTTCTTCAGATATGTAAACCACTGGGTAATAAAAATACATGATTTTTTTCGATGAAAAAACAATAATTTTCTGTCCAGTGATAGTGCGATGCCTTTATAGTTTTCATTCACTTGCAATTTAAATTATTCTAACACATGTAATCTTAGATATGCCTAACTATTGATAAGGGATATTGACATCACAAATAATCACTCCATGGTCACTCTACATGTACTGCAGTTCTGTACCTGGTGTGGTAACATGTGGAGCATTTACCATAAAAATTCTGCATTTTTGTCGCAGGTGATACTCCTCTCCATGAGTGTGTGAAGAACGGCATGCTGTCCTGTGTAGAGTCCCTGCTGAAGCGAGGATCAGATGTGAACCACAAGAACATGGCTGGTTTTAGTCCTCTTCACTTAGTTGTTCAAGCTAATAAGACATTCTCTATGGACATGCTGAAACAGTTGGTCATGAATGGGTACAATACTGATGTCAACATCCCAGAGTCTCTTGGTAAGTTTATCGTTCTAAAGAGATATGTAGATGTAGGCAGGGTTTTCCATAATTTTGTTAGTAGTAGGCTGTGTAGTGAAAGTAGTAGGCTGGCCTGCCGTGTACATGTAGTCGTGTACGGAACATTATTACGGAACTGGATTGGTGTAGGCAGCCAAATGATCAAAGTAGCCGGTCAAATTGGCCGGCGAACGGCTCTTATGGAAAACCCTGTGTAGGTATAAATTCTCCTGGTAAGTTTATGATTCTTGAGAAATGTATACATTAGGGAAACCATGTAGATGTATGTATGGATTGAATGACTTGAATTATATATACGATATATTTCTTAAAAGTGACTTTCCAGAAACTGTTTGATGAATACTTAATATATTTTGTTGGGAGAAGTATCAAACCTGATTCAATGTCTCACTCTACTGGAATTTTACTGCTGCCAATGTCTGAATATATTGGGAAAATATTGTAAATTTTTCTTAAAAATTGGGAGGATGTTTTGCTTTTTGTTTCATGTGCTTCAGGCTAACGTCCACTCCATTATGTGTGTTTCCATGAGACCTCCGTTGTTGAGTAGTATGTTTTATGTGTTTATGGCTAATGTCCACTCTATAACATGTGTTTCCATGAGATCTCTGTTGTTGAGTAGTATGTTTTATGTGTTTATGGCTAATGTCCACTCTATAACATGTGTTTCCATGAGACCTCTGTTGTTGAGTAGTATGTTTTATGTGTTTATGGCTAATGTCCACTCTATAACATGTGTTTCCATGAGACCTCTGTTGTTGAGTAGTATGTTTTATGTGTTTATGGCTAATGTCCACTCTATAACATGTGTTTCCATGAGACCTCTATGGTTGAGTTGTGTGTTTCATGCCTTTCAGACTACAGTCAACTCCATAACATGTGTTTTCATAAGACCTTTATTGTTAAGTTATGTGTTTCAGGCTACAGTCCACTCCATTATGTTTGTTTCCATGAAACCTCCATGCAGGAGAGACGACCAGAAGCTGCTGCATTACTGATTGCCTATGGAGCCTCATATAAAATATTAAATCGGCAAGGCGATAACGTACTTCAGTACGAACTCCGTAACAAAAACACAGACAGAACAATTCTACATGCCATTGTAAAAAGTGAAGCTTACCTTCCAACGTTAGAGTCTCTTGGTGCAGTGTCAGCACACATATTGACCCCTGGTGCTCGTGATCCTGGTCATCAGGGAATAATGAATTTGAATCGGTCAGATGAACAGTGTGCCAAGTTGTCATGGTACCGTGACCTTTGTAAGGATCCTCGCCCCCTCCAACACTACTGCAGATGTGTGATTCGTAACACCATTGGAGTGAGGAGGCTGAGTAAAATAGATACTCTGCCCCTACCTACAACCCTTAAGGAATATCTGCATTTGACTTTGGAAGAGTTCAGATCGTGAGGTGTTGTATTTATTTTCATTGTTGATTTTTTCACATGAATATTATGAACATTTGTTGACATACTGAATCTCTGTATTAGGACATCAGTTGCTTATTATCATCATTTGCTGTAATAAGATATGTTTGACCAGTCATCACTGTGAGATCTATATGATATGACCATGTGTATCTATGCAGCAATAACCCAAGGAGCCAGTACATTATTTCCTACTCGAGAGTTAGGGTAGAGGGTTATTACAGGCGTATGAAGTAGGATTTGTTTATGATTTTGCAGCAGTTCGGTTTGACTTTTTACCAGGCTTATTGCTGGATAAATACAGTATTGAAGTAGTTTTGAACATAGATTGAGACGTCAAGTATCTTCGGACATATTTTTTAAATTTGTTATTCATATCATGCATTTCATAGTTCAGAAATTTCGTCACGCACATGACACTGAATTTTTGCTATTTCCAGATATTAAAGCAGTTAAATTACAGATTGTCATTCATATCTCATCGAAATGTGTTTTCTCTACTATTTGCATAATCAGTGCTAGAATATCAATGTTTACTGGGACCATACCATTCACACATCAATCCATGAAAGGTTTTTGTCAGCATGAATTCTGCTTTAATATGTATCAACCTCTAGTCACTAAATATATATATAATAGTGGGAGCAAATAGAGGCAGACAGGTGATGAAAATTGAATCTACTTTTTTTTCCCTCTGTCCAACTTCTTAGATGTATGTTTCTTCTTAAACATGTATATAGTTCAAGTTCAATAGAAAAAATATCAAGAAAGTATTTTCCACCTGGAGATGTAATCAATTAAATATCTTCTTAAATGGGAAAGCGATCAGTATTTTATCTAACGGTACATTAATTGTTTAAGTATATACATCAACACATGTGTATATACCAAACTGCAAACAGCAATATTTTTGTGGGTAGATATTTTTGCTATTCCAAGTATTTAAAATGATATTTTCTGTATGGAATGCCTCTGGGGCATTAGCAATGTAATTGATATATTTTCGCTGAGACTTGATGTTTTTGACTGGTGAAATGAAGCACTTTCTTTGAATAAGGCAGGTAAGTGGTATATATACAAAGTATTTTTTTTAGAAGACAGAAGTAGCAGTTAGTATTTTCTAGACATTCCCCTCAAGTGCTAATTAATTCAAGTATATGCAATATGTGAATAAGGTGAAAGAGTTGAGAGGAATACCTCAAGTCTTTAAGGTTTTATTATGACCAATGAATCCTAACAATAAACATCTGTAATAAGTTGGAAACTGTAATATAGGGTTTATTCTTTGCAATTATCAGGATTTCACATGAATTATGAGATTCTAATTTATTTACAGAGATACGAAAGTGCTGGTGTATTAAAGATCCTGTCTAACATGTTGACAGTTCCATGTGTTAAACTATTCAACCTTTTAGATGAATGTGAAAGTAGAAATAATATTATTTGTGAATTGTTTAAAAGTAGTATCAACCTTTTTAATTGATATCACTAATAATTTATAAGTTATTTCTACATCCATGTTTCTAATATTATCTTTATTTGAAGTTATATTAAAATTTCTCATAAATGTCGGTTTGATTTTATGTACTGTACCTTTTTGCGACTTTAATACAACTGAGAGGTTTCGTTTGCATGGAAAATTCAATAAATCCAATATCCGTTTTCAGATAAGGCTAACACATCCTAGTCCGAGTTGTTCTGAGGTGCTTTCAACTTCTTTTTTCGAAAAAAGTTGATGGAATACCAGAGAAACAAATACTAGACAAATGCACAAGGCATACATATTAATATTTTTGTATGGAATTCATTTTTAGCAGTCCAAACTTATCAAAGCTCATTTTTGCATCAACACAAATATTTCTATATCTACTTTATCTGATTTATTATGACTGTATGGCATTGGACAATGGTAGTCTCAACCTATAAAGCATGAATATGGAACATTCTGCAGAATATCTGTTTCAGCCATAACTACTGAATGGCTTGTGTGTGATAATAATTGAGTCATCACATTCAAGACCTTTACAGGGGCCCAAGGGGTCAGAGGTCGCATAACTTTATTGGTACTATATCTGCTGAAATTAGTCTAGATGCTTGTTTATCGATTATTGTATGTCTCCTCCCCCTCCCCCAAACCCTCCAGTATTTCAATAAAAAATTTAAGATGTTCATTATGCACTAGTAATTGACTGCATTGATGTTTTAGGGCAAATACAAGAAAGTCATTTTGTCTTTTTATAACAAACACTATGGTGTTGCTTATAATGTTAGAATTCACATTAATAATCACTTCTGTATTCAGTACATTTTATTGAAAGGAACCAAATTTGGTATATATGCAGACTGTAATAATAATAAAAAGTTAGATGAGGACCCTAGACTTTAAAAATGGTTTGTGCTCGTTTGTCTTATGGCCTCATTAAAGTTTTTTTTAGAAAGTAAAAGCTAGGACATAAAGACTGCAAGTTATTGTTGTTTTTTCTGTTAAATCTTTGAACACAAAATTAATTTTGTTTTGTTTTTTTTTAATTTAAGTTGATATTAATCACTTGATGTATGCTTTCCTTAATGTCAGAGTGAGGCATTAGCTCAGTCAGTTGAATGTTGGCTTACATTATGTATTGTTAAGGTCTGAGATGCATTATGTTCACTGCCTGAGATTGTTAACGTTTCTAAGGAATTTGAGAAATGGATGAGTCTGTGCTGATATGCTTGTGTCCTTGGGCAAGACACTTTACCCTTGCTCCAGATTGTTTGCCACAGGACTCCCATATGTTCTTCAGTGATATAGCTACCAGTTACTACAAGGAGACCTTGCCTTGAAGTAACCCCAGGCAGGGTGATTAACCCGTAAACATCTTTGCTCTGATGAAGGCAAATTGGCTTGTAGAAGAAGCAGTATCAATGCTTTATGTAATATGTATTACATGTGTCTTGCTTTGTTCTATAGCATTTTCCAAGCTATAAATATTTTATTTGAATGTTTTTGACCTGCAAGACAAGTAGACAAAAAAAAAATGATTACAAATATTATGATAAATTTTAACCAGAATGACCTATGACATTGAAGTTTACTTGAGATGTTTAATTTTGGACCTGTACACCTTCAGGTTAATTCTGAGGTAATTGTTAAGTGTATAGAGTACAGCTTAAAAAGTGATCAATGTATTTGTGCTCCTTACTGTAACATAGACTCATCTGTAATCTACATAACAATGAGAGGTGAACACGACTGTTTGAACTGCCTTGACTAGTTACAATTCAATTAAAAATATTGTTGTATGTACATCTGTAAATGCATGATGATTTTTAAGGGGAGATGACTCCACATAGTAAGTGATATTTTGTCAAGGGGAGAAATTCTCTACCAAGTAGGCGATGGTAGTTTGTCAAGAGGAGACAACTGTTCCAAGTATGTGACAATATTTTGTTTTCATTCGTTCTCTACAACTTATTTAAGTCTGACAGAAGTGCTTGTCAAAATTATATAATTAGAGTGTTTGAGTCTTTCATGTGTTGAGTATTCCAAAATGGAGCCATGTTGTATAGGGTAGAATTATTACATTATCCATTATCTGTATCTTACCTGTTATTGAGAACTGAACCAATTTATTACATGAACTGTTGGTTGTTAGTATTTGTATATAAAGTACATTTCATGGTATATATATATATATATATGGCATGTACACCACTTCAACCACACAAAAGAAATGTGTGATCAAATATCGTCATTTTTTTTCTAGAAAAGAAATGTCTGTTCCTGTTATATCATTATGAGATTAAAAATAAAAATAAAGATGCATTAATTTGTTTGTTTTATCGCCCAAATACTGGAATTTGATCAGTGATAAGTTTTATTTTATTAAAGTTTTTGGGTGACACAATGATAACACACTTTCACCTAAGCATCCAGGGACGATTCATGGAACAGAGGTGAAAAGGTCTGGGGTCACCTGCCGACCATGTGGGTTTTTCCAGGGTACTCGGGTTTCTTTCAACATTATGACCTCTTGCACTCTCCAATCCTGACCAACAAGCACTAGTTGATATTTTGTTTCCAAATTGGTGTAAATAAAGTTTATTTGAATAAGTTTTATGTAAGTGTAAGTAGTAAGGCCCATGGGCCAGTACAAACATAGTACAAATGTAAAATCTGCAAATGATCATATGGAAGAAAGGAAAGTTATCTTCATCATCTACAACAACAGCACCCAGGATAGACCTTGGAACTAGAGGTCACCAGGGATACTACCAGGCAGGATGCACTAAGACCAGGAAACAAATGCACATTCGAGGTGTTGATAAAAACTCAGCTGGACCACGTAAAATTCTGAGTTAAATCGGCAGTAGGTATAAGAACGGTGGGACCATCCCACATGAATTTCAGACCAGTAGTGGACTCTGCCATGGAAGTATTGAAAAAAGATTTGGAGCTGTCGGATAGCAATTCATGCAGCACAGCCTCCATAGCCAACCAATCTGAAGACAACACTGGGACCTACAGATACAGGTCTTCATTGAAAAATACTGTGTGCCTAGATGCTAATTTCATTTTAATTTCAATTTTTAAGTTTTATATTGATAAGTTATATTATATTTCTGGTCTATATTTTGTTTAGTATGATAACGTAATGGTCTATTTTACAACAAGATGGATAGGAACAGTGCAATTCCACCAGCTCTTTACCAGTAGACGTACCGTTCAGTAATAGAACACATTATGTAACTCTTTGTTACTGGTCTTAGTTCTGGTCATATGGCTAGTACAATGTCATAATGAACAATGTGAAAGAGTACCACATTTACATTACTTTATTGGTAAAATGTAAACCACAATTTGTCCTGAAGGAGCCCAAATGTTTTGGTAAAACCGGTAGATGTAGTGATAAAGTTATAACACGAAAGAAGTTTGTTGCGATCCTACTATTCTTCAATTGCCCTGCATACCTTGGGGTATCCAAGCAAGGGATTACAGAACCTTCGATACCTACATGAGAATTATGGTGTTGGCTCTACACCCCTAGTCATGTAAAATGAAATAGCAAAGGAGCTCTTCACAAACCATGGGATTCAAGTGAACATGACAATTAAAAAGGTAATTGAAATGAAACTCCACTTTTTGTATCCCAACAGATGTCCAGGACATAATTTGTAGAGAGAGATCTTGAGTATTTTTTGAGGGAGAAAATTATTTGAACCTTATTTGGCACAAAGTGTAACAGAAAATGATAACTGATTGTTTTTATGTTTTGATTTTTGCAGACAGATTTGCCCTGCTGTCACTTTACATTAAAGTAGGATATTAAGCACAATGTTCTCCTGTCTTCCTGATTTCTCTACATAAGGCATACTTTCATAAACCATATCAAATAAAGAAAATGAGGTCAGCCTACATTAAAATTTATTAATACCATTGTGTAATTTACAGAGAACGACATAATTAGTGATCAATCACACAAAACAAGATATATATCAAATGTAGAAAATACTACAGGTTTTAATGTTCAAATAGTTGTAACATTAAAATTGGTTTCAAACATCAAATTAAAAGATTCTTGTTTTACTTCGGGAAAACCTTATTCTACTCAGAAAACAAAGATGCCAAATTCAGCCTGTAATTCATCTCGGTTCAAAGTTGGTAATGTTATACACATATGCACGATATAGAATCACATTATTTAACTCATGTGGCTACAAAAGGTTGATTTAAGTCATTCCTTTGGATCCGAAATTGCCCATGTATTGTGACCCAAAGGCTTCTTGATCATTGGAAAGTCATATAGTATTTTAACAAATATGACCCATGTGACTTTATAAGTGGGCCTAGGTCATTCAGTATTTGATCAAAATCGTTTCTGTGTCCTTATGTCCTAATAATACAACTCTTGGCCTCATGGTTGCTGAGAATATGAAGGTGTCTTACTTTAACATAAGTGATCTGATTTTTGGGAAAGTAAGCTAATAAGCTAAACACTTTTGTGCATGCTAATCACCATTCATAATAATGAATCAATGTATCCATTTATATGTATAATTTGATAATTGAATACATATTATTTAAACCAAATAAACAATTATGTTTTAGATCAGTGATTTTACATAAAACTGTAGCATTTATTTCCAGTCGGTGTATCATGCATTTTAAAAAACAGAACGAGGGAGAGTTAGTAATATCTAGTATTCAACTTAAAATAGTTACAATATTTGGACCATGTCATTTACAGATTTTGTAAATGTCATAGGAATATGGTATGATTACAAAGTGGCCATGTCAAAGAGTTCCACCTATTTGAGAGAAAAATCATGACACTATAGGAAGAAGAATCACTCTATTTGCTAAGTGATTTGCCAAACCAACAACATTCACATATTTCAAACACAACTTTGAAAAAAATTATAAGGTTTCTAAGAACTACGTATACTGTTATAAATCATGCAGGTTTAAAAAATGATACATTAATATTCCATCCTTAAGTACACATCTTTCTGATGTCACTAACACTTATTTCAATAGGTCCTTATCCTTAAAGGTCACCGGCAATGAAAAAGAAAAAGTTCATTTTTCATGAAAATTATTTCAGATAATGTCTTAAAAACTAATTTTTCACTTGTTTTATAATATCCCTACACAACCATCACTGGTGTAATCAGACAAATTATAAAACTACCACATTATACATGTATGAGACTTCCACTGTGTTTACACCAGTCGCAATATATGAGACTCCTACTGTCACCACCGTCACAGATTTTGGGTGCTGAACATTCCCAAAAGCTACCAGCAAAAGTCAAAGCATGAACAGGTAATCAAACCACCTGTAGATGAACACACTTGGCTATAACTGAATCAAGAAGTGAAAATCGATTCAGGGTACTACCCAGGTGATATCTATGTCAAAATATAGAGACCTGCAAAATACTGTTGCCAGTGACCTTTAAGTATACACCTGTCTAATGTTACTAACACTTATTCTAATAGATTATCTACATTTTCCATAAATATGTACAAAGTTTGATCATGCTGTACAAGAAGAGAATACAGTGTTTAATTATTGTGATGATGACATTATATCTGATACTTGTAGATCTCGATAAATTAAAATAAAAGCTTATTGTGTTTAAATAAGGCAAATGTATCAACATGATACATTCTATGTATCCATATTTTAAAGCCAATCCTTGACAAGCAGTGACAAAATAACCTGAAAACTGTTTGATATTTCACTCTTGGTATTTATATCTTCTTCGTTAGAGTTGTAGTAAATACCAACATAATCAGCCTCCCTACTATTTATCACTTATAAGATAACATAAGAAAACTATATTTCTGATACAGGACTAGCAGACTCCTCTATACCAGACTCCCAATAAACAAATAAGTACATTTTTTAAATATTGCTATCTGGTATATATGTACACTGATGTCTAATATTTAAAAGAAAGAGAAAATTCTTGGTTTTCAGTTTTATCTCTTTTATCTTTAATGGAGTTAACATTTAATGGTGACACAACATTTTTTAATGCCCTACGAAAATCTGGATATTCTGTTTTGGGCCTGTTGTCTTGTAAAGGGAAGTGTGGGGGCATTTATTAGAGATGGATTTTTTTATCAGCACTAACACAGTATGTACTGCAATATAATTCATTATGGACAGAGAAAATGAATTAAAAATGAAACACTTACAATAATTCACACAGGTTATTTAACCATAGTTTTTTTCTATGGTTTTCTTAATTTCAGTATTTCAATAAGAATTTGAACAGATGTAGAAATATCACAATATACCCTTTCTCAGTGGATGAATATGTAACAGGCACCTATTTTTCAGCAATAAAATGATACATGTATTATTTGCAATTTAGAACTCAGACAAACTCATCATTCGCACATACTTTCACACCATAAATAAATTGTGTAGACTTTGTAGATTATAATCATCATGTAATTAAAATCTAAACACACACATAAACAAAACAAAAAAAAAAAGGAGAAAAAAAAGAAAAGTTGAATAATGAACTGAATTTGGATGGTGAAATGACCTGGTACATATATGTATTTTTTCATATAGAATTTATATAACATAGATCCTATGATTAGATAAGAAAAATACTAACATGGAAATGGCTTAGTGTAAAATCTTCAATTTTTTGTGTGGGTGTTTTATCTTTTTTTTTATCTTAAGGAACTATTACTGTCATCAACCAATTCACATGTCCATAAATTAGTAAATTGTTGAACTTTTTAGTGAGTTTTTAGTACATGTACAAGGTGATTTCATCATGTATGTAACCAACAAAATCAAGTGCCAAAATATTTTCTACCTTTAAAAAAACGTGAATTTGTAACCCTACAAAAATATATAATTTTACGGTAATTTGTTCAAGTCATGGTACAGATATAACTCTAATACACGTAAATAAAACATAATCTTTTGAATATCCATACAGTGGAAGCCTCTAAATAATGGTGGTCTTCTGCATAGGATCTTGTTCAGAATTTCTACTGCACCAAAATTAGTGACCAGCACTTTCAAGCTCACATACAATGATGATGATGATGATGATGATGATGATGACAATGATGATGACAATGATGATGATGATGATAAGAAAATATCTATGGATTTAATCAACTCCTCAATGCTTCCAGTCGACCCTTGAGATCTTCTTCCTCATCACTGGAGTAATTAGCTGCAGCCTCCATTTTCTTGTCATCTTCATGCACAGGAAGTGAATCATCAACAGCCTCTGGAGCTTTGCCTAGTGTACCTGAAAAATGTTAAAGTATACATATACACACTGTCTCAGTTAATCTGCATACACACATGATTTATACAAATATTTTTGGCAAATATACATACAAAGAAAAATAAAGAGTGCATGTAATCATTTGTATATGTGAGATTTGACAATTTGCAATCACAGTAAACATCTCTTTATCAGCATCTATTATTTTATATTCTCCTGCATCACTTGAGTGTTTGAAAATTGATGGCGTTAATAACAAGGTTATTGGTGACCCTGATCTTTTATACAACATGGCTACTAAGCAGCTGTAATTGGTGAAAACCAAGTCTAAGCAGTCACAATTTTTTTACGAGTATGTGGGCTGTGCTTATAAATCATGCTTACTGTTTTGCTCAAATTAACACACAACAAAAAGAAAAATTTACCTAAGGATTCGTTTCATACATCAGGTCACCTACACACAAAGGCAACCTGGAGAGTTCATTACACATGCACTAACAAAATCTATGAAGGCCTAGAACCCAAAACTTACCTGCAGTCAACTCAAATAGGACTTTCTCAACTTCACTATCAGCCTCCTCCTCTAAATCGTCTTGGTCATCCATACTTTCAAAAGCATCCTCCATCATTTCTTCCATGATGCCAGCCTAATTCACAAGTGGATACAATCATTGTGATGTTAAACACTCAAACATATCAATCATATATTAAGAACTATCCTGAGACTGAGTTTTTGTGGTGTCATGGATAAATATAGGAAAATAAATCTACTTAATGGCTTATCTCAACACATAAAGTCTAGAATGAAAAGTACCAACAAAATCAATGAAAATAAGTCCCTGTGATAATTAATGATATGATAGTATCAAAGAGACCTATTGAGTGTTACCAACTGAAGTTAATGAAAGGGACACCCTACATTGACCTACAATACCTCAATGTAGGATGTTACTTCTGACATTTCTTTGAATGCCTCCCTCACAGTATCGTTGACATTAGTCAGTTTTTCTATGATCTATAGTGAGTTACTACACCTTTATACATACGACTAACCTTCATCATTTCTTTGGACATTTCCCTCATGGTATTACTAATGTCTGCCACCTTCACCAGCTCTTGCATGCTTTTTAACACATCCCCACTCTTCTGAAGGGCACCTGTCATCCTCACCAAAGCTGTCAACAACAATATTTATACCATACACTACACAGTTACACTTTGAGTTTTCACATAGAATGTGATTATTTCAAATAATGCAAAACTTTTTTCTTTAGTATACCATATCTTAACTCTGTAGTTCTCTTGTTGGATATGTACTTAAGGGGAATAGCCTTAAGTTGATTGGTAGATTTGTAATTTACAGTGATGGCTGAGGTTTCCCACTGAGATCAGATTGTCTATTAAAGTTTCCCAATGAGAACTCATGTCTATTAAAGTTTCCTACTGAGAACTGATGTCTATCAATGTTTCCTACTGAGATCTGATAAAGTTTCCCACCGAGATCTGATGTCTATCAATGTTTCCCACTGAGATCTGATAAAGTTTCCCACTGAGATCTGATAAAGTTTCCCACTGATGTCTATCAATGTTTCCTACTGAGATCTGATGTCTATCAAAATTTCCTAGTAAAATCTGTTGGCTATCAAGGTTTTCTACTGTGACCCATTGGCTATGGATGTTTATTTTCTTTACCTGCTTGATTCTTCAACTGCATGGAGACAGAGTTGAGCTGAGCTTTGGAAGCATAAAGACGGGACACAGCCTTCCGTGACCTGATAACTTCCTTTGCCAGAATCTTTATAGCATCTTTATCGCCTTTCTTTGCCAAAGCCTTGATCTCTCGAGTTACTTTAGCTTCTTCTTTCTGTATACCTACAGACAGGATATAAAACCAATTTTCCATATCATAATAACAGCAATGTCTGTGGTTAGAGTTTATTAGTAAGGAATTTCACTGGAGTAAAATAAATATGCATACAAACTAGTACTTACATCCTGATGTGAAGACTTAAAACTTTCAATCTTTCATAAAACTTTACCAACATGTTTAAAAGCAGGAAGGGAAGAAAAATCAGCACAATTGTGCTGATCTAGATTCTGATATTGCAGAGATTTGCTTTTCAAAAAAAGACAGCTTGAAGGCTAAAAACCATATCAAGTTCTTAGAGTTTTAACTTACTTCTGATACTTCTTTCCACATTGTGTCCTTCCTTTCTCAGTTTACTATTCCATTCCTGGACCTGTCAGTGAGTAAAAAACAATGAGCAACAAACACATCAAAAACAGTGGTAAATTATAGACATTCAACTAAGTTAAAATAAGACACTAGTCACATGGTGGTAAAGGATAGACAATTACTAGTGTAAGACAATTGTAACATGAAATAGTTGATAGACATACATCACTGTAAGACACTAGTCACATGGAGGTAGAGGATAGACAATTACTAGTGTAAGACAATTGTAACATGAAATAGTTGATAGACATACATCACTGTAAGACACTAGTCACATGGAGGTAGAGGATAGACAATTACTAGTGTAAGACAATTGTAACATGAAATAGTTGATAGACATACATCACTGTAAGACACTAGTCACATGGTGGTAAAGGATAGACAATTACTAGTGTAAGACAATTGTAACATGAAATAGTTGATAGACATACATCACTGTAAGACACTAGTCACATGGTGGTAAATGATAGACATTTCCCAATATAAAACACTAGTCACATGGTGGTAAATGATAGACATTTCCCAATATAAAACACTAGTCACATGGTGGTAAATGATAGACATTTCCCAATATAAAACACTAGTCACATGGTGGTAAATGATAGACATTTCCCAATATAAAACACTAGTCACATGGTGGTAAATGATAGATATTTCCCAGAGTAAGACACTACTCACATGAAGTAAAGGTTTGTAGAGGGAAAACATTTCCCAATATAAAACACTAGTCACATGGTGGTAAATGATAGACATTTCCCAATATAAAACACTAGTCACATGGTGGTAAATGATAGACATTTCCCAATATAAAACACTAGTCACATGGTGGTAAAGGATAGACAATTACTAGTGTAAGACAATTGTAACATGAAATAGTTGATAGACATACATCACTGTAAGACACTAGTCACATGGAGGTAGAGGATAGACAATTACTAGTGTAAGACAATTGTAACATGAAATAGTTGATAGACATACATCACTGTAAGACACTAGTCACATGGTGGTAAATGATAGACATTTCCCAATATAAAACACTAGTCACATGGTGGTAAATGATAGACATTTCCCAATATAAAACACTAGTCACATGGTGGTAAATGATAGACATTTCCCAATATAAAACACTAGTCACATGGTGGTAAATGATAGATATTTCCCAATATAAAACACTAGTCATATGGTGGTAAATGATAGATATTTCCCAGAGTAAGACACTACTCACATGAAGTAAAGGTTTGTAGAGGGAAAACATTTCCCAGTATAAGATGCTAGTCATATGGAGGTAATGGATAGACATACCCCAGTGTAAGACACTAGTCACTTGATGGCAGGGCATAGACATTTTCCAGTGTAAGACACTATTCACAGGAAGCTAGAGGATAGACATTTCCCAGTGTAAGACGGTAGTCATATGGAGGTAAAGGATAGACATACCCCAGCATAAGACATTAATCATATAAAGGTAAAGGATAGACATACCCCAGTGTAAGACACTGGCCACATGAAGGTAAAGCATGGACAATCCCCAGCGTAAGACACTTCTCACATTGATAGTCAAAATTCAATATGACATTGACAACAGATAGATTAAGCTAATGAAAAATGCTTAGTACTTCAAAAGCAATTTTCAGAAGTGCACCTAAAGTTTAAATCTATTGTATTGAATAGATTACATGTATATGTTTAATTATTTACCAAACTTCTGTTTAAGGCAAATTATAAGCGAATAAGGCGACATGTTTTTTATTGTTACATTTTACGGCGGATGAGTGTATTTGGTTTGAGAGACGTTTACGTTATTACCTTCGTAAATTTGAAAATCACAAATTGAAAACTAAAAATGCTCATCCCTACTTCTTTAGCTGACTTTTTGCCCATATCAATTCGTGAAATGTAAACAAGTTGAGTGACAGTACAGTACAAATTACCGGAAAGATAGGTTAGATTTTGACCGCACTTAATTTTACAGACGATACCACAGGAGATTAATTACCATTTCTTTTGGTGATTTTTCTGGTGTTTTACCGAAGAGCCCCATGACTAACGGATGTCACGTCTAAATCCTAATTTAGACACTCTCGTTTTTGCAAGGTTGATTTGCCAAGGTAAACTTCCGCATAGACTTGCGCAAGACAACGATTCTAGGTCGCACAAACGTTTTATTATGTTATTCATTGAAAGATTCGACGCTCAGCGGAGGCAGAAATTAAAGATTTGTTTTGTTTTTTATTTTTACCAAATATTAAAGTAAGTAACTAATGCAGTTTGATATCCAATGATAGAAAAATGATACCAATAGAAATTAAGGGAAAAGACAACATTAAAATTCATTGTGGATCAGGCATTATGCTTTGATAAACCAGGTAAATGTTTTTATTAGAAGGGTCTTCAAATACCTAGGTCCTGAGACATTCCAACCCCTCTATAAATCCCTGCTCTGGCCACATCTAGAGTGTGCTAGCTCTGTCTGGACTCCATATACATAAAACAAATGGAACAATCTTACCTGGAAAGGTATCAACAACTGAAATTACCGACATTAAGCTGCATATCGGTAAGGGGTGATATGATTGAACAATTTTCAAAATGACAAGTAGGATTTATGACAAGGAAGCATGTCCTGAGCTCAAATTTTGAATTAATATATCCAATAGGAACATAAAGCCAGAGGACACACTGATGATATGTATCTACAAAGGGCAAACATCAACCTTTTATGGTGAGCATTGTTAATCTATGGAACAGTCTCACAAAGAATATTGACCCAGAACCAATATATCAATTTAAAAACTGACTAGATAAGTATATGAAAGGACAAAATATTATGTATGGCAGCTTTAAGGCACAACAAGCCATCATAAAAGAGATCCCATGTCAGCGTCGTCAGTTTCGGTCTATGGTTTCTGTTTAAAAGCCTAATTTTTTTCAGGCTGATGAATCTACATCGCTGTTTAATACTTCCTTATTGGAATATCTTTTCTTTTTAATGATGGTTAAAAGTCAAGGCCATCCAACCTTGTTCAACTGATTAATGCACAGTATTCAATGTTGAATTCAATATAACCACCTACTACCATCTGGGACATTTCGTTCGTAAACTTTTTAATTTCAGTACTCCTGAAAAGAGGCATTGTTTAAAAAAAAAAAAAAAAAAAAACCCAAAAAACAAGAGGCCTAGTGGCCTTGACAGTCACTGAAGATAAGCAATATTGAATATAAAGGTTAAAAGGTAGCTATCAAGTGTAATAAAACAGAAATTGTGACAGTTTAATCAATATAGTAAGCCAGTGTCGATACATGCATGTCATCGAAACTGTAATCCTGTACTAATGATTCTTACAAAGTTATTTCCATTGGGAAATCCATTGGGAAATCCATTGGGAAATAACAAACGTTTTGCTCAAAAATGTCATTTTTCTATGAAAATTACAGTAAAGTTTTAAAAAAGTTCCTATGCAGGAAGAAATGCGAGACCCATTTTGGTAATTAAAGCAACTTAAGTTCCCATTCCTAGAGAGCATTTGATTTCACTATACCTGGGTGTTGAGTATTTATTTTAAGTTATTTTAATAGGTTTAAAGTCCACTATTACGACATTTCTGTCTTTCAGCGGACAAGAACAGATAGGAAAAAGAGTAGAAGAGGAGAAGTAGGATTGATGGGAGAGAGTGGGATATAGAGATGAGGTAGAGAGGGGCTGTCTATGCTACTTGACCTGATATAAAACTATAATTTAGAAGGCGACCCATTCCTAATTGTATTTCTAGCCTAACATTCAGCACGACGCAGCAAGAAGAACGTTGTCAGGACTGAGAGGGAGCAGAAGGGGTTTCTACACTGGGTAAATTCTGATATGTTGATTGTATTTTGGAGGTCCAGTCAAAATTACTTAATAAATATTACCAAATGTTAATCCAACTCTAACCTCTGGGCTGGCATAATTGAAAGTCCCATCCGACGGACTGTGGGTTAATGATAAGTTGTTAGTATGGTGTTGGTGAACTTTTTTTTCTCTCGTCCATGCGGGTATAATTCTTCTTTTCATTTCTGTCTTTCCTTTCACTCTATAACCAATCGCTTTTCCAATGTCTATACTTTCTGTAATCCATACTGTTCCTATCGTCATGTATCTTTCCCATGTTTATATTTTGTGATTGTGAAGTCAGTATTGGGAGGGGTTGGGGGCCGTTAGTAGAAGTTAGTGTGGCAACCCCTGTTTGCAGGTTCATGTTGATAAGTTGTTTGGTTGTATGCCATCCATTTCTGGTTCCAAATTCACAAAATGTTTTATATCAAAACTGCAATATCTTTTTTTCAAATATTTGAAACAGATTTCCTGTTTAGTATTAATTTTGTATGGTAAATGGTAAAGAGTGAATATCTTAACATGTGTGTAATAATAATTGATCTTTTTGATGAAACATTTAAATAAATAAATTTGAATTTTCAAAATGATCAATGTTCTACAGCTAACAAGTTTGTAATTATTGGGTTTGTATAGGAAGTGATGTTACATGTATCCACTTTATGTCTTCTACTACTTTGGTTCTATGACCATTTTTAGCATTTATTCCATATAAAAGTTGTACCATTGTTTTCTAAACAAAACAAGACAACTTCCTTTTTGGTATCAACATATTTTTATTTTGAAACACTGATAATAAAAGCAATCAGTGTTTTGGTGGTTGATTCAGGTATAACAATATTGGGTTGAAAGGAGACCGTTGGCAATGTTATAGCTTATACATTAGGTGATTAAGTTATTTTGGAGAGTTTATACCAATTAATTGTTATATCATTTAACTGTTGTACATACTAGCTGCAACATAACGCTCAGAACTTCTTGTTAGCTTGATCAGTTGAAAGTCAGATTAGTAAGCCAGGGTTCTTGGTTTCTAATCCAAGCAGGTAATGAAATAAATAATGACCTCTGTTACATTGACGTCTATGTAGGGACCCAGGAATAATACTCAGTATTGTCCCACAGACATTGCTGTAATCCCAGGAAACTTGAGGAAAAGTTCTTTACCCTGGTAAAATACTAGCCGCAATATACCACTCGGCAAGAGAAAACTTCTCTTTAGCTCGATTGGTTGATTGTCACACTAGTAAGCACAGGGTCTCATGTTCGAGTCTTAGTGGAGGCATTGAAATAAATACAAACCTAAGTTACATCATCATTCTATATTTAGAACTGTCAGTAAGATACTGTTTTAAATCTTGGGTATCATAGGCTGTGGTATTGTTTAACAACAATAATAGTGAAATACCTGGATCAACCATTCAAGATTTAGCACTTTGTCTTCAGAATATCAGCAGAAAACACATATATCAATGACTGAGAGTTATGACCTTTTAGGCATAATTAACAAGTACAAGACACAGACAATTAACATTACAACATAAAATTGCATCTAGGCATTGTCTTTTGAAAATTTTGCAACTGTTTCACTAATACAAATGGTAAAAATATCCCTTATGTTTTAAACATAACTAGATAAAAAATGCAACAATATTTTTCTCACAAGTTGAAACAGCTTGAACCAGCATGAAGCTAGAGATTTGTTTTAGTGAACAAAAACAATGTCTTCCCTATGAATTTTAGTAGGTTGAATATATAAGAATAAAAATTAAAAAAATCATTGAAAGAACCATTACCACAGCAGTAGTGGAGACAAAATTCACAACAAAGAATTGATACAGTACTTCTTCTGATGAAGTTACTTGGCCTAAAAGATTTTAAATCATCAGTAGTGCTTTCTTCGTCAAGAAATTGTTAAACTAATTCAGCATTATATGGGCACCATCAGGAAACAAAAATCTCATGCGTTTCAAGGAGAGATATCAAAACTTAACATTAACTTCTATTTTGCATTAATTATGAAACAATCCAAGTAAGTTTCAATCACAACACACACTTTTTGGTATCCACACCCACACACAGTGTCTCACTTATCAACCAACTCACTCGGAACTGACATTGGTTCTACCATTTTTGTTATTTATGAAGCAAGATATGAACATTGGTTAATAGTTGGGCTGGACAGAAGCACAAAGCAGATAATACAGATCATGTTATTGAGATGGGAAGTGATTAATACATAGGATTTAAGTACAGACCAGCACTCCTATTTGTTTAGCTATCCAAAGAGTGACTAAACATATTGAACATTAGACATATATTGCACACATCATGTTTACGTTTTACATCTATGCAATACCCTGATCACATACTCACACTATTTAAAACAAGATACTACTCATACATGATAATCCTACTCACAGCTGAAGTAAGGAATCCACAAGTGATAGACAAATGCCATTTCAATGTGCAGCTATGGTAAATGAGTCTCACTTGGTTTGACCATTAAACTCTAGTTTCTGACTTAAATTTACATTGGAAGTAATGATAACGACTGGAATGATGCAACATTCTGCCGTTTGGATAGACGTGAAGAAAACATATCTTGACTGTTCATGAGACCATAAACCCAGCAAAAGAAAGTCTATTTTTTTGCCGAATCACAATGTAGTATCTGTCATTTGCTTATTTCTGTCTTGGCTTATATATCAGTTTCTTAAATAATGTTCCATAGGTCAGTCAGTCTGTGTTGAGGCTCTCAGAGACATTATCTCCATCTGAATGATCATGCTTCCTCTTGCTCCTATATCTGCAAACAAAAAATTAATTTGATTCTGTAAGTACTGAAAGTAATATCTTTGTAATTATGTACCAGAAATAACAGTTTTCATAGCAGGATATATATTAAAAGGGAGAAAATACCATTTTTATTAGGAACCGTCTTCAAAACAATATCATTTCCATTGAATTCCCCTAAAACCATATATATCCAATGTGTTAAAATCAGTATATATAATTCATGAGATCACATATAAGAGGATACTAATACGTACTTTTCCCATTTTCTGTGATTAAGTGTGGTGAAATCATCAACTGTAGAAATGTCTTTGAGATACTTGGCCAGCTTAAGAAGTTCTCTGTCTTTGGCTCTGTTTTGATGTGCCTCTCTGAATGCCTTTATCTACCATGTCCAATGAACATACAACAGTAAGATTCACCTCTACACAACATAATCACATGCTTTCTCAAAGAAGTATTCTCAGAACGAACAAACTTGAATAAAACAAGACAATTCAGAGAATTAAAGTTCCCCACTGACACATCAGGATGAACCCTTAAACGAAGTATGAAGTACCAGTGACTAGAAGTGTAGGAGATAGAGCATGGACAAGCTTTTGATTTGATGTAGGTCAAAGGTCAAAATGTAGGTCAGAGTGATCTACTATTGTAAATAACACATCTTCTCACCAAGATGAATACCCATCCGTAGTGTTAAGTTTCCCTGATTAGAAGTGTAGAAGATAAGGTATGGCAAATGTCTTTCTTTGATGCTGGCCCAAGGTTAAAATATAGGTCAGTGTGACCTACTTTTGGTACAAAATACTGTCTCACCAAGGTGAACACATATCCCAAGTATTAAGTTCTGTGTTAAATTGTGCATAAGAGAGGGCCTGGATAAGATAGCAGAAGGACAGATGTACACAAGGTAAAAATTTAGTCCCTTCTGGTTGGAGGTGGGAAACTACTATGAATATAAGAATTCATTTTGTTTTGTTTAAACTCTATATCACCAGGTAAATTTGCTATAATACATACCCGCAGTCCATTTTGAGGGTTCATAATAAAGTTTCGTCTGATGTCATCAAACATAATAGTATTCTTTGGTGTCCATTGGTGATATTTTCCCCAGATCACACCAAGTGGCTTCACCTGAAATAATAAATCACCCAAATTACACCTAAAAGCTTCACATGTAATAATAAAACCACCTACATCACACCTAACATCTTCACCTGCAATGATGAAAATACCAAAAAACCACCTAGTTACTCTAGTTTCACACAGAGTCGTGGGACACCATACATAGGTGGTGACATACCTCCATGACACCATACATTGGTGGTGACATACCCCTATGACACCATACATTGGTGATGACATAACCCTACGACACCATACTTTGGTGATGACATACCCCTATGGCACCATACATTGGTGATGACATACCCCTATGACACCATACTTTGGTGGTGACATACTCCTATGACACCATACATTGGAGGTAACATACCCCTATGACACCATAAATTGGTGATGACATACCTCAATGACACTATACATTGGTGATGACATACTCCAATGACACCATACATTGGTGATGACATACCTCCATGACACAATACATTGGTGGTGACATACCCTATGACACCATACATTGGTGATGACATACCCCTGACACCATACAATGGTGATGACATACCTCTGTGACACCATAAATTGGTGATGACATACCTCTGTGACACCATACATTGGTGATGACATACCCCTATGACACCATACATTGGTGATGACATACCCCTATGACACCATACATTGGTGGTGACATACTCCTATGACACTATACATTAGTGATGACATACCTCCACGACACCATACATTGGTGATGACATACCTCCATGACACCATACATTGGTGGTGACATACCCCTATGACACCATACATTGGTGATTATATACCTCCATGAAAACATACATCGTTGATGGCATACCCCTCTGACACCATACATTGGTGGTGACACACTCCTATGACACCATACATTGGTGATGACATACCCCTACGACACCATACACTGGTGATGACATACCTCTATAACACCATACATTGGTGATGACATACCCCTACGACACCATACACTGGTGATGACATACCTCTATAACACCATACATTGGTGGTGACATACCTCTATAACACCATAAATTGGTTGTGACATACCCCTATGACACCATAAATTGGTGATGACATATGCCTATGACACCATACTTTGGTGGTGACATACTCCTATGACAACATACATTGGTGATGACATACCTCCACGACACCATACATTGGTGATGACATACCTCCATGACACCATACATTGGTGGTGACATACCCCTATGACACCATACATTGATGATGACATACCTCCATGACAACATACATTGGTGATGACATACCCCTATGACACCATACATCGTTGATGACATACCCCTATGACACCATACATTGGTGGTGACACACTCCTATGACACCATACATTGGTGATGACATAACCCTACGACACCATACTTTGGTGATGACATACCCTTATGACACCATACATTGGTGATGACATACCCCTATGGCACCATACATTGGTGATGACATACCCCTATGACACCATACTTTGGTGGTGACATACTCCTATGACACCATACACTGGAGGTAACATACCCCTATGACACCATAAATTGGTGATGACATACCTCAATGACACTATACATTGGTGATGACATACTCCAATGACACCATACATTGGTGATGACATACCTCCATGACACAATACATTGGTGGTGACATACCCTATGACACCATACATTGGTGATGACATACCCCTGACACCATACAATGGTGATGACATACAACTGTGACACAATACATTAGTGATGACATACCTCTATGACACCATACATTGGTGGTGACATACCCCTATGACACCATACATTGGTGATGACATACCCCTATGACACCATACATTGGTGGTGACATACCCCTATGACAACATACATTGGTGATGACATACCTCTATGACACCATACATTGGTGGTGACATACCCCTACACCATACATGGTGACATACCTCATATGACACCATACATTGGTGGTGACATACCCCTATGACACCATACATTGGTGATTATATACCTCCATGAAAACATACATCGTTGATGGCATACCCTATGACACCATACATTGGTGGTGACATACCTCTATAACACCATAAATTGGTTGTGACATACCCCAATGACACCATAAATTGGTGATGACATATGACACACACTGGTGATGACATACCTCTACAACCCCATACATTGGTGGTGACATACCTCTATCCATAAATTGGTTGTGACATACCATACATTGGTGATGACATACCCATATGACACCATACATTGGTGAGTACACCATACATTGGTGATGACATGACACCATACATTGGTGGTGTATAAAGATACATGTGACATAAAACAATTACATTGGTGATGACATAAACAGATACCCCTATGACACCATACATTGGTGGTGTATGTGATTTTAGACACATAATGTGATACATATAACACCATACATTGGTGGTGACATATGTAAATCCCTGTACTATAAGAACATGGTTACATTCAACATAGATGTAAATCTCATGCATTAATATCAGCTAATAATGAAAAGCTGAACATTTTCAATGGTTCCACACAATGAGGATAAACAAGATGATAGAAAATAATAGAATTTAAGTTTAAGAAAAAAAAAAATGTCTGTAAGACATGAATGCCCGTTCCCATGCATAGAGGTATTTCGTGCGAGGTCTACAAATCTCACAATGATTTGACTATATTTAAGAAGATATTCAAACCAATTTTTCTGTATGAAATGTAATTACCGGTAATACATATAAATACATTTAATTAAGAACAAAGATTTTATTACACCAGATAACGATATCGTAGTCCTCATAGGCAGACTGTAAAAACTCGTGTAGAAAAGGCCTCATCAACTCATTAGCTGTCTCTGCTACTGATCTGTGATCTGAAAAAAAATGTATGTGTGATTTATACAAGTGATATTTGTTTTAAACTATCAAAGAAATGTAACTTTTACTTTTATGAAATTATTTTATATTAATGGGACAAATTATACTGTACCTGGAAATGTTTACAGAATTAATCAAATTCTGATATACATATGAAACCTGAATGAAGGTACAGTGATTACAGTGAAGATAAAGTAACTTTTTCTGATGAACGTATATGGACTCAGTTAAAGGAGCTGGATAGTGATTCAGACCTGTACTTACATGATGATAGTGTTACAGACTGACACTAACCAAACAAGTGTTTCAGACATGTACTTACCTGATGATAGTGTTACAGACTGACACTAAACAAACAAGTGATTCTGACCTGAACTTACCAAACAAAAGTAATTCAGACCTGTACTTACCTGATGATAGTGTTACGGACTGACACTAAACAAACAGGTGATTCTGACCTGTACTTACCAAACAAAAGTAATTCTGACCTGTACTTATCAAACAAAAGTAATTCTGACCTGTACATACCAAACAAAAGTAATTCTGACCTGTACTTATCAAACAAAAGTAATTCTGACCTGTACATACCAAACAAAAGTAATTCTGACCTGTACATACCAAACAAAAGTGATTCTGACCTGTACATACCAAACAAGTGATTCTGACCTGTACTTACCAAACAAAAGTGATTCTGACCTGTACATACCAAACAAGTGATTCTGACCTGTACATACCAAACAAGTGATTCTGACCTGTACATACCAAACAAAAGTGATTCTGACCTGTACATACCAAACAAGTGATTCTGACCTGTACTTACCAAACAAATGTGATTCTGTCCTGTACATACCAAACAAAAGTAATTCTGACCTGTACATACCAAACAAAAGTAATTCTGACCTGTACTTACCAAACAAAAGTAATTCTGACCTGTACATACCAAACAAAAGTAATTCTGACCTGTACATACCAAACAAAAGTAATTCTGACCTGTACTTACCAAACAAAAGTAATTCTGACCTGTACATACCAAACAAAAGTAATTCTGACCTGTACTTACCACACTAATGTGATTCTGACCTGTACACACCTGATGATAGTGTTACAGACTGACACTAAACAAACAAGTAATTCTTACCTGTACTTACCAAACAAATGTGATTCTGACCTGTACATACCAAACAAAAGTAATTCTGACCTGTACATACCAAACAAGTGATTCTTACCTGTACTTACCAAACAAATGTGATTCTGACCTGTACTTACCAAACAAAAGTGATTCTGACCTGTACATACCAAACAAAAGTAATTCTGACCTGTACATACCAAACAAAAGTAATTCTGACCTGTACATACCAAACAAAAGTGATTCTGACCTGTACTTACCACACAAATGTGATTCTGACCTGTACATACCAAACAAAAGTGATTCTGACCTGTACTTACCAAACAAAAGTAATTCTGACCTGTACTTACCAAACAAATGTGATTCTGTCCTGTACATACCAAACAAAAGTGATTCTGACCTGTACTTACCAAACAAAAGTGATTCTGACCTGTACATACCAAACAAAAGTAATTCTGACCTGTACTTACCAAACAAAAGTAATTCTGACCTGTACTTACCAAACAAGTGATTCTGTCCTGTACATACCAAACAAAAGTAATTCTGACCTGTACTTACCAAACAAAAGTGATTCTGACCTGTACTTACCAAACAAATGTGATTCTGTCCTGTACATACCAAACAAAAGTAATTCTGACCTGTACTTACCAAACAAAAGTGATTCTGACCTGTACTTACCAAACAAATGTGATTCTGTCCTGTACATACCAAACAAAAGTAATTCTGACCTGTACTTACCAAACAAAAGTAATTCTGACCTGTACTTACCACACAAATGTGATTCTGTCCTGTACATACCAAACAAAAGTAATTCTGACCTGTACATACCAAACAAATGTGATTCTGACCTGTACATACCAAACAAAAGTAATTCTGACCTGTACATACCAAACAAAAGTAATTCTGACCTGTACTTACCACACAAATGTGATTCTGACCTGTACACACCTGATGATAGTGTTACAGACTGACACTAAACAAACAAGTGATTCTGACCTGTACATACCAAACAAAAGTGATTCTGACCTGTACATACCAAACAAGTGATTCTGACCTGTACATACCAAACAAGTGATTCTGACCTGTACTTATCAAACAAAAGTAATTCTGACCTGTACATACCAAACAAAAGTAATTCTGACCTGTACATACCAAACAAGTGATTCTGACCTGTACATACCAAACAAGTGATTCTGACCTGTACATACCAAACAAGTGATTCTGACCTGTACATACCAAACAAGTGATTCTGACCTGTACATACCAAACAAATGTGATTCTGACCTGTACATACCAAACAAATGTGATTCTGACCTGTACATACCAAACAAATGTGATTCTGACCTGTACTTACCAAACAAAAGTGATTCTGACCTGTACTTACCACACTAATGTGATTCTGACCTGTACTTACCAAACAAAAGTGATTCTGACCTGTACTTACCAAACAAATGTGATTCTGACCTGTACATACCAAACAAAAGTAATTCTGACCTGTACATACCAAACAAGTGATTCTGACCTGTACATACCAAACAAAAGTGATTCTGACCTGTACTTACCAAACAAAAGTGATTCTGACCTGTACTTACCAAACAAATGTGATTCTGACCTGTACATACCAAACAAAAGTAATTCTGACCTGTACATACCAAACAAAAGTAATTCTGACCTGTACATACCAAACAAAAGTGATTCTGACCTGTACATACCAAACAAGTGATTCTGACCTGTACATACCAAACAAGTGATTCTGACCTGTACATACCAAACAAAAGTGATTCTGACCTGTACTTACCACACAAATGTGATTCTGACCTGTACACACCTGATGATAGTGTTACAGACTGACACTAAACAAACAAGTGATTCTGACCTGTACTTACCAAACAAAAGTGATTCTGACCTGTACTTACCAAACAAAAGTGATTCTGACCTGTACATACCAAACAAAAGTAATTCTGACCTGTACTTACCAAACAAGTGATTCTGACCTGTACTTACCAAACAAAAGTGATTCTGACCTGTACATACCAAACAAGTGATTCTGACCTGTACATACCAAACAAAAGTGATTCTGACCTGTACTTACCACACAAATGTGATTCTGACCTGTACACATCTGATGATAGTGTTACAGACTGACACTAAACAAACAAGTAATTCTTACCTGTACTTACCAAACAAAAGTAATTCTGACCTGTACTTATCAAACAAAAGTAATTCTGACCTGTACATACCAAACAAAAGTAATTCTGACCTGTACATACCAAACAAAAGTAATTCTGACCTGTACTTACCAAACAAAAGTGATTCTGACCTGTACTTACCAAACAAAAGTAATTCTGACCTGTACATACCAAACAAAAGTGATTCTGACCTGTACTTACCAAACAAAAGTAATTCTGACCTGTACATACCAAACAAGTGATTCTGACCTGTACATACCAAACAAAAGTGATTCTGACCTGTACATACCAAACAAAAGTAATTCTGACCTGTACTTACCAAACAAAAGTGATTCTGACCTGTACATACCAAACAAAAGTGATTCTGACCTGTACTTACCAAACAAAAGTAATTCTGACCTGTACATACCAAACAAGTGATTCTGACCTGTACATACCAAACAAAAGTGATTCTGACCTGTACATACCAAACAAAAGTGATTCTGACCTGTACTTACCAAACAAAAGTGATTCTGACCTGTACTTACCAAACAAGTAATTCTGACCTGTACTTACCAAACAAATGTGATTCTGACCTGTACTTACCAAACAAGTAATTCTGACCTGTACTTACCAAACAAATGTGATTCTGACCTGTACATACCAAACAAGTGATTCTGACCTGTACATACCAAACAAGTGATTCTGACCTGTACATACCAAACAAGTGATTCTGACCTGTACATACCAAACAAGTGATTCGGACCTGTACATACCAAACAAAAGTGATTCTGACCTGTACATACCAAAGAAAAGTGATTCTGACCTGTACTTATCAAACAAAAGTGATTCTGACCTGTACTTATCAAACAAAAGTGATTCTGACCTGTACTTACCAAACAAATGTGATTCTGACCTGTACATACCAAACAAAAGTAATTCTGACCTGTACATACCAAACAAAAGTGATTCTGACCTGTACTTACCAAACAAAAGTGATTCTGACCTGTACATATCAAACAAAAGTGATTCTGACCTGTACTTACCAAACAAAAGTGATTCTGACCTGTACATACCAAACAAAAGTGATTCTGACCTGTACATACCAAACAAAAGTGATTCTGACCTGTACTTACCAAACAAATGTGATTCTGACCTGTACATACCAAACAAAAGTGATTCTGACCTGTACATACCAAACAAAAGTGATTCTGACCTGTACATACCAAACAAAAGTGATTCTGACCTGTACTTATCAAACAAAAGTGATTCTGACCTGTACTTACCAAACAAATGTGATTCTGACCTGTACATACCAAACAAAAGTAATTCTGACCTGTACTTACCAAACAAAAGTGATTCTGACCTGTACATACCAAACAAAAGTGATTCTGACCTGTACATACCAAACAAAAGTGATTCTGACCTGTACTTACCAAACAAATGTGATTCTGACCTGTACATACCAAACAAAAGTAATTCTGACCTGTACATACCAAACAAAAGTGATTCTGACCTGTACATACAAAACAAAAGTGATTCTGACCTGTACATACCAAACAAAAGTGATTCTGACCTGTACTTACCAAACAAATGTGATTCTGACCTGTACATACCAAACAAAAGTAATTCTGACCTGTACATACCAAACAAAAGTGATTCTGACCTGTACATACCAAACAAAAGTGATTCTGACCTGTACTTATCAAACAAAAGTGATTCTGACCTGTACTTACCAAACAAATGTGATTCTGACCTGTACATACCAAACAAAAGTAATTCTTACCTGTACTTACCAAACAAAAGTAATTCTGACCTGTACTTACCAAACAAAAGTAATTCTGACCTGTACTTACCAAACAAAAGTAATTCTGACCTGTACTTACCAAACAAAAGTGATTCTGACCTGTACATACCAAACAAAAGTGATTCTGACCTGTACTTACCAAACAAATGTGATTCTGACCTGTACATACCAAACAAATGTGATTCTGACCTGTACATACCAAACAAAAGTAATTCTGACCTGTACATACCAAACAAAAGTAATTCTGACCTGTACTTACCACACAAATGTGATTCTGACCTGTACACACCTGATGATAGTGTTACAGACTGACACTAAACAAACAAGTGATTCTTACCTGTACTTACCAAACAAAAGTAATTCTGACCTGTACTTATCAAACAAAAGTAATTCTGACCTGTACATACCAAACAAAAGTAATTCTGACCTGTACATACCAAACAAAAGTAATTCTGACCTGTACTTATCAAACAAAAGTAATTCTGACCTGTACATACCAAACAAAAGTAATTCTGACCTGTACATACCAAACAAAAGTGATTCTGACCTGTACTTATCAAACAAAAGTAATTCTGACCTGTACATACCAAACAAAAGTAATTCTGACCTGTACTTATCAAACAAAAGTAATTCTGACCTGTACATACCAAACAAAAGTAATTCTGACCTGTACATACCAAACAAAAGTGATTCTGACCTGTACTTATCAAACAAAAGTGATTCTGACCTGTACTTACCAAACAGTGTGTAATCAATGTCTAGGACCAATAGTTTCTTTCCTTCCCTTGGCGGGTTAAACACTTCAATCTTGTAATCTCTTACTCTTCTGTCAATTTTTGACAAATATTCTTCTCTACAAATAAAATCAGTAATGTTTATATAAAGCAAGGACTGTTTAATTTACAATATAGGAAAAAAGGGAATTACTAATTGACCTGTATACCACAACTCAGAAGGCACATAGGGTTGAAATCAAGCTTTCTGATGATGATTTTCTTTTTTATTGATTTTGTATATCAGTTGTGAAGCTATACAGAGCTTTGTTATCTTTGTAGGAAGCATCACTATGCCTTTAGAACTACACACTTGTATTTCTTCCACAATGTACATTTTTTTATCAGATATGCTATGATAGACACAGCCTTTATCTTTTTAATCAGACATGAATACATAACCTAAAACAGGAAAACTGAAAAATCTGACTAATAAAATGGTGGATAAATGACAAGAGGACAAAAGGCCAGAGAAGCTTTAACTATAATATCTTGACATGTTGTCACTCCTGTAATCTTTTATCCACGGCATGATATATAAAAAAACTAATGAAGCATTCACAATAAATTTATTTTGCTGTCTGGATGTTTCTTTTGCTTGTTTAATCTTTCAAACATAACCAAAATAATTGCTTTTAGTTTTAAAAATTAATTTCAAACCTTGCAAACAAGAGCATGGAACCCCAATGCTGAAACACTTCAACAGTACCTATTTTCTATAGTAAGGAACCCCAATGCTGATATACTTCAACAGTACCCATTTTCTATAGTAAGGAACCCCAATGCTGATATACTTCAACAGTACCCATTTTCTATAGTAAGGAACACCAATGCTAAAACACTTCAACAGTACCCATTTTCTATAGCATGGAACCCCAATGCTGATACACTTCAACAGTACCTATTTTCTATAGCAAGGAACACCAATGCTGATACACTTCAACAGTACCTATTTTCTATAGTAAGGAACACCAATGCTGATACACTTCAACAGTACCTATTTTCTATAGTAAGGAACACCAATGCTGATACACTTCAACAGTACCTATTTTCTATAGCAAGGAACACCAATGCTGAAACACTTCAACAGTACCTATTTTCTATTGTAAGGAACACTGATGCTGATACACTTTAACAGTACCTATTTTCTATAGTAAGGAACACTGATGCTGATACACTTCAACAGTATCTATTTTCTATAGCAAGGAACACCAATGCTAAAACACTTCAACAGTACCTATTTTCTATAGTTAGGAACCCCAATGCTAAAACACTTCAACAGTACCTATTTTCTATAGTAAGGAACACCAATACTAAAACACTTCAACAGTACCTATTTTCTATAGCAAGGAACACCAATGCTGAAACACTTAACAGTACCTATTTTCTATAGTAAGGAACACTGATGCTGATACACTTCAACAGTACCTATTTTCTATAGCAAGGAACACCAATGCTAAAACACTTCAACAGTACCTATTTTCTATAGCAAGGAACACCAATGCTGAAACACTTCAACAGTACCTATTTTCTATAGTAAGGAACACTGATGCTGATACACTTCAACAGTACCTATTTTCTATAGCAAGGAACATCAATGCTAAAACACTTCAACAGTACCTATTTTCTATAGCAAGGAACACCAATGCTAAAACACTTCAACAGTACCTATTTTCTATAGTAAGGAACACCAATGCTAAAACACTTCAACAGTACCTATTTTCTATAGCAAGGAACACCAATGCTGAAACACTTCAACAGTACCTATTTTCTATAGTTAGGAACCACAATGTTGATACACTTCAACAGTACCTATTTTCTATAGCAAGGAACACCAATGCTGAAACACTTCAACAGTACCTATTTTCTATAGCAAGGAACACCAATGCTGAAACACTTCAACAGTACCTATTTTCTATAGTAAGGAACACCAATGCTAAAACACTTCAACAGTACCTATTTTCTATAGCAAGGAACACCAATGCTAAAACACTTCAACAGTACCTATTTTCTATAGTAAGGAACACTGATGCTGATACACTTCAACAGTACCTATTTTCTATAGCAAGGAACACCAATGCTGAAACACTTAACAGTACCTATTTTCTATAGTAAGGAACACTGATGCTGATACACTTCAACAGTACCTATTTTCTATAGCAAGGAACACCAATGCTAAAACACTTCAACAGTACCTATTTTCTATAGCAAGGAACACCAATGCTGAAACACTTCAACAGTACCTATTTTCTATAGTAAGGAACACTGATGCTGATACACTTCAACAGTACCTATTTTCTATAGCAAGGAACACCAATGCTGAAACACTTCAACAGTACCTATTTTCTATAGTAAGAAACACTGATGCTGATACACTTCAACAGTACCTATCTTCTATAGCAAGGAACACCAATGCTGATACACTTCAACAGTACCTATTTTCTATAGCAAGGAACACCAATGCTGATACACTTCAACAGTACCTATTTTCTATAGCAAGGAACACCAATGCTAAAACACTTCAACGGTACCTATTTTCTATAGCAAGGAACACCAATGCTGAAACACTTCAACAGTACCTATTTTCTATAGTAAGGAACACTGATGCTGATACACTTCAACAGTACCTATTTTCTATAGTAAGGAACACCAATGCTAAAACACTTCAACAGTACCTATTTTCTATAGCAAGGAACACCAATGCTAAAACACTTCAACAGTACCTATTTTCTATAGTAAGGAACACTGATGCTGATACACTTCAACAGTACCTATTTTCTATAGCAAGGAACACCAATGCTGAAACACTTCAACAGTACCTATTTTCTATAGTTAGGAACCACAATGCTAAAACACTTCAACAGTACCTATTTTCTATAGCAAGGAACACCAATGCTGATACACTTCAACAGTACCTATTTTCTATAGCAAGGAACACCAATGCTGAAACACTTCACCAATACCTATTTTCTATAGTAAGGAACACTGATGCTGATACACTTCAACAGTACCTATTTTCTATAGCAAGGAACACCAATGCTGAAACACTTCAACAGTACCTATTTTCTATAGTAAGAAACACTGATGCTGATACACTTCAACAGTACCTATCTTCTATAGCAAGGAACACCAATGCTGATACACTTCAACAGTACCTATTTTCTATAGCAAGGAACACCAATGCTGATACACTTCAACAGTACCTATTTTCTATAGCAAGGAACACCAATGCTGATACACTTCAACAGTACCTATTTTCTATAGCAAGGAACACCAATGCTGAAACACTTCAACAGTACCTATTTTCTATAGTAAGGAACACTGATGCTGATACACTTCAACAGTACCTATTTTCTATAGCAAGGAACACCAATGCTAAAACACTTCAACAGTACCTATTTTCTATAGCAAGGAACACCAATGCTGAAACACTTCAACAGTACCTATTTTCTATAGCAAGGAACACTGATGCTGATACACTTCAACAGTACCTATTTTCTATAGTAAGGAACACCAATGCTAAAACACTTCAACAGTACCTATTTTCTATAGCAAGGAACACCAATGCTAAAACACTTCAACAGTACCTATTTTCTATAGTAAGGAACACTGATGCTGATACACTTCAACAGTACCTATTTTCTATAGCAAGGAACACTAATGCTAAAACACTTCAACAGTACCTATTTTCTATAGCAAGGAACACCAATGCTGAAACACTTCAACAGTACCTATTTTCTATAGCAAGGAACACCAAAGCTAAAACACTTCAACAGTACCTATTTTCTATAGCAAGGAACACCAAAGCTAAAACACTTCAACAGTACCTATTTTCTATAGCAAGGAACACCAATGCTAAAACACTTCAACAGTACCTATTTTCTATAGCAAGGAACACTGATGCTAAAACACTTCAACAGTACCTATTTTCTATAGCAATTTCATCCTCTTCTATATCAAAGTCATTGATGACTTCTGGTAAGTCAGGTGGAGGCTCCTTTACTTTATCCTGAAATATAACATTAATATCCAATCATAACTAATATACTTGTGTGAAATGGCAAGTCTTTATCATGTTGGCCTACATTGTGATAAGCATGCTGACCTCAGTATTTCTCAGGGTGTGTCATCACTAAATTTTGATAATTGTTCAATTAATAACACATAGTCTAATCATGCAAATCCACCACAGCTCAAATGTCCCAAGCTGATTTTGTTTTGGTTCTTGTTTCTAAATTAATTACTTGACAAGTTTTGACTCTTAAGAGAGTCTTTATCAGTGCAACATTTTATGTAAATTATCACCCTTATACCATCAATGTCTTTATACCTGTCAAGTATACAGTTATGGACCGGAACCTCTATTTTATGTTAGTAAATCTGGAAATATCCAGTCCAAAATTATTGTCTCAATAGTTTACCACACTGTACATGTATTTTCATGGTTTCATTTTTTAACTGAGATGATTACAATACATGAGATTATAATAAGATTTTAAATCACAGATTGTAATATAATTTGCAAATTAAAGTAACGTAATAAACAAGCCTTTCGAACTAAGAATCTCCAGTTTTCTGGTTTTTAACCTGGTGCCCCTGTTGTGGATTTTGACTTTAGTTAAGCTAACACTTCAAGCAGTGGACTGTACTCTTAATTTGATACTCTCAAAGTATATATTTACAATGAACAGTCAGAGAGAAAGATAGACATTCAAAGTTCAATAAACTACATATTGTGAGGACATGGAAATATTAATGATGGAGGACAATAAAAACAAAACAGACACATGAAAATTTATGGGTTTCTTTTCTGATCACCACTCTGACCATTTTCACTCACCAGTTCCTCTTCTCTTGATCCCATCATCATGATTTTGGTATTAGGTTTTAGTTTCAGTTCAGATATGACTACGTCATCTGCTGGAACTTTCCCTGTAATAATTCATTTACAATTTGATATGAATCTGGATAATTCTTCAAGTAACTCACAACCTCAGTAACCCACATTTGATCGGGTTAAACAGCATGCATCTACATCTAGAGTCCTGACAACATTCATTGGTTATTTAAAAGATGTTAGTAAATGTACAATATAAATGTATGTAATGTAATGTACAAATTGGAGAAATTTATGCAACTCTTTAAATAGTTAAAATATCAAAGAAATCTTATGTTGATTTCTCCCCTCCGCCCACACCTTAAGCATTTAAGGTAACTGTTACATGTGAAAAAATCAAGCAAGATTTATGGTAAAATACCTCAACAGTTTTTAATCTATGTATAACATGGAATTGCTAATTTGTTGGTAAATATCTTCAATGGTTGCTATCACAATATTTCATAAGAGATTTTATAATCTAATTACAAACCTGGAAGAAAGATAACCTTGAGAACTGGTGGTAATTTTCAAAGGTGTGCTTCAAAGTGTTGATGTTAGGAAAATTGATATAGGTCAATGTCAATGGCTTTGATATATGAGTAAGTTAGTAGAAAAATCAATGTGTAATGGGAGGAGATGAGAAAGTCTTGTCCAGAGGGGCTTGAACTAGAGACCTCTTGCTCTAGTAGGAACATCACGGTAAGAACATATTTATCACATATCTCATCCATTGTGTCATATCATGAATATCTTTAGACACATCTTGGAGATATTGAACCTGGGTTGTTGTCTTCAGGGTCAAAGACTTTTGTGAAGGAGTGAGTAGTGTTGACGTTAAGAGTACAGGTCACCTTAATTACTAGCCATGGTTAGTGGCAATTTCCCTTTAGTTTAGCAGTGGAATCTCTGGCTAGAGACTGAAATGGTTAAGTTTGAACCCCTGCCAGGGCCATTTTTTTTAAATTACTCCTGCCTTTTACATATTTATACATGAATAATAAATGTATTGTTGTGAAACAGCATTATAATTAACATAAAGTTTCGAGGATTCTGGGTAGCTATCACCCAAAAGGCCTTGTACCATGAACCAATCATGTTTTAACCCATAGTTATCTTGAGACCTCAGGTCTGAGGTGTTTTTATTGCAATAACGGAAGAACTTATTAGTGATGAGGTACACAATCTTACACCCACCAGCTCATGTGAAATGGTATGGGCTAAGGTTAAGATAGTTGGGAGTAAAACCCTTTACGTCAGCTCTTTTTACCATCCTAAAGACCTTTGATGAAGATAGCATGAAATTATTCATTGATTCGGTAAACGAGGCATGTAAATTGAGAAATGCAGCCCTTATAATAGGTGGAGACTTCAATCTTCCAGGCTGGGACTGGAAGAACAAAGTTCTTAAACACAAAACTTGTCATACCAAAATCCACTATGACTTTTCAAATTTATTGGACAACACTGGTCTAACACAAGTCGTTGAAGAACCGACCCAAAATGATAATACCTTAGATATGGTCATAACAAATTCTCCTAATCAAGTGTCCCGTACTAAAATCATCCCTGGAATATCTGACCATAACATTATCTTTGTTGAATTTACTCTCACACCCAAAAAACTTCAAAAACCAAGAAAAATCCCATTATACAAAAATGCTAATTGGAATTCTATCAAATTACACTTAGGGTATGTTTATAACAATATGTTAACAAATAATGAATGTGATTCAAATTCAATGTGGGGATATTTTAAAAGTGAACTTATGAAAACTGTCCAGGAACATATCCCACAGAAAACCATAACATCCAAAACTAACTTACCATCGGTTACCCCTAAGATAAAAAAGCTCATAAGAAAACGAGATAGGCTTTATGTAAAAGCTAAAACACCTGCGGATTCCTCGTTAAAATCAAAATTTAAAGACATAAAGCACCTTGTCCACAAAAAACTATGTACATCTTATTGGCAGCATATTGATGATATGATATTTCAATTTCTACCCATATCAGACTCAATGAAACTACTAAATGTGATCTTTTTCATTTAGCGATAAATTTGACCCGATTAACATTGCCAGTACAATACAAATATTAAGTAAGGGGAGAAAACTTCCCAACTTCTACTAGACTGGCAATATAGCAATATAAACATCATGAATCATGCTGTTACAAACAACATCCTGTATCCGTTCCAACATGGCTTTCACAATTTTTGATCATGTGAGAGTCAGTTGACTGAATTCATAGATGATATATCTAAGAACCTCAACGAAGGCAACAAGACTGATATCCTTATCATGGACTTCGCCAAGGCCTTTGACAAGGTCAGTCATTCCCTCCTCATTCAAAAGTTGAAACATTATGGTATAAGGGGAAATGTTGTTAACTGGATTGAGGATTTCCTTCTTGGTAGAAAACAGTCTGTAGTGGTTGAGGGGGGGATGTCTGGCTTCGTTGATGTCCATTCTGGTGTGCCCCAGGGATCGGTCCTTGGACCAAGTTTATTTCTTTATTTCATCAATGATATCCCTGTGGACCTAAATGCTACCATCTGTCTGTTCGAAGACGACACTATTGCATATCTAGTTGTCAAGTCAAGCAGTGGTGCTGTAAGTTTACCGCAAGACTTGGACAAACTGGCACTCTGGGAAAATACATGGAAAATGGCTTTCCACCCGAGTAAAGTGTTGTTTGTAAACAAGGGGATGAAAAACCCAGTTTTCCATAATTACACACTCTATGGGCATACACTGGAACATGTAGACCAAGCAAAATACCTAGGTGTTACAATTCATTCCAACCTAAAATGGGATTCCCATATCAACAGCATTACCAACAAAGCAAACTCTACTCTTGGCTTCCTCCATCATAATCTAAAAATAAGTTCAACATCAGTTAAGGCACAGGCATCCAAATCTTTATTTCATCTATCCCTAGGGTATGCATGTCCTGTTTGGGACCCATATGCCCAAGATAACATCAACAAGATAGAAATGGTACAATGCAGGGCTGCACATTATGCGCTAAATAAAAACATCTGTCCTCATAGAACATCTAGGGTCTCTGATATGATAAACCACCTTAAATGGCGTCCCCTATCTGATAGATGCAGAGAAATAAGCCTGTGCATAATGTTTAAAGTTGTAAATAACCAGTTGTCTATCAGCCTACAATAGATTAATACCAGTGACCAGGCAATCAAGACATGTCCATCACAAATCCTTCCAAATTCCTCACTGCAGAACTCAGGCTAGAAAACAATCATTTTTCCCTTATTCTATATCTGCGTGGAATAAGATCCCACCAGATATCATCTCATCCTGTCTTAGCACTGAATCTTCAAAATTTCTCTCAACTCCCTGTACCCTTAAAATGAAATATTTATATACATATATTCCTTCTTTTTCTTTAAGGTAATCTCCTTCTCTCTCATGACATTATCTTCAACTTGTTGAAGTTGGTCATTATCATTTAGAAGTAGAAGTAGATGGTTTAACCTGTCATTCCCAGTCTGTGTGACAATATTAGTCTTACAACACAATAACTTATTTACGCCACTTGATTTTACAACAGTGAAACTGCAACTAAACCACTTTTGGGATCTAGCAGCATAATAATACAGAGAACAGTATATATTGGTATCATATTACCATGCAATATTACCAAAAATTAGGGTTTTTTTCTACAAGGTAAGATTTTGGCAATATCTTGGTCAAATTTGCATTACAAGAACATTGGCAATGGTTTCACACAGAAATATTACCATCTGCAACAGTCTCCAAATCCTAGTCTGTTGCAAATGCTAAAAACCCTTGATTATCCAATTTCAAATAAAATGATACTGCATTTGAATTACTAATTGATAGCTCATAGTCAGTAACGATCCTTCAAATGCCGGATGATTACCCACAAAGAGGATCATTATAAGATTTTATCACTGTGATACATACATGTAGGTCCTACCTGCGTGCAAATCTCAGCACGATAGCAACACAAAGTTAAACATCATTGGAAATAATTTTCTGAATTCACCTTTATATTTGAGACCCAGTAACTTCTGTCGTTCAGGTCTTACTCCTGTGTCTTTGTAAATACAATCTTTCATATTTGCCACAGTTGATGAGTCCGCTAAGGTGACCCTATATTCATTGCCACTCCACTTAATGACCACAGTCTGTCCTTCTCCCGCCATCTTTAAACAAAATGTGAGTAAAGCAAAGCTAGCAACATATTTGAAGCTGCTCTGCACGAAAACTATACCACGACAATTAATTCATTTCGTACAGATTTTAACAAAAAACTAGTATATTTGTGAAAATAATGAACTAACGAAAAGAATAAAATATGCAGATGGAAGTTTATTATTCGAAACTGTGGTAAAGATTTTAATATGTTTGTTCACGTGACTTCCGCCAATGTGAGGAGATGCAGAAGGTGTCAACGAGTAAATACGAGATGTCATAACAAAAGAGAGCCACTTTCTCTTGGTACCAAGGTAATGCAGGTCTGCAATCCAATCTCTGTTAAGTCCTTATGATATCGTTTATAGAGGAGGGTTCATAGTTGCCGTATTCCATTATAATTGTGGATATGGAAAAGCATGACATTCAGAGTGATGGAGTCCAGTTTCAGCACCGGCCTTTTCCCTCATCACTAGCAGTCTTACAACATGTATAACACTGTGTATGCATAAACCTTGACATCAAGGGTTTTGTGGGAGAAGTGAACAAGTAGTTAAGTGATGTCTTGTGTATTCATTTCGTCTAATTTAACAGGTTTCTGGACGAGAAGAAAATTGTGCAGTAAACGATTTGATGAAATGTAATAGTAATGGATGTAGACCACATGTCTGTATATGTATTAGCATATAACTTAAACTATAACGATACATATATATCAGTTTGGTATCAAAACTGTTTTGTGACTGCATTCAAAATATTGAATTGAATACAAGGAATTTTAAAGTCCTGTTTTGAACTGGTAACTTAGCCTGCTACTCTTACAACTGTGCAGTAATGAACACAATCTGATATCACAATACATCACAGATAGCAGAATAAATAGTTAAGTGATACAATTTTTGAAGACCATGCAAAAATATATGCTCATGCAGCACATAGATTGTATATTGAGTGACATGGGTCTTCTGTGCATATATATATATATGTATGCTAATGTTGCAAAACTTTCAAAAAAATTGACAGGTAATATGTTAAAATAACATAATCTAAGGCAACAATGCAACATCTACGAAAGAGCATTTTAGAATTGGCAATATGAAAGTTTTACAAGCATAAAAAAAAGAAAAAAAAAAAAAAAAAAAAAACAACAACACAGAGCAAAGATGATTACTCTTTTAATAATCAGACAAAGAAAGTAAATTTTTGACAAAAATTCACAACAGAATTCATTTCTTGATATCTTGAAATGTTAACCACTCAATGCATAGTACATATTGTCCATACCATAAAAACCTGTGTAATGTATGCACCTACGTAATGTGCGTAGGTACTTTTTGGATCTGAAATTGGTTAAAAAAAAAATTCTGCTTCCATAATGTGATCACCCCAAAATTCTGCAAAAATCGATCTCTGGGAGTCAAGATATCAATCTTGGAAAATGTTCAGCTAAAACATCAGACCAATGATATAAAAGTCCAAAACTTGAAAGTATTTTCTTCAAAACTTGTTTTCATTTCATTTGCTGACTTTCAATAACCTTTCGTTGAATTACAGTCTAAGTTTTGTGCATTTTTTTTTTTTTTTCTTTTAACATCGGTCTCATCTCGCTATCATTCACTTACCTAACCAATTATCCATTATTTATTTTGCATACAGAAGCACTTGTTTTCACACTAGCCCTAATCAACAGTGTTAAGTGTTGAAATCTCTGGTACAAGTCATCATCTACCTATTAATGACCAATTAAGGTAATTACGAAATCCCCGAGTCAAGTTTTTTTTCATGTCCGGCTGGCACAGCAGGCTGCACAAGCTGACCTTAATTGAGGCCCCAACTCTGTATATGCAAGCAATTGGTATACAGAGCACAGAATGTGCATGCATATGAGTATTGTCAAATGAAGAATGGCATATCATTACACATTCTGGTGAGATAATTGCACAGATGCTATTCCCGTGTTGTAATTAGACATATAGATATCATTCATAAACACAAATGAGACCAATTTTAATAAATATTGAATTAAATCCATAATCTGATAAGGCTCAATCGGCACTCCACTTACTATTTTGTCAAGGATAATGTTTGCTTTTACACATGAAAATGGTCATGTGTTTATAGTCTCTGGTTTGTCATGATATTAGATGTGAAGTAGAATAAAATGAGACCTGTCAATTTCTTAACTGTTGAACATATAAGTGTTTCAAAAGATAATATTATAATCAAGATATTTTTCAATTCCAAAACAGGGTACTGTCTTTGCCGATCATTTTGTCTAGCTAGTTGCTATCACATTTATAGACACTTTTTCCTGGTTTTGCATGATATTGACTTGGATAGTCGGATATACAGTAATTATCTTATTTATTATTGTTGTTCCTAGATAAATCTTCAGATCCTTTTTGTGTTAGTTTTGAGTACCAAATAATCCCGACAATCAATGATGGCAACCTCACAGAATTTGATATTTCCATGAAAAAAACCTTGAGTGCAGTCAGGGACGTATAATACAGTATGTATTATACGTCCCTAGTGCAGTATAGGATATATATTGAATTTGAACACATGTAGTTAAGTAGTTAACTATTAGCATATATATTTTATTTGACTTTTTTAAAAATGGTAAAAGATTTGTCAGCTGATATTTAATGTATTAATACTGTCACAGCATCAAAGTAAAGTTTACATACTATATGGTCTGCTTTGTAGCATGAAGAACTGTAGTCTGGTAGAAAATGACCTTTAGAGTTAGGTTACCATGATTTACAAATCTGAGCTTATATTTACTGGTGAATTTTGTTTGTCATTTAGGTGTACCAGTTTTCAATAACACAGACATGGCAACAATAGAGAAACTAATTAAGGCCTTTGAAGCCTTAAAGGTGTTCCAGCCTGGAGGAGGTACTTCAGATGACTCAAAGTAAGTAGAATATTTTTTTTATCTTATCTTTTCATACATTCATCCAAATTTTTATATCACATAATATGGTATGTCAGTCATAATCTTCTTTTTTGTCTGAAGATCTCTTTTCATAGTTTTCAACTGATCTATTTTAAGCCTTGTATGATTTACTACTGCCATATCACATGAAATTGTGTCTTTAAAAAACAGCATTTTGAATCAATTATTTTTTTGGGAGTTATTGCCCTTTGTTCTTTCTTTTCGACCAATTTTGTTTTGAACTTAGTAGACTTTAATATGGTGACACAAAATTGTGCTTTCTCATTGGCATTTTATTGTGTGATTATTGTTTTATTTTCACATATGTATTCATTTCAATACCGTAAATATTCGCGTATAGTGCGCACTCGCGTATAGTGCGCAGGTACTTTTTGGAGATCAGATTAAAAAAAAAAATCTACAGAAAAATTAATTGACGGGTCACTGTGACGAAACATTTGATGTGGTCTGATCCATTGATAATTAGGAAACCACAATGAGCGTGACCCTAACACATGTAATTACCTTAAGTAAACAAATTTACCCAGGTGACCTAACAAGCATGAAAGGCTTGGCTGATTGTATAATTAACGGTTAATGACAGTGAACACGTTGAGTATGAGGAGACTGATGACACCCGGCTTGGGCTGAACGCGTACTATTGGTCAGAAAACGATGTTGTTTTAACTGTCTGAACATTTTCAATCCTACCTTGTCCCCATAAAAGCAGGTGGTTTGTTCAGTATAGGCATGATCTTTCATGGTATCTGTACCCATCGCGGTATCCGAAGGTATTTAATGATAAATTGTTTACACCGACTTCGACATGGGGAAACAGCGAATGCCACTTGACTACGCCGAGAGACTGGAGTTTCGTGCCGCCGGTCGCCACTTCGACATTCCAGAGTGAAATATCAAGGCACGGAAGAAAGAACAGACCGTCTAAAGTCCCAACCACTGACCAATAGGGCTGACATAGGTGCGACAGCGAAACACCCAGAGATGGAGAGAGACAGCTGTTCAACTTTGTATGCGATCGCCGATATCCCGGCATCGCTGCCAGTACAACAGAACTGCGCGTGCGGGCCATGCAGATCAAGAGAGGTCATGGGGTCACCAACTTTGGGCATCGGTGGGATGGGCTGTCCAATTTATGAACAGAACGACAATCGCCTAAAAATTTCCGGATTCATTGAATTCCACAGATACAGCATCAAAATGAGGCAGAAATTCAGACACTACTATAGCCCCGACCAATAGTAAGACCGACGGGAAACGAAAAAAAATTAGATTCACCGTAATGCTAGCGTGAATGGCAGATGATTAAAACATTTTTTTATTTTATTTTTTTGTTGTTTTTATCTCCAAACTATCATATAAGACCGACGACTTTTACATATAACTATGTGAAGGGAGGTAATCCAATATGGCGGATGCAGAACTCGGGAATGATAACCCCAGGAATGGCATGTACCTGCGTATAGTACGCACCCCCTTTTTGACACGACAGTTTCAGCTTAAAAAAGTGCGCACTATCCGCGAATATTTACGGTATATAAAGTACAACAATGCTTTCTCTATTGCACGGGATGGTTGTACATGTATATTGTACCCTCCTGTGGTGCTCTTGTTGGGAATGGGTAGGTCTTGATCAAATCACCACAAACATGGACATGCTGGATGCTATAAGGTTTAAAATAATGGCATAATTGAAATTTCACAATAATATAATTTTGTTCTCTTGATCTCCTAATTTTTGTTAAATGATAGAATTTACATGACCCTGATGTGCAAATTTTTATCACCATATGATTAGACAGATATAAAGGTGATATTATTGTTATTTTAAAGGAAAAGGGAACAGTCTGTCAGCAAGAAGGACAAGATAATGAACTGCAACATAGTGGCTGACTGCATATGTGCACCTAACATGAGGTAAATCATTGATTTCAAGCTTTTGAAAGATTTTTAGCACAATACCTTAGACAATCAATTTTTATACTTAGAGAAGTGCTAAATATTCGTACACTTGCCAGGGGCAAGTAAAGATATTTGCTTATTTTACATGTTTTTAAATGTTCATAGTTGTGTAAACTTCAGGTGGTAAGGAATAAATATTGAAAATTTAAATAAGGTTATGAAGGATTCACTTAAGTTAAGTCTTGAATGTATGTTCTTTAAACGACATTGCAATGCAGTTTTTTTAGCTGTAAAGCAGCATGGTTTAGAAAGGAGGAAATCTAATTCTTTGTTTTATAACAGAACAGGTGCAGGTTTGGAATAACCTGTCAGGAATTTGATAACAAAGAAAATTTTTTGTTTTCTTTCTTCAGAATGGTTTGGAATAACCATTCAGGAATTTTGATAACAAAGAAAATTGTTTGTTTTCTTTCTTCAGTGGGTAGCAACTGACAAAATAAATGATTGATAGTGAAAATATTAAGGTATTGAGAAATAGCACTTAATATTTATAAATTTAGTTATCTCAGTAATGAGGACATTCATTTGTCATTGTATCTTCTACCTTAATAATATATTTTGGGGGTAAGTAGAAATTATTTTCAGGCTAGTGGTATTCTGGAAGGTATACTTGACCAAGGCCATATGTTCTTAAATTTCTTTTACACTCCTGTATTAATGAAACACTCATGTGATATCTGTGTTAAAATCATATCGAGAAAGGGTCCTAGAAAATGAAAAATGAAAATGTTCTTTGATGTGTTTTTAGAGCTATCATTGATTTCCCCAAATTTCTTGGTATTGCGATGGAAACATTCCTGAACCTCTGTGATGATGCTGAGTCTGATGTGAGAATGGTTGCAGATGAGTGTATCAACAGATCCATCAAGGTAGAATCAACTCCTCCTAGAGTTTTTGACATAGAAACTTGAGACTTTGTAGGATGTTTATATATATGTTGAAGATGTGCACCTGCTATTATGAATTCATTTCGGACATTTTTTTTTGATTTTCGGGGCTTTGGAACTTAGTCATTTTCCGCATATAAATCACCTTGGGGCCCTAGATGTCCATTGTCTATTTTTTGAACATCTCAAAATCAAAAATGGCTGCAACTTCTTTCTTTAAATGCCTTTCTTCACGAATTCATAAAATACAACCAAGCTTTTTATCTTTTATAACAAATATTCTACATACTCAACAAATGAAACACCCATAACTGTCTTATAAATACCATATAACATTGTATGCATCCCGCAACCCAGCCAATTGTGGCTTTGCCCCATTTTACTAAAGGTATGATGCCATAATGCTGTTCTGTGAAAGGATGTTAAGGAAGATTAACAATGTACTGTATTATTATGTTGTCCCTTGCAATGACTGACACAACACTTCTATGATATTTCTTGTTGTTATCCTACTTGTTTTGCCTTAAAGGTACTTCTGGAGACCAACTTGGGACGACTTCAAGTAGAGCTGTATAAGGAGATAAAGAAAAATGGATCATCTCGCACTCTGCGTGCAGCTCTTTGGAGGTTCGCTGAGATGGCTCCTCTCATTAGACCACAAAAGTGCAGGTATAATAAAACATGGATAAGTTGAAGTTGATGAGACCTAATGAAATATTGACTTATCTGATGGTTTGAATAAGCTGTGTTCCTATGAATGGAGATGTTTTACATAGAAGGTTGATCCTATTTTGATCAGTTGTTTACTGGATACATGTCTCATAGTGTGGTGTGACGTTATTAATAAGTAATAAATAAGTAAAAAACATCTTATGATTTTATACCCTAACAGTATCTTTTATTTAAATAAACAGTTATAAGTATGAATATAAAACAAAAAAATGTGATGTGAAACATTCGTCATTGCAACACACATGTAGATACACACCAACTCTCAATACACATAACTTAGTGAAATTAATACTTTAAAGTTATACAAGTGTTGTACTCACATTTATATCCTTAAGAATAACAAGTTCTGTCAACATTATTACAAAATAACATCAATAGCAATGAGCTAGGTTATGAAAAGATGAAGGCTACGGCAACATCAGTGAAGCATAACTACACACAAACTACATAGTAAGAGCCTATACCATTAAATAGATTAAAATAAAAATTGCAGTTTGTATATGTACATATATATCTAGTAAATTGATTTAATCATAAACTAATGTGTCAATGACAAACTAGTTTTTATATTGATATGCATTGGCATGGTAGTTATTGCTTGTTTTTTCCTTCTGGTGCCATGCACATAAAAATGAAACATAGTAGATTTATGATTAACAGACTATAGTGTATTTGATTTTATTTGGTTGCCTAATTCTTTATAAATTCAAATTTTCATCTGTGCACCTGTATAAAACGCAGGGATTTAAGTTACTTGCAGTTGGGCTAGTTAACACAGATATGACTGACTGATCACACTTGAGCCAGGAAATGAATATCTGAGACAAGGTGATGCCAGAATGTTCGGCTCGAAAAAGGAAATCATGGTAGAACTTCATAGAGGTGGACAAAAAAATATATGACACAAATGCAGTATTCAACTCAATAGTGTTTAACTCATCTGATTTTTGTCCAGACAAAAAAACCCATTTTATTCATCCGATGTATTAGATTCAAGTGTGTTGGACACAAGTGAGTTGTACTGTATTTATGATGCACAATGTTCCAGCACTGAAGTATTTTAAAGTAAGCAGCTCTTAAATCCAAATATCGAGAAATTTTAAGATTTAAGTAATGGTAACTGCATGGCACTATTTTATTGCTGTCTTTTGATAATTTTGAATATATGATTATTTCAATTTTAAATGTCATTTTACAGACCTTATATGGTGAATATGCTTCCCTGTCTGGCGAGGATATGTAAGAGGGAAGAGGAGGCAGTACAGGAAACTCTTCTTAGCTCTATGGTGAAGATTTGTCCTGCTCTCATGGTTTTTGCCAATGAATCTGAGATAAAGGTTGGTAATTACATATAAATGAAAACAGAAGAAAATAACAGATTACATTATTAATTAATATGCAATATTATTTTTTATCTTTTCAATCAATTGCCATTAATGGACATTGAGAATGATAATAGTTTAAGATGTTATGTCCTTCAAGCCCTCACTTTATTTAATTAAAAGGATACTAATGAGAAAATTTTTGTAAATATCTTTCACGAAGAAGGTTTCTAAGTCACTCTCAGCTAAGTATGAGGACTTTGTGATCACTGAAATTTCTATTAGAAGTTTGTGTGTGTACTGTGAGAAAGGTAATCTCTGTCAGAGAAAGTTTCTTTTGCACTTTGAGCATGGTGCTTTTTCTGTTAGAGAAAGTCTTGCGTGCACTGTGAGAATGAAATTTCTTGTCAAAGAAAGTGTCGTGTGCACTGTATGCATGGTAATTTCAGTTGAGAAAATGTTTTGTGCTTAGTGATCACTATAATTTCTGTCAGAGAAATTGTTGTGGGCTCTGTGAGCAAGGGAATTTTTGTAGAAAAAGTGTCCCTCTCTTGTGTCATGTGGACATGGTTCATGTCTTTCGTTATAAGGCCTTCCCTACTCTTTATCTACTCGGAGGAAACACTAAAGTGCATGTGTGTTTTATTTCTCTGAAAAGAACACAAGTCTAAAACATAGTGAAGGGAAGATGAGGCAAATGTAGGAATGAAACCTGTTGATTTGATACAGAATAAACAAAGTAGAGGTGTATTAATATTTTATCAATGAAAGATCAAAGCTAATTTTAAAAAAAATTATCACAACACTTGTTAACCTAGTTGAACTGATGGAATAATATTACAGAGTGTTAGCATTCTTTATATTCAATCTGAAAAGGACATGACACAAGATTGCCAAATGTAATAATTTTCAATATTAAAGAAGTGTACATGTTTCCTTTCTGAATTTTTCAGGCATTACTGAAGTCTTTCCTTCCTAACCTGAAGTCGCCTTCAGCTTCGTGTCGGAGGACAGCTGCTACCAGTCTGGTTTTGATCTGTCAGTATTCAAGGAGCCCAACATCCTTCTACAACTATCTGCTGAATGTCTTATTAGGTCTGTGGTAATTTTAGTTAGAGATTCATTTTTGTATGTACAAAACAACACTGGACTTTTTAAAATTTTACATATAGGAAAAGTGATGTAGTCAGACTTGAAAAGATATGATTGATTTTGAGCTGTGACAAAGTGGTAATATATGTTTAAAAGAAATATGAGGAATTGAAAAACCTGTACTTGCTTATTGATGGATACTGAGTCATATCTGATTAATTCAAATTCTGTTGTCATACATTTCACAGATCATAGTTTACTGTTATGGTCATCTAATGATCCTGCAATATACATAATGTTAATTTTCTTCTTTGAAACTGAGATGGATCACCTTTACTTCCAGACATGGTCTTACCAGTGGATGGAGATCAGAATCTACACACCCTGATGGGTGTGGTTCTGTGTATGAGGTCTCTGGTCCCCCATTTAGGGGAGGCAAGTCTGGTTGAACAGGGATTAAAGGGCAGCTTTGGTGTGATGACAAAGGAAAAGATAGAATCTGTCAGCAAAGAACAGCTAATAAAGGTATTATAGTAAAGGCTTCTCTATAATGTTGAGAACTCTGAGCTTGTAGAAGGGGCATTAATGGAGACGCATTTAAACTTATTTTATTTCAAGTAAATATGGTAGCAAATTAATAATAAAATCATACGTTTTTATGGGTCTCAAATTATGTGGTGTAAAAATATGCATTTTCTTTGGCTCTTGATTGAGGTTAAATATTGCTCTCAAAATCCATACATACTATAATCAATCATAAGCTTTATCGATCATTTCATATAAATTCATGTATTATGAGTAACCGCAAACTTAACAAAAATACCTCCACCCCCTCCAAAATTAATAATTCAACTATATCTGTTTAAACACTTATGGCTTAAACTTTTGTTTTAATCAGATTTCAACAATACAAATTAAAATCAATTATGTATTATAAAGAATATAAAAGGAAACAAAAACAAGCGTTATGTCGCTTATGTAAATTTGTTGCCTGATACATTTTTAACAGTTTCAATAGCTACAGGAATGAAGTATTTGAATAACAGAACAAACAAAAATGGATTTCAGAAACTTATTACCTACAACCAATCTTTTGTCTAAGTTACAAATTAAAAGTAGTGTGTCAACCATATCATATATACACTGTCATTCTGTATATGGACAAGTTTCCCTCTGATATCTTCTATGTGAATAACCATTAATCATGTATTGGTAATTGTTTTAGTTGTGTGTACTTGATTCTCATTCCCATTACAACTAATAATACACCTTGAAACTCTTGTTTGATAAAACTTTTTATCAAATAACTACACTGTTAGCATTGTAACAGCACCCATTACATAAATATTTAGTGTGACATACTTCAGTTTCCTCCCACAGAAAGATTCAGTCCAGGCCAACAAGAGTGATTATATAAGCTTAAAGCTTGTTTCACAATTGTTGTAAAATGAATAACGATTAGTATGACATACTGAGGTTCAGTTAAATGAAAAACCATGCAATGCATTAATGTTAATTTGTATGGAAGCTCGTGAAAGATTGTCTGAATATGTGCTGTCATATATATTATACAACTCTAATATCTTTGGCTTATTGTGACAGGTGATCCAGATGCTGTTGCACCTGATGACCCACCGAGACCACAATGTTGTGACAGCTGCCCTGGAGGCCTTCATACAGCTGTTGCGTAACCCCAACCCCTTATTAGTGTCCATATTGACTGTGCCAGGTACCATTACTCGGACCCTTGTGTACCTTGCTGACCAAGCCTCCTCTCCCTCCAATGACTGTAAGTATCCCAATAACATATCTCCTGACCATACACTCCCTGTCTACTGGGACAACCAAGTCTCCTCTTGAAAGAATAAGTATCCCAATGATATATCTCCTGCCTAACACTTCCTGTATATTGGGACAACCAAAATGCCCCCCCTCTTTAATCATTATACATGTAACAGGTTTTCCTTGTCTTGATATTATGTTGTTTGAAGAAATTGGCTTGAGTTAACGCATGTTTGCATGTGGCCTTCTCATAAATGGTTTTCAAAATCTAAGTTTCGCCATCTGATTGACACTTATTTTTGTTCTATTTTTGTTCTTCATTTGTTCTTCAGCTCTACAAGAAGTGCCATCCTTTAGTAAACTGGCAGAGGAGTCTGCTGGGCTTGAGGATGATGCTGACATCCCTGATCCTGTGTCAGACCCTGCAGGGGATGCCTCATCAGCTGAGGGATCTGCTTATGTCTATAATACATTTGTAGCTCGTGGGGAGTCTGGAGCAGGATCTGAAGATACAAGTCCGGTGGATACACAAGTTATTGTCACAACAACAGACTCTGAATATTCTGGTATTGAAATTGGTGATCTCAATGAGGAAAAGTCGGAGAAGTCAAACATGACACAAGTCTGCAGTAGTAGCCAGGAGACTTTACTCAGTATACAGAGCATCAGTCCAACTCGCAAACCTTCTCTCCAAAAGGGCGTCAGCCAGGACTTAAATGGCAACCCTGAGATAGAAGATACGTTTGAAGGCGATCGCAGCCTTCTGCCGTCCCCAGGGGAAGACGTCAGTGTCAGTATTGGCTCCTTGATAGACAGACAGCCTGCTATTGTGTACTGTATACGATTTATAGCCTCTCGGTTTCTGTTATCTGGGTGCAAGCGTGTGTTGAAACCTGACAAAGCTGTACGTGTAAGTGTCAAGTCTCTGGCTCTCACCTGTGTCAGCTCTGCCGTGGCCATGTACCCCCAAGTGTTTCTTCTCAACCTGTTTACAGACGTCTCACAAGGTAGATAACTCACACAATTTAACAAGGAGTTAACACTTGATTTCATTATATCTAGATGTATCAAAATACAGCTCATTTTTAATATACCTGGAAAACCTCATTCTTAGTATCTATTTGAAATTGTTTAAACAAATCCAGTAGCCTGATAGAAATCATTATTAATTAGTGCTAATTTAAAATGAAATTGTCATAGTCTTGTTTGTTGTAAGGAAAGTAAATATCTTATTACCCTCAACTGTCAAATTTCTCTTTTATAATGACTCTATAAGTTAATTATAGATACTAGTTGTATAGCTCTAGAACTTGTATTTATGTACTTTACCAGGCGATTCATCATGTCTTATTGTATGTATTTATGTAGATCTAGACCAGAAGTTAAAGGATGTCTTATTGTATGTATTTATGTAGATCTAGACCAGAAGTTAAAGGATGTCTTATTGTATGTATTTATGGAGATGTAGACCAGAAGTTACAGGATGTCTTATTGTATGTATTTATGGAGATGTAGACCAGGAGATTCAGGATGTCTTATTGTATGTATTTATGTAGATCTAGACCAGGAGATTCAGGATGTCTTATTGTATGTATTTATGGAGATCTAGACCAGAAGTTAAAGGATGTCTTATTGTATGTATTTATGTAGATCTAGACCAGAAGTTAAAGGATGTCTTATTGTATGTATTTATGGAGATGTAGACCAGAAGTTACAGGATGTCTTATTGTATGTATTTATGGAGATCTAGACCAGGAGATTCAGGATGTCTTATTGTATGTATTTATGGAGATCTAGACCAGGAGATTCAGGATGTCTTATTGTATGTATTTATGGAGATCTAGACCAGAAGTTACAGGATGTCTTATTGTATGTATTTATGTAGATCTAGACCAGGAGATTCAGGATGTCTTATTGTATGTATTTATGTAGATCTAGACCAGGAGATTCAGGATGTCTTATTGTATGTATTTATGTAGATCTAGACCAGGAGATTCAGGATGTCTTATTGTATGTATTTATGGATATGTAGACCAGGAGATTCAGGATGTCTTATTGTATGTATTTATGGAGATGTAGACCAGAAGTTACAGGATGTCTTATTGTATGTATTTATGGAGATCTAGACCAGGAGATTCAGGATGTCTTATTGTATGTATTTATGGAGATGTAGACCAGGAGATTCAGGATGTCTTATTGTATGTATTTATGGAGATCTAGACCAGGAGATTCAGGATGTCTTATTGTATGTATTTATGGAGATGTAGACCAGGAGATTCAGGATGTCTTATTGTATGTATTTATGGAGATCTAGACCAGGAGATTCAGGATGTCTTATTGTATATATTTATGGAGATCTAGACCAGGAGATTCAGGATGTCTTATTGTATGTATTTATGGAGATGTAGACCAGGAGATTCAGGATGTCTTATTGTATGTATTTATGGAGATCTAGACCAGGAGATTCAGGATGTCTTATTGTATATATTTATGGAGATCTAGACCAGGAGATTCAGGATGTCTTATTGTATGTATTTATGGAGATGTAGACCAGAAGTTACAGGATGTCTTATTGTATGTATTTATGTAGATCTAGACCAGGAGATTCAGGATGTCTTATTGTATGTATTTATGGAGATGTAGACCAGGAGATTCAGGATGTCTTATTGTATGTATTTATGTAGATCTAGACCAGAAGTTACAGGATGTCTTATTGTATGTATTTATGTAGATCTAGACCAGAGATTCAGGATGTCTTATTGTATGTATTTATGGAGATCTAGACCAGGAGATTCAGGATGTCTTATTGTATGTATTTATGTAGATCTAGACCAGGAAATTCAGGATGTCTTATTGTATGTATTTATGTAGATCTAGACCAGGAGATTCAGGATGTCTTATTGTATGTATTTATGTAGATCTAGACCAGGAGATTCAGGATGTCTTATTGTATGTATTTATGTAGATCTAGACCAGAAGTTACAGGATGTCTTATTGTATGTATTTATGGAGATCTAGACCAGGAAATTCAGGATGTCTTATTGTATGTATTTATGGAGATCTAGACCAGGAGATTCAGGATGTCTTATTGTATGTATTTATGTAGATCTAGACCAGAAGTTACAGGATGTCTTATTGTATGTATTTATGTAGATCTAGACCAGGAGATTCAGGATGTCTTATTGTATGTATTTATGGAGATCTAGACCAGGAGATTCAGGATGTCTTATTGTATGTATTTATGTAGATCTAGACCAGAGATTCAGGATGTCTTATTGTATGTATTTATGGAGATCTAGACCAGGAGATTCAGGATGTCTTATTGTATGTATTTATGGAGATCTAGACCAGGAAATTCAGGATGTCTTATTGTATGTATTTATGGAGATCTAGACCAGGAGATTCAGGATGTCTTATTGTATGTATTTATGGAGATCTAGACCAGGAAATTCAGGATGTCTTATTGTATGTATTTATGGAGATGTAGACCAGAAGTTACAGGATGTCTTATTGTATGTATTTATGTAGATCTAGACCAGAAGTTAAAGGATGTCTTATTGTATGTATTTATGGAGATCTAGACCAGGAGATTCAGGATGTCTTATTGTATGTATTTATGGAGATGTAGACCAGAAGTTACAGGATGTCTTATTGTATGTATTTATGTAGATCTAGACCAGAAGTTAAAGGATGTCTTATTGTATGTATTTATGTAGATCTAGACCAGGAGATTCAGGATGTCTTATTGTATGTATTTATGTAGATCTAGACCAGAAGTTACAGGATGTCTTATTGTATGTATTTATGTAGATCTAGACCAGAAGTTACAGGATGTCTTATTGTATGTATTTATGTAGATCTAGACCAGGAGATTCAGGATGTCTTATTGTATGTATTTATGGAGATGTAGACCAGGAGATTCAGGATGTCTTATTGTATGTATTTATGGAGATGTAGACCAGGAGATTCAGGATGTCTTATTGTATGTATTTATGTAGATCTAGACCAGAAGTTACAGGATGTCTTATTGTATGTATTTATGTAGATCTAGACCAGAAGTTACAGGATGTCTTATTGTATGTATTTATGTAGATCTAGACCAGAAGTTACAGGATGTCTTATTGTATGTATTTATGTAGATCTAGACCAGGAGATTCAGGATGTCTTATTGTATGTATTTATGGAGATGTAGACCAGGAGATTCAGGATGTCTTATTGTATGTATTTATGGAGATGTAGACCAGGAGATTCAGGATGTCTTATTGTATGTATTTATGGAGATCTAGACCAGGAGATTCAGGATGTCTTATTGTATGTATTTATGGAGATCTAGACCAGGAGATTCAGGATGTCTTATTGTATGTATTTATGGAGATCTAGACCAGAAGTTACAGGATGTCTTATTGTATGTATTTATGTAGATCTAGACCAGGAGATTCAGGATGTCTTATTGTATGTATTTATGGAGATGTAGACCAGGAGATTCAGGATGTCTTATTGTATGTATTTATGTAGATCTAGACCAGAAGTTACAGGATGTCTTATTGTATGTATTTATGTAGATCTAGACCAGGAGATTCAGGATGTCTTATTGTATGTATTTATGTAGATCTAGACCAGGAGATTCAGGATGTCTTATTGTATGTATTTATGTAGATCTAGACCAGGAGATTCAGGATGTCTTATTGTATGTATTTATGGAGATCTAGACCAGAAGTTACAGGATGTCTTATTGTATGTATTTATGGAGATCTAGACCAGGAGATTCAGGATGTCTTATTGTATGTATTTATGGAGATGTAGACCAGGAAATTCAGGATGTCTTATTGTATGTATTTATGGAGATGTAGACCAGGAGATTCAGGATGTCTTATTGTATGTATTTATGGAGATGTAGACCAGGAGATTCAGGATGTCTTATTGTATGTATTTATGTAGATCTAGACCAGAAGTTAAAGGATGTCTTATTGTATGTATTTATGGAGATCTAGACCAGAAGTTACAGGATGTCTTATTGTATGTATTTATGCAGATTTAGACCAGGAAATTCAGGATGTCTTATTGTTTGCTAATCACCATGACCCGCAGTTGAAGGGTAATACAACACAGATAGCTGCTAACCTCATCATGTCTGCTCTGAAGGAAAGCCGAGGTAACTTCACAAAGTGGCTGTCTGACTTCCCTGGAAAAGGTAACACATTACTTTCATGTTTTATCTTGTTGCGAGATTGGTATATTATTTGTTGAACACATTATGCTGTTATAAAAAAGGTGAAAAAGTGATATATCATATCCTAAGTTGATGGTATGTTAAGATTTCAATATGCATATGTATACTTCAGTAAATCTATATCTGAAGCAGTTGGAATTTAAACTTCAAAAACAGAAGTTTCCACCTTTTTTCCCCTAAATGTTCTCTAATATTTTTAATTGTTTTGTTTTTCAAGTGGTGGACTTGAGTATCCAGTCCCTGGTGGACATAATACTGGACATTGTGAAAGACAGCTCATCGGTGGCAATTAGACTAGCAATCATTTCCCTACAGACCTGTATCAATCCACTATTACAGAGCATTCATAGTGAACTGGCCCTTCTAGTCCTACTCAGGCTGATGGAAGTCAAGGACAATCCCTATTGGCTAGTCAAGGTTAATATCATAACATTCACAATGAACTGGCCCTTCTAGTCCTACTGAGACCAATGGAGGTCAAGGACAATCCCTACTGGCTGGTCAAGGTTAATGTCATAATATTTACAGTGAACTGGCCCTTCTAGTCCTACTCAGGCTGATGGAGGTCAAGGACAATCCCTACTGGCTAGTCAAGGTTAATATCATAACATTCACAGTGAACTGGCCGTTCTAGTCCTACTGAGGCCAATGGAGGTCAAGGACAATCCCTACTGGCTTGTCAAGGTTAATGTCATAATATTCACAGTGAACTGGCCCTTCTAGTCCTACTGAGGCCAATGGAGGTCAAGAACAATCCCTACTGGCTAGTCAAGGTTAATGTCATAATATTCACAGTGAACTGGCCCTTCTAGTCCTACTCAGGCTGATGGAGGTCAAGGACAGTCCCTACTGGCTAGTCAAGGTTAATATCATAACATTCACAGTGAACTGGCCCTTCTAGTCCTACTGAGGCCAATGGAAGTCAAGGACAATCCCTACTGGCTTGTCAAGGTTAATATCATAACATTCACAGTGAACTGGCCTTTCTAGTCCTACTAAGGCCAATGGAGGTCAAGGACAATTCTTATTGGCTGGTCAAGGTTAATGTCATAATATTCACAGTGAAGTGGCTGTTTAGTCCTACTCCGACTAATGAAGTCAAGGTCATGCCCTACTGGCTGGTTAAGGTTGATATTGTAACGAAGATCAGATATCAAAGTCCTCAGCTTCATTGCTTTAAAATGTCTTTGAATGCAGATGTCTAAAATACATGGTTATTTATTATGAAGGTCTGTTAAGTTTCTAATGTTAAGGTTAGCAGGAAATGATTTGGTCTTACTGATGAACTTTTTCATACTTACAGACAGAGTTACTGGACCTGCTAAGTGGCATCAACTTTAAGATTCTAGTACACCTGGAGTCTTGTTGTACCCTGGCCCAGAGGGGACAGCATCACTTTCTAGGGGTTTGTATAAACATCAAGCTTCCTTTCCTTAAATTACTATGCCCTGTAATAAATATTAAGAGTAAGGGTGGGAATATGCTGAAATCATTTTGTAGTTGTCTGCGGACACAACTCTTCCAAAATATTCTAATGATTTGAATTTAACACTTCTCACAATCACTTAAACTTGTGCTTGTATATTAAAGATAAGTGTCCTTTGATTTAACATATAGCATTGTCTTACATTCTCCTAATTACAAGAGGGTTATAAAAAAATTGATGCATATGTCTGTCATCAGGAGTGATATAGTTTGATATTGAGCCTCTTCAAAGAAGATATACAGTTTATTGTGGTAACACTTAAAGGTATAGAAGACAGCTCTAAAGGAAATATAAATGATGCAAAATATTCTCTGTAGAAAGAGTTCCATAATTTTTGCAGAAACTGAACCTCCAACACCGAGTAATACATAATGTGATTATACCACTACTGGGAAATGAGGACCACCGTGTTCGTCACAGTGCTGCACAGACTCTTGTCAAGTGAGTATCTGACAATCAACAACCCCTTTATAGCATATGTGGACGAATTCATAAATATTAGTTTTCAATGTTTGTTCATAGCAATATGTTATATCACATGCTTTAGTTCATGTGTTAAGTCAAGTGTTTTAAGTCTTAGAAAGTTTGACTCTTAGGTCCAAACATTCAGGCTGATTTTGACCTGTTGTGCTCATTATGATCGTAAAATACTTCTATATTTTTATTGTTATAGGTTGATTCCCCACTTGTTTTTTGCGGCGGACCATTGCCAACAGGATCCTGTGATTGCCATAGCTAAAGACCATACTGGGCGTCTGCTGACCCCTGATCCTCTGTCAGACTCTCCCCCTCTGGTCCAGGGCTTGGTCAAACCTTTCCACTTTGGGGCGGAACATGTGTCCAATGTCCACATAGAGAGTAATCTGTCCAGGGTCATAATGGCACTACTCCATGAACTCAACCTGTCCAATGTTAAACACAACACAGTCAGTAGATTTCAGATCCTCTGTGACTTGCACCTTGGTTCCCATCTTAACCTGGAAATTTAACAAACAAGAATCCCTTCTGTAACTGATATCATCAATGTGACACTTTTTGTTTTTCTAGAAAAGGACATATTTGTATATGAAAATTGTCCATTACAAGAAGTTAGTTGATAGAATGCTTGCTATTTATGTTTTAAGCAGAGTATGCTAATTGGATGTTTTTTTCCAGTATGGATGTTGCCATGCACTGTGCCTGTTGTCGGATTGCTTTCCTGCTACCCAGTATGCCCATTCCTGGGGCTGTGGACCTCCCACACCACTTGTCCCACGGGACAGTACCAATAGAATGGTTATGAGGCGCCCTCCGAGTCGCTCCCTCAGTGGATCAAGGCAAGTCTCTCACACAGTTTGTTGTTAACTGAGTTCATTGCTGTTACAGCTCGTTGCTGTCACAGTTTGTTGGTAACACAGTTTGTTGCTGAAAATGTTGCTGTCACAATTTGTTGAACTGTAAGAGATATCAACATGAAACTTCATAGGTAGATAGATCTCTATAAGGAGTTATTAAAACTCGGTGTACAAATTGATCATACTCTGGGAATATGCAGTATATCAAATTCAGACCCAGCAACTTCTTAATTAAAGAATCATTGCCCTTTGATTATATTTTGTGTTCAATAAAGTTGTTTTTGGGGAGCATTCATGATACTCTTGTTTTGTAACCTCTCTGTAATCATTCCAAATTCTGAATTGATTAGCGATACAGATTTTATTTGACATACAAAATGGCCTGCTGCTGTGGAAAATAATCAGAATATTAATATACCGCTGGAGAAAACTTCTTCTTGGTTGATTGGTTTATTGTAAGACTAGTAAGCTAGAGGTCTAGGTTCAAAGATGTTGAACTTACATTTTGTCATGATATGCTATTTATTTTCTATATCCAGTACCTTTAGCTTGGATGAGATGTCAGGAGGGTCGGGTGGAGGACCACTGACCATCATGCTCTCCTTGTTGACCTCCTCGTTGGTCAGTCTTGACCTGACTGCTCACCATGATACTCTAAAATTGGCTGGCAATTTAGTCTCAGGTATGTAGAAGGAATAAAATGTGGCAAAATATTTTTTCTAGTTCCTAGTCAGGTGTCATAACAACACACAACCTTACTCCAATGCACACACAGGTAAGTTCATATACCATACGCAGACACATCCATGCGACCTTTCACCACTGTAGACCACAACGGACTTTTCCTGCTAAATGTGTGGTAAAGTCTGCCAAAGTTACTGAGGTCCTTATAAATTATGGAACATGGTGAAACTGGAGTGTGCTGATTATATCTGATAGTGTATCAAACTTAAAAGTTGCTGGTATCATTTATTCATCAAATTTTGTCAGGATTTGAAATTTTGCATCATATTTACTTTTCTAATTATCAGTTGTGGTTATTTGTAGGGGCTGCCTACAAATGTCTGCGAAGTGTAGACAATTATAATTTGGCTGACAGCTCTGAGGACACAAAGTGGCAAGGCATATCAGACCGTGTCCTGTATCCCCTGATAGAGCAGTTCCTCACACATATAGCCAGGTAAGTACAGGAAGATAGGTTGGGTAGAATCCCTGATCTTGGTTTTTATTATGAGGAGATATAAAAAAATTCTCATGTCTCACTTGGATCCTTGTTCATCAATTCATTCTCATATGTAGTCTATAAGTGAAATGCTTTCAACCTCTAGTTTTTCCTATAATTTCAGCTCAGGTGGAGCAAGATGCTTGTAAAACATACACAATAGAAATGATATTAGGCTATGTTTATCTACCGATAGAAATAGGGAATAAATAAAGAGGATCTTACAGGAGCTTCTGTTTGATATATGAATTTATGAAATAAGTATAAGAATTTTTTATTTTAATAAGCCTTTGGCAAGGAAAGATGAAAAATTCTTGACATGTTTAATAAATCACATGTACAGTGGAAGTGAATTTTAGATTGTTTTTTATCACATTATTTGTTTTTCAAGAAAATATGTTAGAAAATGGATATTTTCACCTAAAAATTTTGGGTCTATATTTATGGATCCATAGTGATATCACTGTGAATGTGTGACATTTCATTATCTAAAGTGACGTCACGATAAACTATGTTACACATGTTAAATACGCAAAAATATTACATGAGTATATTCACTAAATAACCAAGCAATCATGTGATAAATAGGAAATTGTGAAAGGCATTTCTCTACTTAATCTATTATAAGTACAGAATCTGATTTGTAAAGAGAGGTTCTGATGTTTACTTACAGATTACTGAATGCCTGTTGCCATGTGATTGATGAACAGTTGCCTGGTCCCCCACAGATCAAACCATCCCTGCCCTCTCTTCCCACTGCCCCTTCCCTCAGTCCTATCAAGCGTAAGGCTAAGGGAGAGAAGGATGGCAGTAGTGCACCTGGTACCCCAGGATCATCTGAAAAGTCTACACCCAAACAACAGAAAGGTATGCAGGTATCTGGTACCCCAGGGGTATATAAAAAGTCTACACCCAAACAACAGAAAGGTATGCAAGTATCTGGTACCCCAGGGGTATATAAAAAGTCTACACCCAAACAACAGAAAGGTATGCAAGTATCTGGTACCCCAGGGGTATATAAAAAGTCCACACCCAAACAACAGAAAGGTATGCAAGTATCTGGTACCCCAGGGGTATATAAAAAGTCTACACCCAAACAAGAGGAAGGTATGCAGGTATCTGATACCCCAGGGGTATGTAAAAAGTCTACACCCAAACAAGAGGAAGGTATGCAAGTATCTGGTACCCCAGGGGTATATAAAAAGTCCACACCCAAACAAGAGGAAGGTATGCAAGTATCTGGTACCCCAGGGGTATATAAAAGTCCACACCCAAACAACAGAAAGGTATGCAAGTATATGGTACCCCAGGGGTATATAAAAAGTCCACACCCAAACAAGAGGAAGGTATGCAAGTATCTGGTACCCCAGGGGTATATAAAAAGTCCACACCCAAACAAGAGGAAGGTATGCAAGTATCTGGTACCCCAGGGGTATATAAAAAGTCCACACCCAAACAACAGAAAGGTATGCAAGTATCTGGTACCCCAGGGGTATATAAAAAGTCCACACCCAAACAACAGAAAGGTATGCAAGTATCTGATAACCAGGGTCATGTGAAAAGTCCACACCCAACCAACAGAAAGGTATGTAATTACTTGGTACCCCAGGGTTATCTGAAAAGTCCACACCCAACCAACAGAAAGGTAAGTAAATACCTGGTTCCCTAGGGGTATCTAAAAAGAACAGAAAAGTATGTTAGTACCAGGTACCCATGGTCATCCCAAAAGTCCACACCAAAATGATAGAAGGCATAATTCTCACAAATATATCCGTTAAAAACATATTGTCTGCTTAAGGTTTGAGAACCTGCAAGAACAGCTAATTGCATGAGATTGAAGAATCTCGTATATTTGGAGTGAAAATTGTCTCTTTTGACAAATATCTGTAAGAAACAAATATATTCAAAGATGTCAAAAAATATGCTGTAAATTGAAAGCCTTTTTTTTCTCATTTTGTTTTTTTCAGACAGGTGATATAAAGATATTGTGTAAATAATTTCTTTGCCAAATAAGTTCATTTGATGGCTTTGGTATTACTGAAATATGAGAGTTATCTTTCCTTAGATAAAGACAAAGAACCTGAGAGGGAGCGAAACAAGAAGGACGGACTTGGTACATTTTACAGTCTGCCACAGTACATGAAGCTGTATGAAGTCCTCAGGGGAGCGTACTCTACCTATAAAGTCAGTATTGTAAATAAACTTAAGATACTTTGGTCATTTGGGCAGCTTTAAATACAACATTTTCAAAAATTAAAATACTATTGGAAGTTACCAGAAAACAGTCTTTCTGATGTTGGAAATTAATTCTGCTAAAATTCCTGCAGTGTATTTGCTGTATAAACATTTTAGAATAGAAGGAGAAGTTTATATGTGTTTGCAGCAGAAGAGTTGGTCATGAATTCATGTCCACATTCAAAATTAGCAGGAAAAGTATATGTGAGAATTTTTCATTATTATAAAGTATTTGTTCTGGTATTTGAATCCATTTGTCATCATATCAAGTCAAGGGGAATATTTTGGATGGTTCATCTTTCCTGTTAACAATAAAGAGGTATGTTTTCAGATTTCCTTGGACCTAGGGACTACTGACAAGTTCTGTGTCCTACTGAAGTGTACACTTGAGTGTCTGGCCCAAGTGCTAGAGATTGCAAGTTTGCAAGACATTGGGAAGTATGCAGAAGAGCTGCTCGGCTATCTCAGGACAACTGTATCACTGGAGCCCACATGTACCATACTCTGTGTACAGCAGGTACGTTGTAAATCCACCTCTGTACATGAGGTAGTCACTAAACCTACCTGTATACAATAGGTATGTCCTAACTCCATCTGTGTACAGCAGGTACATTGTAAATCCACCTCTGTACATGAGGTAGTCACTAAACCTACCTTTATACAATAGGTATGTCCTAACTCCATCTGTGTACAGCAGGTACGTTGTAAATCCACCTCTGTACATGAGGTAGTCACTAAACCTACCTGTATACAATAGGTATGTCCTAACTCCATCTGTGTACAGCAGGTACATTGTAAATCCACCTCTGTACATGAGGTAGTCACTAAACCTACCTTTATACAATAGGTATGTCCTAACTCCATCTGTGTACAGCAGGTACTTTGTAAATCCACCTCTGTACATGAGGTAGTCACTAAACCTACCTGTATACAATAGGTATGTCCTAACTCCATCTGTGTACAGCAGGTACATTGTAAATCCACCTCTGTACATGAGGTAGTCACTAAACCTACCTGTATACAATAGGTATGTCCTAACTCCATCTGTGTACAGCAGGTACATTGTAAATCCACCTCTGTACATGAGGTAGTCATTAAACCTACCTGTATACAATAGGTATGTCGTAACTCCATCTGTGTACAGCAGGTACGTTGTAAATTCACCTCTGTACATGAGGTAGTCACTAAACCTACCTGTATACAATAGGTATGTCCTAACTCCATCTGTGTACAGCAGGTACGTTGTAAATCCACCTCTGTACATGAGGTAGTCACTAAACCTACCTGTATACAATGGGTATGTCCTAACTCCATCTGTGTACAGCAGGTACATTGTAAATTCACCTCTGTACATGAGGTAGTCATTAAACCTACCTGTATACAATAGGTATGTCGTAACTCCATCTGTGTACAGCAGGTACGTTGTAAATTCACCTCTGTACATGAGGTAGTCACTAAACCTACCTGTATACAATAGGTATGTCCTAACTCCATCTGTGTACAGCAGGTACGTTGTAAATCCACCTCTGTACATGAGGTAGTCACTAAACCTACCTGTATACAATAGATATGTCCTGATCCACCTTTCTACATTAGGTATGTCCTAACTCCACCTATTTGAAAAGATATTAACTAATCCTGCCTGTTTATAGTGAGTTTAACCCAAACCTTTCCTGTACAGCTGCTTTGTCTAAATTTAAATATGTAAACCAGGTAGGTCCAAAAGTTGCCTGTGTACAGATTAAAATAAATTTATTACATATCACCAAATCAAAATTTTGCGATCTGCATTTTAAAGGATATTAAATTTTTAAAGATATTGCTCCCAATGTTAAGTTTCAAATAGATGATTAATGAGTCTTCAGTCAAAACACCACTGTAATTCATAACAATGATTTGTACTTTTAAACAAAAATATTCTTTAACTGTAACAAATAGCCTTAAATCCGTTCTAAATAGCTGTTATGTCAGAAGATAATTGGAAACTTCTGAGTTGGCTATTGGCTGTACAAATAAGAAAACAGACGTATATCATATCACAGAAATATTTACTTGTGTCTGATTATTTTCACTAATCAAATTGTCACACTTATGGTACTGCCCCTCAAAATAGTGAAAATATTATTGCTGCTAAAAATCACTGATTCTGTACATATTTTAATCAATGAAAATTTAAGTAGTAAATAAGGTATTATTATACATGATACAATGTATATGACATTGTTCTAAACTTTTGTATTTTTATATAAATCTATATTTCAGCTTTTGAAAGCATTGTTTGGTACAAATCTAGTAAGTCAGTGGGAGCCGCAGCAGGCTATCAATGTGTCACACAAACCTGGCAAGGCCACACGACTGACCTCCAACACCAGACCAGGGCTCTACAGTCACTGTTTCACACAGCCTTACTCTCACTTCACACAATCCCTCGCTGCTGCCACCTTCAAAGCCACTGCCCAGACTGAGCAGGAGGAGACAACCAGGTAGGGATGAAATTATACAGGGTCAAGGTCACTTAACTGAATGTCCAAAAATGGAAACATCTTAGCAGGAAAAGATAATACAGGGGGTTACATTTGGATATTATGAAAAAATGTCTCTGATGTTCAGATATTGTTGTCTGACATTATGAAAATCCTTGCTGTTTATTTATTTGCAATAATTTGTTTCAGTATTTTAAATTGGTTGAAGAAATGTGTAGAAAGAAAGCTTCCAGCAATTCTGAAACCTGGAAGTAAAACAGATAAGGTGAGTTGTAGATCTATGAAAGGTTGTTAATAACAAGACTAGTCAATTGAATGATAAAATAGCGATACATTGTAGTCCTAATTTGGAATATTTGGAATTATTTCGAATTATTTAGGGGGAATTTGGAGGAGACACCTATGCTAAAATTTTACATTTATATGAAAGATGGTTCTTAATTCCATTGTAGTATCATGTTTTAATTGTGATGTCATCAGGAGAAGTAGTTCTTCTGACCATTACAGAGTATCAGACAATATAGTAATACAATTATTTATGAGATGCGAGTTCGGCCTTGGGAAAAATCACTTTGAAGGGTTGATGATATATCATTGTAACTAGAGAATTACAAGTTGATAACTGTTTTATCATATAATGTTTCCCCAACATTCTCACTTTACAAAATGATTGTTTCCTATCGTCAGATAGAATGGATAAAAAGAAAAAATAGTGATTGATGGAAGGAAGAGAAAAGGTTGAAAATAACAATAAAAACAGTATAGAGATTTCAACTGACTTGATCATGTGATATTGCTAAAAATTCAACGAAATTTCTATGCCAATATATTTCAAGACAGATTGCTCAATTTCAGATACATTAGTGCAATTATTTAACAATAGATGTGGGAAAGTCTCTTGTTACTGCATTTAAGTAAGAACTGATGTTGTTGGATTGTTATCTGAACCCAGAGGGCTGACTTTTTGTTGATGTATTTGAGCAAGTTGAGCAAGTTTGAATTTCAGCCAAACAGGAAAAAGGAAAAAATCCTGCCATGTAATAACATTAATTAGTACCGTAACTGAATTTGTTGATGGTTTTGTTTGTGTTTTCCTCTTAGGCTGCTATTGCTGCATACATACGCCTGTTTGAGCCTCTAGTAATCAAGGCCCTAAAGCAATATACCGTGACAAGCTGCCTAGAACTTCAGCGACAGGTCCTTGATCTCCTGTCTCAACTTATACAGCTCCGTGTCAACTACTGCCTCCTCGACTCAGATCAGGTCTTCATCGGATTCATTATCAAACAGATAGATTTCATAGAGGAGGGCCAGATCAGGTAGGAACACATCTAAAGTGGAAGTGTCTAGTTCAGATCAGATAGGAGCACATCCAAAGGGGAGGTGTCTGGTTCAGGTCAGGTAGAAAGACATTCAAAGGGGAGGTGTCTAGTTCAGGTCCGGTTAGAGCATTCATTGGAAGATTTTTAGGTATGATAAGGTAGAAACACATCCAATGGGAAGGTGTTTAGGTTGTATCAAATACGAGAACAATTAAAAGGGAAGTGTCGAGGTCAGGTCAGGTAGAAGCACAATTAAAGAGAATGTGTCTAGGCCAGATTAGGTGTGAATACATGAATGGGAATTTTTTTTTTAAGTCAGATCAGGGAGTAACCCATCCAGTGGGGAAGATTTCTCTTTACTACATGTGTTTTAAAGTGTTCAGAACCAAAATGTGTTAATTAATCAAATCAGCTGGATACCAAATGTAATTCTTCCATCTTGGAACAAAACCAAAGATATTCATTTGAACTCTGAATGAAATCTACACATTCTGTTGGATGGTTGACATCATATTGTGACTATATTCCTATAAATCTAAGCTTAATGTTATGGATGGCAATATTGCAACTGGTGTCATTATGGTAAACATAAGTGTTTTATTTCAGAATCTGGCACTGTCTGATTCCTTACTTACTATTTCAGAATCTGGCACTGTCTGATTCCTTACTTGCTATTTCAGAATTTGGCTCTGTCTGATTCCTAGCTTGCTATTTCATAATCTTGCATTGTCTGATTCCTAACTTGCTATTTCAGAAACTTGGACAGTCAATTTCTTTACTTGTTATTTCAGAAACTCGGACAGTCTGATTCCTAACTTGTTTAACTTCCTGGTGATGCTGTCATATGAAAAATACCATAGTAAATCTATAATTGGAATGCCCAAGATTATTCAACTGTGTGATGGCATCATGGCTAGCGGCCTTCACCCTACAACTCACGGTAGGTATTGACCCTAAACAAGTCTGATGGCACATTTTTTTTACTGATACATTTTATGTTTTAAAAAAATTAAAAGGTCAATGGTATAAATACATTCAAAAGAGGACAAATTTCCTAGTGCTGTAATCTGTAGGAATTCATTTGGTATTGGACTAGTCTGTTAGACAATTATCACTATAACATTCTCTGAATCTTGTATGCAGGAGTTTAAGAAAAAACAGGATTTTGTTGAGATTATTGAATAGCATCAGCCAGTGTTTTGATATTTGCCAGCATGTTTGCTTATTTATAGAATTTCCCCTATGACAGGCCTAAAATTGCTTTAACTTCAAAAGGATTTCTACTTTCGATACCTCCTACTTAAAACAATGATTGACAGTAATTGTGTGATTATTTAATGGTAATAGTTGTGTGCCTGTTTTTCAGCTATCCCTGCTCTGAAGCCTATTGTATATGATTTGTTCTTGCTACGAGCTGCCAATAAATCTGACATCAGTCGTGAATTGGAGACACAGAGGGAGGTAGTCGTGTCCATGTTACTTCGCCTCATTCAGTATCATGAGGTATGAGGGATGTACTCAGCTCTTCATTTCGCTGAGAAATTGATTGTTGGAGATTAAACTTGTCTACCTTACTTACATTGTATACATGTTTTGTTGACAAGTATTTATGTCACATGCTGTGGTCTGGAAGTTTGTACTGAATTAGAAACATGACAGAAAGGATTTCTGATCTAAGCTGAAGTATCTGCACACTGACAGACTATACCGGTGTGGGAAGTAGAACAATTGGATATCATTTAGATATTATGATCCTTTTTAATTGAAAAACTAAGAATATTGTGAAGAAAAAATTCTTATCTTTGGTTTAGATGATTAATAACTTAATGTATTTGAATTTTGAATTTCGCTTGGAATGTTGGGAGATATTTGAGTAGGTGTATTTGTCTTGATGTAATTGATGGAGATTATTTGACAGAATAGATTGTTGTGTTATTAATTAGAAGGTTTTACGTGTTGTATTGGACTGTATATACTTCATTGGGTATATGGTTTTAACTGTTACAGACTCTAGACCTGTTAGTAATAGTCCTACAACAATGCCACAAGGAAAGTGAGGAACGTTGGAAGAAGTTGTCAAGACAGGTGACAGACACCATCCTGCCATCGCTAGCCAGACAACAGGTATATCAATTAACCAGTAGGAGGTCATCAAAGCTTTTCTCTGATACTCTTGATACTTGGGCAAGAATACATGTTGAAGACTATCTACTGTCTTCTGTAGCTTCACCCATCTTTTGCTAATTGAGAATTTTGTACCCTAATGTTTTTTGCAGTGTAAACTGATCTCTTTATATCCCAGACTTCTATTTGGAGCTTCATTTACCTGTAATTAACAGCCATGTATATCGATCATCAGACTTCAGACGTTTATTATAGATTATAAATTTTATAAATCTGTCACTTTTCAATATCCAGGTAACAATTGACAGCATGGCTGCACTGGAGACTCTTCACCGTCTGTTCGAGTCACTAGCCCCTATCGTGTTCAGACCAGTAGATATCCTACTGAAGACCCTCCTCCAAGAACCCATGGATGTGGTAAGTTCTGTGATGCACAATTATTTGATTTTAGTACCTGATCTGCTGCAAAAGAGAGCCTGTCACGATCTTAGTATGTTAGGTATCGGATCTTTATGTTGATTGACCACAAAACCTTCCTCTGAATACTTGATATTAAAAAATTGGTTTAAACAATATTTGTATTCATTATTCAACAATTTCAAACATACATATAATTTATATGGGAAACCGGAAAACAAGCTTAGAGCTTATATACATTCCTTTACAAACCCCATTATATGTTGTTACTACTGTTACACATCTGAGCTAGCTTGAGTAATAATAGAAAAGGGTTAGTTGTTTTGGCATCCTGAGATGTAGATTTGTACTGAAGTTTGTAAACTTATCTTTTTATGTGGACATAAATTTACATCTCACAGAATGTAAGATGAACTTATGAGTCATGTAAAGTTTTTTGGTTGGTTTGATATAATTCTTTGTTATTGCCTGTTATATTTTAACCGATCAGAGACTCTAGCCTACAAATTTATGTAAATGATATTAGTGAATAAAGAACAACTGATCTGATCGCTTATTTAACAAATTAAATGATTTGACCTCACAGAGACATTGCACAAGGTTTACTTGCCAAACATTTGGCAAATATTTTGTCAGGCCGCCATTTTGTTTAAAAGCTGCATCATATATGAGAGTATATGCACATTTGAAAGAGTTGCTAAGCTTCTAAATGACATGAAAGTTACTCTAAAAATGTATTGGGTACTTTTAAGTAGCAAGCAACAACGGGATTTTTTACAGGTTAGCTGCTTTTGTATTGTGAAGTACACAGTTGATAACTTAATGGTACCATACCTATATGAACTTGGTTATGACTGGAGGTTAAAAGCTGGGACACTCTTTTATTTTTTTAATTTTGTTTCCATTTTATTGACAGATTTTTTTCCCTTGATTCTAATACTTCTTACTATGAAACTAGTGAATACCAAATTATTTATGGTACCATAATCGTTTCGCAGCACACAAGTTATTTTTGTTTTACCGAGACTGCTGCATTATGTGTTACTGGGTCCTTTGACCAATATAAGGATACTTGAAAGAAAAAGCTGCATTTTAAATACACTAATACATAAACTCTTATTGATGGTTAGCTTGCAACAATAATAAATTTTGTTTTTGGGACTAAATTTTTCAGTTATGTGTAGATTTTCGTTAAAAGATTGTAATGTCTATGTTTTTTGTAGGCTTGTGTAGAGAACCTCCAGCGCTGGGTGTCCCTCGTCCTCTCCGTCCTGCGTGTCCTAATGGCACAGTCTAAAGAGGAAGTGATCTTGTCACGCATGCAAGAACTAGGACTTGGTTTGAATGTATTTAAGGTACCCAGTCGGGAGATGACAACTGAGGAGAGAGATCTGGCCCTCACTCTTTCACCAGAGGAAGTGTTAGCTTGGTAAGTGACGGAAAGAGAGGAAGCTCCTTATAGCTAATCAGAAAGTCAGACACTTCATTTCTCAATGTCTGAATCAGTCTGTGTAAGGGAAGGTAATATACTGGAAAAGAGGTGGAAACCTAAGTCAGTTCACGTAAAGGTCATATCCTGGTAAACAGAGGAAGCCCTAAATTAGTCTAGTAACGGGGAGGGGTGGGGGTGGGGCGGTAATATCCTGGTTAAGAAGTGAAACCCTAAATTAATCCATGGAAGGGGAGAATATATCCTAGCAAAGAGGAGGAACCCTAAATGAGTCCCTATAAAGAGAGGTAATATCATGGAACAGAGTTGGAACCCTAATCAGTTCATGTAATGGGAGGTAATATCCTGATAAAGAGACGGAACCCTAAATTAATCCATGTAAGGTGAATAATATCCCAAGTAAAGCTGTGGAACCCTATAGTAGTCCATGTAAGAGGTTGTAATATCCTGGTACTTAGGGTTTTATTTGTAAGTTTTAAGATATGGGTCTTGATGGCAGAGAACAGTTCATAAACACCAGTTAGTAGGAGGTAATCATACTAATGTATTAGTACAGGTGTACTTATCAAGGTACTGATGGCTTTACTCTGATAAAAGTCCAGATTTTGTATTGGGAACATCCAGGTAGTTATAGACTTATTATGAGCACAGGAAAAAAATTGCGAGGAAAATATGAATGAGGGCAGTATTCATTTAAGTAAAGCTAATGCCCTATTTATTTGTTTACCCAGGTTCCTGATACAGGTGATTGGTAACTGTGCCAGCTACATCAGTCAGAAATGTGAGCTGACCGGTCTGTCTTCCTCGTCCACGTTTCTTACCCAGCAACTGTCTCAGCTTCTCCTCTATGTAACACACATGTTCCAGTCTGGTGAGATTCTACATTATACACCAGCTATTCTTCATCTTATTGTTCCAGACTACAATGTCTACAATTTACAGGGATACGAAAAGTTGATAAATTATGAAACCCGTTTTACCAAAACTTGAACATGTTAACATTTATAATGTATTAAATCATACTGAAGTGTTTGAAAGAAAAAAATCAGCCATGAAAATGATTAACTTCAGAGTTAGGAAAATGTGGATTTTGTCTTCAGGTATTCCTTATTCATCTAAATTCTTGATAAAAATGAGCAAAAAATAAACCCTGTTTTATGGTAATTTTAATTGATAAACAATTCAGAAATGTTCTTCTTATAGAACAAATACAGAATGCATTGAACTCCAATAAGAGTAATTAACTTTATGACATTGAAGTCAACTACAAGGATTGATCTCTGATGTCTGTATTTTCTCAGGTCTGTTTAGGAAGGTTGCTACATCAGCAATGAAGGCCTCCCACCTAGACACCCCACACTGTTATCATAGTATCCAGGAACTCAATCACATGTTTCTGTCAGTCTCCATGACACTTCCCACCCTCACTCTACAGTGGTGTAATATTTTAATTCTCCTCAACTTTGATGATCAGACACTGTGGAGTACAGTGATGCAGACCCCTAAGCGCTTCCTTAAACCTGGCAAAAGGTAAGACAAACAGCCAAAATCATAGCGATATTTTGAATTCCTTTACCTTTAGTTTTAATGAAGCAATTTCAGTAAAGCAAAGCCAGGTAAGCAATACAAGCCCTATGGACCTCTTGTTTATAACAACCTCAAATGAAACAAAGGTCTCTGATTGTTTATAAAGGATGAGCGCCTACTAGATACAACACGCAAGAATATTTATTTTATGTCGTATATCACAGAATTTTAAAAAATTAGCTCAGTAGAGCTATATTTGTGATAAACAGGTGGTATTTTTTTATCCTTTGGGATGGCAGCTATTGATAAAAGTATTGCGAATAACATCTGGTGTTTCAAATTACAGTCATTCAGCAGACCTTGAGGTACAGGTGTCTCCCATGACACACTGTTGTAACCTGGAGATCCTGCGACGTGGAGGCCTAGTTCTCTTCTGTGACTATGTGGTGAGCTTCTCAGTCTCCACCTGTATTTGCCATTTGAAAATTTCATTACCTATAATCATTTTTCATTTCTCATCAAAACAGAAAATAATGTCAATAAGGTTCATTATTCTGTAATTGTTTAAAAGTTTTGTTATGTATAAATATCTAAATACTCAAAGAACCATTATGATAGAGTAGTTACAGGAAGTGAGATCACTTATTTTTACACTTTAATTCAAATCTCATGTTTACAGTGTGAAAATCTAACTGAAGCGGAACATATGACATGGTTGGTAATCAACCATGTTAGTGACATCATAGCCCTTTCTCAAGAGTCACCTGTCCAGGACTTTGTCAGGTAGGTGTAAGTGACATCATAGCTCTCTCTGGAGTCACCTGTCCACAACTTTGTCAGGTAGATATTAGTGACATCATAGCTCTTTCTGGAGTCACCTGTCCAGGACTTTGTCAGGTAGGTGTTAGTGACATCATAGCTCTTTCTGGAGTCACCTGTCCAGGACTTTGTCAGGTAGGTGATAGTGACATCATAGCTCTTTCTGGAGTCACCTGTCCAGAACTTTGTCAGGTAGGTATTAGTGACATCATAGCCCTCTCTCTGGAGTCACCTGTCCAGGACTTTGTCAGGTAAGTATTAGTGACATCATAGCTCTCTCTGGAGTCACCTGTCCAGAACTTTGTCAGGTAGGTGTTAGTGACATCATAGCTCTCTCTTGAGTCACCTGTAAAGAACTTTGTCAGGTAGGTATTAGTGACATCATAGCCCTCTCTCTGGAGTCACCTGTCCAGAACTTTGTCAGGTAGGTGTTAGTGACATCATAGCCCTCACTCTGGAGTCACCTGTCCAGGACTTTGTCAGGTATGGTGACATAATAGCACTCTCTCAGAAGTCATTTGTCCAAGACTTTAATAAGAATAGGTTGGTCACTGGGACTTTGTTAAAAAGAGGTTGGTTACTAGGACTTTGTTAAGAAGAGGTTGGTTACTAGGACTTTGTTAAAAAGAGGTTGGTCACTAGGACTTTGTTAAGAAGAGGTTGGTTACTAGGACTTTGTTAAGAATAGGTTGGTCACAAGGACTTTGTTAAGAATAGGTTGGTTACTAGGACTTTGTTAAGAATAGGTTGATCACTAGGACTTTTTTAAGAATAGGTTGGTTACTAGGACTTTGTTAAGAAGAGGTTGGTTACTAGGACTTTGTTAAGAAGAGGTTGGTTACTAGGACTTTGTTAAGAAGAGGTTGGTTACTAGGACTTTGTTAAAAAGAGGTTGGTTACTAGGACTTTGTTAAAAAGAGGTTGGTTACTAGGACTTTGTTAAGAAGAGGTTGGTTACTAGGACTTTGTTAAGAAGAGGTTGGTCACTAGGACTTTGTTAAAAAGAGGTTGGTTACTAGGACTTTGTTAAGAATAGGTTGGTCACAAGGACTTTGTTAAGAATAGGTTGGTCACTAGGACTTTGTTAAGAATAGGTTGGTTACTAGGACTTTGTTAAGAAGAGGTTGGTTACTAGGACTTTGTTAAAAAGAGGTTGGTTACTAGGACTTTGTTAAGAAGAGGTTGGTTACCAGGACTTTGTTAAAAAGAGGTTGGTTACTAGGACTTTTTTAAGAAGAGGTTGGTTACTAGGACTTTGTTAAGAAGAGGTTGGTTACTAGGACTTTGTTAAGAAGAGGTTGATCACTAGGACTTTGTTAAGAATATGTTGGTCATTCTAGGACCTGCAATTTCACATGTCACTCTGACTAGGATCATTTAATAATTGTCCTTGAACCTTTTGTCTGATACTAAGTAACATTATAGAACTGCCCAAGTCTAATTATTATCTTTGGGGTTATTTTCAGTGCCATACACAGGAATTCCTCTGCCAGTAGTCTCTTTATACAGGCAATACATGCGAGGTGTGAAAATGTCTCAAAGGTAAGTCATAAGCTATTCAATAGTAACACATTTTCTGTTACTGTTTTATCTGTTTAAAACTGTGTTATTCTATATATTGCTCCTCTGAAAGAGGACTGTTTTATTTTTTTCATTGTGCTTCAATCAAATGCTTTCCCCCTTGAAAATAGATAAAGAATTTTAATAACTTAAGATAAAAGATGTCCATGTTGTGGCTTTTGTATTATTTAACAGTAAGCCATTTTCCTGAAGACAAAACCATTTTACTGAATATCAATACACATTTAGCTTGGTATGAGCAAAACTTGACATAATGAAACCTGTTGATCAAAGTGAGTGATATGTATATGTGTTATATAACAGCCGTCACTGGTAAGGAAGACGATGAAATGCCTTGAGGCGATCCACTTGTCCCAAACGGGCTCCCTTCTTACCTTGCTCATAGACAAGTTCCTCAACACACATCACCTGGCTGTGGCACGTATCTGTGACAGTATCGCATGTAAGAGGGTCGAGATGTTATTGGCTGACAGTGTACAGGTAAAATTATCTGCAGTTGTAATTATCCAAGCTCTTTATCAAATAATGATCACAATTAATTTAGTAGTAAAATGTCTTAATCAGTGATATCTTGTAAAATCATATACAGTTGTGTGCATCTGCAGGAAAGATCAAAACAAAACCGTCAAACCAACATGAACATGGCATCTTGGAAAATTATCTACATAAGGAATTCTGTTGAAAAATATCTTAAATAAGTTTCTCAGTCTGTCTGTCACAGCATCAGGACATTTTGTGAAATAATTTTGTTGTTAATCATCATATTTTGACTCTGACCATGTGAGGGAAATGTTACCACTGGTACAAACTTTGACAACTGTGGTAATTGTCATTTTACCTTTTTTAAAGGATGCCTTCAAACAGTTGCCTCTAGAGGATCTCACCAAGCTTCTTAAATACATGGAAAGCAACAAACTAACCAAACGGTGAGTTGGTAGTCGGAAAAAAGTGTGTACTGAATTTACCAAGCAGTGAGTTGGTAGTCGGAAAAAAGTGTGTACTGAATTTACCGAACAGTGAGTGGGTAGTTAGGAAAAAGGATGTACTTACCAGACAGTGAATGGGTAGTTAGGAAAAAGGTTGGACTTACCTGACAGTGAGTGAGTAGTTAGGAAAAAGGTTGGACTTACCAAGCAGTGAGTGAGTAGTTAGGAAAAAGGTTGGACTTACCTGACAGTGAGTGAGTAGTTAGGAAAAAGGATGGACTTACCAAGCAGTGAGTGAGTAGTTAGGAAAAAGGTTGGACTTACCTGACAGTGAGTGAGTAGTTAGGAAAAAGGATGGACTTACCAAGCAGTGAGTGGGTAGTTAGGAAAAAGGATGTACTTACCAAGCAGTGAGTGGGTAGTTAGGAAAAAGGATGGACTTACCAAGCAGTGAGTGAGTAGTTAGGAAAAAGGATGGACTTACCAAGCAGTGAGTGGGTAGTTAGGAAAAAGGATGTACTTACCAGACAGTGAGTGGGTAGTTAGGAAAAAGGATGTACTTACCAGACAGTGAGTGAGTAGTTAGGAAAAAGGATGGACTTACCTGACAGTGAGTGGATAGTTAGGAAAAAGGATGGACTTACCAGACAGTGAGTGGGTAGTTAGGAAAAAGGATGGTCTTACCAGACAGTGAGTGGGTAGTTAGGAAAAAGGATGGAATTACCTGACAGTGAGTGGATAGTTAGGAAAAAGGATAAACTTACCTGACAGTGAGTGGATAGTTAGGAAAAAGGATGTACTTACCTGACAGTGAGTGGGTTCTTAAAAATACTTTTAATGTGGTATATTAGTGGTAACCTGATAGTTAGGGTTGAATATCTTATAAACCACATTTACCTGATTGATGTAGAAATATTGATGATCTTACATAACATTGGCCTCTCATGACTGTGTCAACAGAAACCTTTTAAGTTAATAATAGTAATTTTTCCACTGCATTGATTTTGATAATAAATGACATTTGTCTTCATAATATTCTCCATGAATGATGTATTTGTTCATATGTTTGACAGGGTCACTTATAAAGCTGTTTACTGTCGTCCATATTACTTTTGCACATTTGAACATTATTAGAATAAGTTAAAATCTAGTTTCATTGAAAAGTCAGATTCCTGGATTCCAATTAACATCAAAACTCTGACATTGTACAGGCCTTTAGTTTTTATAGTCGCTGACTAATTGAGACAAAACAGAAATATGTATTTTATCTCTTGTTCCCAGTCATGCACGCCTGGTGTCCCTGCTACAGAAGCTGAGGATGGAGATACACCCGGAGGAAACAGCTGATATTGTGGGAGAAAGGCCACACCCTTTGTCTCTCCCGAAGTCCCTGTCTGATATAAACATCAACAAGGTCAGCTGCTACAGATTGTGTTGTTACCACATTAAGGACATCAAGCTAAAGGCTTAGGTTTTGATGGTCATCAGTCCATCAGATGGTGCCCCACTATTCAGCTTTAATCTGTTGTTTGTCTTATAAAAGACTTATAAAAATGTTGTTTTGTAATCATTACTTCCACAGAAATTCAGAAGAGTTCACCTTGAAAGTCTTATAAACTTGCTTAGTAAGGATTCTAGTTATGTATGACATACATTAAGCTTCAGCTATTTTTGTATGGACTTTAGCAAAGTAGTTATAACAAAAGGTTTTCTTCTGCATTTTGTTCCATTTGTTAGATATAAGATAAATTTTAATATGAAAATTTCATATGAAAAATGGATGCTTTTTCAACTTCAGGAGTGCTATGTGTCTATAGTGAAGAACCAGTGTTTTAGTGCTGACTGTAATCCCAGTGAATGTGCCAAACTACTGCATAACCTTACGTATGCTGATATTCTCTCCATCACTATGACCAAGGTATGTCCCGATAGCCCTAATTACATAGATATTCTCTCCATCACTATGACCAAGGTATGTCCCGATAGCCCTAATTACATAGATATTCTCTCCATCACTATGACCAAGGTATGTCCCGATAGCCCTAATTACATAGATATTCTCTCCATCACTATGACCAAGGTATGTCCCGATAGCCCTAATTACATAGATATTCTCTCCAACACTATGACTTTGGTATGTCCCGATAACCCTAATTACATAGATATTCTCTCCATGGCTATGACCAAGGTATGTACAAATAAACTTTTATATGCTGTGACATCCTCTCCATCACTATGACCAAGGTATGTACAAATAAACTTTTATATGCTGTGACTTTCTCTCCATCACTATGACCAAGGTATGTACAAATAAACTTTTATATGCTGTGATATTCTCTCCATCACTATGACCAAGTTATGTCCCGATAGCCCTAATTACGTAGATATTCTCTCCATCACTATGACCAAGGTATGTCCCGATAACCCTAATTACATAGATATTCTCTCCATGGCTATGACCAAGGTATGTACAAATAAACTTTTATATGCTGTGACATCCTCTCCATCACTATGACCAAGGTATGTACAAATAAACTTTTATATGCTGTGACATCCTCTCCATCACTATGACCAAAGTATGTACAAATAAACTTTTATATGCTGTGACTTTCTCTCCATCACTATGACCAAGGTATGTACAAATAAACTTTTATATGCTGTGATATTCTCTCCATCACTATGACCAAGTTATGTCCCGATAGCCCTAATTACGTAGATATTCTCTCCATCACTATGACCAAGGTATGTCCCGATAACCCTAATTACATAGATATTCTCTCCATGGCTATGACCAAGGTATGTACAAATAAACTTTTATATGCTGTGATATTCTCTCCATCACTATGACCAAGGTATGTTAAAATTACATAGGCTGATATTCTTTCCATCATATAATTAACCTTATATACGCAGACACTCATTCCATCACTATGACACAGGTACATACCAATAGCCCTAATTACGTAGATATTCTCTCCATCACTATGACTTAGGTCCCAAATAGGAAAGTAAGTTAATATTTTGCTTCAATATGCTACTACTTCTAATGCTTGAATTGATTTCAACCATATTTGATGTGAAACATCCTTGATCGAGAGAATCACTTCTTAGATTCAGAAACTTGATTCATCCATTATTAACCTTTGGATGTGTGGGTCCCTAAATGGGAAAAAAGTTAGTCAATTTTTTGCTTCAAAATGCTACTCTTTCTTAATGCTTGAATTTATTTCAACCAAATTTTGTATAAAACATCATTTCTTAGATTCCAAAAGTTGATTATTACCCATAGGCACTTAAGGGCAGGGCCCCAAATGCCAAAGTTTGACAAGATTTTGCTTCAAAATTCTACTACTTCTTAATGCTTAAATGGATTTCATCCAAATTTGATGTGAAACATCATTGAGAGTGGGGAATCATTTCTTAAATTCAGAAAGTTGATTCAGCCCCGAATTGATTTGAGTGACCTTGACCGGCTTTCAAAATCACAGGTGTCAGATATGTTAAAATCTTTAAATGACTTTGCTCAATAACCAGATGGCCCAGTTGTTGATATTTAACCAGTAGCATGCTAGGATGTTAGGGCTACCAACTTTGTTAATATGAATGACATTGACCCACTTTTAAGGTCATAGATATCAAATTTGTTAAAATGTCTCAATAACTTCTCAATATTCAAGGTCACAAGGGTCAAATGTGTTGAAATGCTTAAACAACTTCTTCTCAATAACTGAAAAGCCAACTGAAGGATCTTGATATTGGGCTTGTAGCTTGCTTTTTCAACAAGCAATTCTTGCGGAGTAATGGCAGTTGTGTAGTGCATGTATAAAGAATATGATTTCAAGTTTGCAGAAAATGTTTTGATGAACCAATGTCTTCTTTGTGAGCTGTAGAGTATTTGAACAATTTATTTTAGGTCTATTTCGCCTCTTTCATGTGTAGGTCTTTATAGTCAGCTGACCATTAAGGCCCAGTGGCCTCTTGTTTAATTTTTTTATTGTTTTGTTGGCAGGAATTTAACCTATGCATCCTTCCAGAGTGTATATTACTGGGAGCTCACGATACACTCATCAAAAACAACGACTCTACTGATATCCTAGACAGTGAAGGCAACAAGATTCCACAAGAACCAATGTTTGACCCACTGCTACAGGCTGCCCAGCTGACACTTATACGTCATGTTAACAATATAATCAACATGCTCCCTACGCCCCACCAAGTGATTAAATATGGTACAGACTCAAAGACTGCCAAACGCACACGCTACCTAGAAAAAATGGATGACTTTTTTTCGGACACGTCGTGGTCAGATATGGTGTTTATGTTAGTTTCATCTTTGAACATTTACATTCAAACTTTGTCTACATTTCCATGGCAGCCGGAGGTGCCTGTTGAATCTCACTGTGATATTGGTCAGTTCTGTGTTTTATGTGCAGAGGTAAGTGATTTTTCTGTCTGAAATCAATAGCATTCAGCGTTTTGATTTGGTGAACATAGCTAAAATAACTCGATTGAGTGTATCTTTTCCTTGTAGACATTGGTTGCAGATTCATCCTCAAAATACAAAAAAAAAATTGTGTGGGAATATCTTGATGGTACATGGTGTGATGTCAGTCTGATGGTACATGGTGTGATGTCAGTCTGATGGTACATGGTGTGATGTCAGTCTGATGGTACATGGTGTGATGTCAGTCTGATGGTACATGGTGTGATGTCAGTCTGATGGTACATGGTGGGATGTCAGTCTGATGGTTCATGGTTTGATGTCAATGTGATAGTAAATAGTTTGATGTCTGTCTGACAGTACATGGTTTGATAAATAGTTTGATGTTTGTCTGACAGTACATGGTTTGATGTCTGTCTGATATACGTTTTGATGTCTGTCTGATAGTTCATGGTTTGATGTCAATGTGATAGTAAATAGTTTGATGTCTCTGATATTGTATGGTTAGATGCCTATATGATAGAACAATTTGATGTCAATATGATAGTACATGGTTTGATGCCTCTGATATTATACGGGTTGATGTCTGTCTGATATTGTATGGTTAGATGCCTGTATGATAGAGCAGTTTGATGTCAATGTGATAGTACATGGTTTGATGCCTCTGATATTATATGTTTTGATGTCTGTCTGATAGTTCATGGTTTGATGTCAGTGTGATAGTAAATAGTTTGATGTCTGTCTGATATTGTATGGTTAGATGTCTGTATGATAGAACAATTTGATGTCAATATGATAGTTCATGGTTTGATGTTTGTCTGACAGTACATGGTTTGGTCTAATGATGTATACGGTTAAATTGTAGATGATAGACTGGATGTTCCATCATGATTTGCTGCCAACATCCAAGCGTCTCAACAGCTGTCTGCAGTGTATGTCTCTGATACTCCAGCATCCCCAACTGTCTGTAGTGATAGGACAGAAACAGCACACCTCATGGGTTTGTGCACTTACTGGAACAGCCTACCAAACTGTTTACTCTTGTAAGTATTACAGTTGGAACTGCCAAGTTGGAAACTGTTTATGTATGGAAAATAAGGACCACTTTTGGTACATTTGAGACTTCACTCTTAATTACTCTGCTGTCAGATCACATACATTTCACAGAATGATATACATATATGTTAGCCTAATTGAGTACAGGAGAGAACTTAACTCTGTGATGGAACTGACTGATTTTGTGTAGGTTTGTTGAATATGATACTTTATTTATGTTTCAGTAATGGTGGTACCAGGAGAAAAGCTGGTGTCAACAGTGACACAAAACTCAGGGGATCATTCCAAGGAAACACTGAATGGTCAGTGTAAAATAGGAACATTTATTTACAGAGTGTCTGTGGAAAATATATATTATCTATCTTATATCTTTTTTATGCCCCCACCATTTATGGCCGGAGGCATATAGCGTTGCCCATGTCCATCCGTCCCGTCCCGTCCCGTCCCGTTGCATCGCGTCGCGTCCTGTCCCGTCCCGTCGCGTCCCGTCCCAAATCAGTATATACCGCCTAACAACTTCATTCGGACCTTTCACTATTATTTCACATGGGGGGCGGGGGCATTCATGTCTTACAGACATTTTCTAGTTATAATTTTTTTTCTTTTCAGCATGTTTTATTCATTCTTATACATTTGGTAGTATAGAATCCTACATTTGATGCAAAATTGTCACAAAATGGCTTGAACCAAATTTCTGTTTGAGTTGAAATCGTTTCCAAGTTCTGATTTTTCTTCTTTTTCATCTTTGTAGAGTTAGTTTATAAAACTCAAATTTCATTGAGTCAAAATGAATTCAAGCGATTTTTCAATCTCTTCAATTGTTAAGCATTTGAAAAGTCATTCGTCTTGAAATTGATTTTTAGGGTCATGATGACCTATAACCATCGTGCTTCGTCTGTCACTGTGCGCATCCATCATACATAGACTTTTGACATTTCAAACTTCTCAAGTTTCACCAGTAGGATTTAGCTCAAACTTGCATGCAATAATTTTGAAATGGTCCTAACCAAGTGTTGTTATTTTTCTGGTCTGTCTGAAATTCAAGATGGCTGCCGTGGCCGCTATCTTGAAAAATATATTTTAAAATTCTCCAGTTCCACTGGTGATATTGAGCTAAAAATTGGTGGGAACTTTAAGGAAAGTAGCCAACAAAGTGTTGTTATTTTTTGACCTTGACAAAACTTTGATATGGCAGCCAGGAAGGCCATTTGGTAAAATGATTGTGCAATCATGATGTTCCTGGGCAACAACTATTTCAAACTTTCTCAAGTTTCACCAGTTGGATGGAGCTCCAACTTAATTGTCAAAAAATAGATAAAACTTGTTACAGTTACCAACTCCTCACCAAAACTACCATCTGTGTCATGGAAAACAGCTTCTTAGTAAGATTTCATGCAAAGTAGAAAAATTAACCCTTCTCCCTGCTGAAGTTTTTAAAGTCAGATGACCATTAAGTCCCTTGGGCCTCTTGTTTTCTAATCATAAGAATGTCTTCTGAACATTTTTGATCAATATATATACAGATATGAAAGTCTCCTGTGTTGTAATTAACAAATGGCTAAAGCATTTCGGTCCAGAGTTATACATTACAATTGTGCTTTGTTCAGCAGTAACCAACGCTAGAAAACTTATATCTACAACATGGAAACATTTTTCATTGTCTCTTGAATTATGAGATAATGAATTTCAACTTTACATGTGTACATACTTGATAACTCTCCAGATTCATACTGGATTATGAAATATTTATACTCCAGTTTCAATTACTATTTCAACTGGTCTATTAAGTGAAATCTCTCTTAGTTATATTTTCAATTTGAAAAGGAAATTATGACAACCTCAGCAACTCAATGTAGAATTATAAGAAAATGTATTTCACTAAGATGTAATTATTCTGTTACTTGATGACTTATTCTCTTTTTTTTCTGTAGATTTGATCATTAAAGCATGTGACCAGGTATCAGAACTGGTGGAATTTTCTCAACATCATTTGTCAGGCAGGTCCCAGGTGATACCAAGCTTTTTACAACATAATCTCAGGAATATTATCACAGGTAAACCAGCTGTTTAAACTATATGTACAGCAATATTGATAACTATGTACAGGTCAGCATAAGGCAATGATATAACAAAACAATACCTGTCTCAAATGGGCAAGAAGTACCTCATCATAAACAAATGTGTGATAAATCTTATTTATGTTTACTGGCATTACATCCAACATATTTTTGAAAGGCTTTATTAATTGAAGTAAAACAGAAAGGATATAGGGTAACTGAATCACTGTGCTAAATAAGGTGACATATAGATGTCCTACCACATCATAATACTGTAAAGAGAGATAGAATGTAGGGTAACTGAATCACTCTGCTAAGTAAGGTGAAGTATAGATGTCCTACCAAGTCATGACACTATAAGAGAGGTAGAATGTAGGATGACTGAATCACCATTTAAAATACTGTGAAATATTGATGGTCCTACCAAGTCATAAAACTGTAAAAGAGATAGGATATAGGACAACTGTGTTGCTGTCATATTTTGAATAGAAAGCATCTAGTCTTTTCAAAATTGGAAAATACAGACATTAGTTGATAACTGATTTGTAAGCTAGGGTCACAGGTCTGGTTGTAGATCTTTTAAGGTCACCTGAGATAAAGTTTCAGGTGATTTATTGCGATCACATTTGTCTGTTGTCATCCATTGTCTAATGTGCAAGCATCGTCCGTTGTAAATAATTGACATTTTTGACTTCTTCCCAAAGCACAAAAGGCCCAGGATCATGGTATTGGGCCAGTAGCATACTAGGATGAAGGGCTAGTTAGTGTTTTTAAAATGAATGACCTTGACATACCTTCATGGTCACAGGGATCAAATGTGTTAAAAATCTTTAAATGACTGTTCTCAATAACACAATGACCCAGAGTCATGATATGGGCCAGTAGCATGCTGGGATGAAGAGTATCATGTTAGTTTAAATAAATGAGCTTGCTCTCCATTCAAGGTCACAGGGGACAAATATACTAAATTTCAACAACAAACAATGTTATCTGTTCTGTTAAATTGAAAATTAAGCCTTTAAACTTGGAAATGCTGGGACTGATGGGTTCTAAAACTGTCCAGATACCTGAAGACCTCAAGTGACTGTTAAGGCCCATGGGTCTCTTGTTTCTTCTGACAACTATGCTGATTGTTCCTTGTAGGTTTAGGAAGACAACCAGTACTCAACAGTTACGCCAGAACCCCGTCCATTGTCTGGAAGATGGGCTGGATACCATCACCAAATGGAGAACCTAAGACCAAGTTACCTCCCCTGCCTGTTGATTTCCTGGAAGACAAGGATGTATTGAGGGAATATGTTTTCAGGATTAACTCTCTTGGTATGACCCATAAAATCTGTTTATTTTGGTGAAATACTCACTGTCTTTTCTTCAGGTTTAAAAATGATTAGAATGGTCATGAATGATAATAAGAATATTGAGTTGATGTTGTAAGGTTCTGTAAGCATATCATGTAGCCAGCAAATAGACAAACAGTTAAGAATGGAAAGGATTGGAATAAATATTTATTTTGTTATGCTCAACTTCTTTCCTTGATAGGTTGGATTAACAGACAACAGTTTGAGGAAACATGGATGAGTTTGTTGTCTGTTGTTAATCCTGTAACAATGCCATCAAATGGTGAGGAAATGGTGGTCTCCCCTGAGGTAAGTGTTATTTTGAAGATGTATTCTCTGACTCTCCAAGAAGTTAGATGTTGTATTGCAAACAAAATAAAACAAAGTTTATTTATTTTAAACATAGGTTCTTAACTTGTCATGACCTTTTTTTTCATGGTCCAAGTGTCCTTTTACTCTACTCCTGGGCAATTTTATGGGCTGTAGACTTATGTGAAGTTCTGAAATCTTTGATATAAAAGGAAAGTTGTAAAATTGCAGACCATGTTTAGGATAATGCTTTTTTGTTTATTAGGAATAGTAGATTTGTTGACACTCTAAATTTATCATTTCAGGCATAAATCAAGATATTAATACTGGTTTAGAAAGATTTTGTGAGACTTGTTAGAAAGTTTTATAAGATCAGTAGGTTTGTTCTTATTAAACAAACAGCTTTCGTCCAACTGGTCAGACCATTAAACAAAAACTGCCCTGGATTTGAAATATTCATTTCATTCAATTAGCAGTAATTCAGACATCATTGAATTATATGAGGTATTAATATATCTGTAAATAGGAAGAGATGGAACGTGCCCAGTGTACAGTTATGGCAGTAAGAGCAATCACATCCCTCCTTATACAATCCACTCTGATCCCAGTACCAGGCAACACCAGTTACAGCTCATACGAGATCCGACCCAGAGACAAACCTCTAGGATTTCTCCATACAAGGTATGATTACTTTGTTTTAAAACAGTACAGATATACATTTGTTTCATTTATAAAATAGGCTTTTTGAAGATTTTCAAGTGAAACTGGAGATGTTTGTACCATGGTAGGACTGAGTGTTGTGGAACAGCTCCAGGAGGGGCTGCCAAAGCTCATTTGGTCTACATAACCTCAGGTAAAAACCTGAGGTGTATAGTTTGATGGTTCCTGCATGTGGCAGTTTGTGTTTTGTTATTTAGGCAAAAAGCTTGGGCCTGCAATAACTATTTTATCATATAGGTGGCCTTTTGTGTCATATCAACTGGCATTAAATAAATATCCTGGGACACTCGTGTAATAACACTGTTGTGACATCACAGTTAAGTCATTTTGTGAAGATGTCATTTTTCTTGGTAGTGGAAAACATACCATCTGAATCAATATAAGTCTGTGTTACAGAGAAATGAATTTGAGAGTTTTTTGCTTCTTTTTCAGAAATATAAGTTTTATGATAAATAGAATCTTATACTCTTTTTCATGTAATATGAAATTCATTACACTCGTTCAGTAATTTGACCATTTGAATGTCACTTGCTTAAAGGTTTTTGAGCTCATTAAATGAATTTCATATCACATTTGCACTCATGTGAGATTTTGTGTAAGTAGGTTGCTGAATTTTAAGTCATAAATCTATTGTTTGTTTTATAACCAGATGTGGGAAGAAGCTTACTGTGATACGAGGTGTGATAGAACAGGAAGTCCACAATCTTCACTGTCGTAGGTGGGTAATCAAAAAATATTTGCAGGTAGGAAACCATGGCATCATAAAATGATGTTGTAGGAAGGTAACCAGGGCATGATAACACTGTCCTAGGTAGGTAACGAGGGCATAACACTGTCCTAGGTAGGTAACCAGGGCATGATAACACTGTCCTAGGTAGGTAACCAAGGCATGATAACACTGTCCTAGGTAGGTAACCAGGACATGACAACACTGTCCTAGGTAGGTAACGAGGGCATGATAACACTGTCCTAGGTAGGTAACCAGGACATGACAACACTGTCCTAGGTAGGTAACGAGGGCATGATAACACTGTCCTAGGTAGGTAACGAGGGCATGATAACACTGTCCTAGGTAGGTAACGAGGGCATAACACTGTCCTAGGTAGGTAACCAAGGCATGATAACACTGTCCTAGGTAGGTAACCAGGACATGACAACACTGTCCTAGGTAGGTAACGAGGGCATGATAACACTGTCCTAGGTAGGTAACCAGGGCATGATAACACTGTCCTAGGTAGGTAACCAAGGCATGATAACACTGTCCTAGGTAGGTAACCAGGACCTGACAACACTGTCCTAGGTAGGTAACGAGGGCATGATAACACTGTCCTAGGTAGGTAACCAGGGCATGATAACACTGTCCAAGGTAGGTAACCAAGGCATGATAACACTGTCCTAGGTAGGTAACGAGGGCATGATAACACTGTCCTAGGTAGGTAACCAGGGCATGATAACACTGTCCAAGGTAGGTAACCAAGGCATCAAATTACGGTTCTAGGTTAGTAACCATGGAATCATGATACTGTTGAAGGTAGGTAACCAGGACATCATAGTACTGTTGTAGGTAGTAACCATGGCATCATAACACTGTCCGAGGTAGGTAATCATGGCATCATGAAACACTGTTGTAGGTAGTAACCATGGCATCATAACACTGTTGTAGGTAGTAACCAGGGAATCATAACACTGTTGTAGGTAGTAACCATGGCATCATAACACTGTTGTAGGTAGTAACCATGGCATCATAACACTGTTGTAGGTAGTAACCATGGCATCATAACACTGTTGTAGGTAGTAACCATTGCATCATAACACTGTTGTAGGTAGTAACCATGGCATCATAACACTGTTGTAGGTAGTAACCATTGCATCATAACACTGTTGTAGGTAGTAACCATGGCATCATTACACTGTTGTAGGTAGTAACCATGGCATCATAACACTGTTGTAGGTAGTAACCATTGCATCATATCACTGTTGTAGGTATTAACCATGGCATCATAACACTGTTGTAGGTAGTAACCATGGCATCATAACACTGTTGTAGGTAGTAACCATTGCATCATAACACTGTTGTATGTAGTAACCATGGCATCATAACACTGTTGTAGGTAGTAACCATGGCATCATAACACTGTTGTAGGTAGTAACCATTGCATCATAACACTGCTGTAGGTAGTAACCATGGCATCATAACACTGTTGTAGGTAGTAACCATGGCATCATAACACTGTTGTAGGTAGTAACCATTGCATCATAACACTGCTGTAGGTATGTAACCAGCATATCATAACACTGCTGTAGGTAGGTTACCAGGTTATTATAACACTGTTGTAGGTAGGTAACCAGGGTATTATAACACTGTCCTAGGTAAGTAACCAGGGTATTTTAACACTGTCCTAGGTAGGTAACCAGGGTATTATAACACTGTCCTAGGTAGGTAACCAGGGTATTATAACACTGTCCTAGGTAGGTAACCAGGGTATTATAACACTGTCCTAGGTAGGTAACCAGGGTATTATAACACTGTGGCAGATATGTAACCAGGCCGTCAGTGTTAAATTAAAAGAATCTTTAGTTTTGACAGTTTCCAAACATTTTGAATTTTAAAAATTTTCATGCGATTAAAGACAAATTATGTTTATAGCCTTATGTACTCCACTGTGTTTAAGACATAAATTGTTTTCTTGTTCGAATTGTTGGGCAATGGAAATTTCATGGCAATGTGTATCCCTCTGTTTTGTAAAATGGACAGGTAACGTTTATAGCAATGTGTATCACTGTGTTGTAGAATGGTCAGGTCAGGTTGTACTGGTGACGAGAAGGATGTACTACGATATATGTTTGACAGTAATTTGGAGAGGGAGATCATGGCCGATGATTATACCCTTGGACAGGTACGTTTTATAGATACATCTTGTTTGTGTTATTTCATCTTCTCAGATTTTTTCTGAGATCATCTGCAGATGCACAATTTATTCTCCATGATAGATGTTTATCCAGCGTCAACATTTTCCTCTATACTAATTCTTTTCAATAACTGATAGGCAGATGATATGAGTGATACAGACCCATTTAGCCTCTTGCTTTGAATATGAAATAGTGAAGGTAATTTGGAAGATGAATATTGGCATATGTGGGATATTTAACAGATTGCAATAGAAGCTATCTGGTCGATTGTGGGAGCCCTGGATTTCCACATTGCTGAATCAGACACAACTGATTCTATGGAAAGCCCAACTACAGATTCCCCTGACACACCCGGCCGGTCACGTCAACAGTTCCCACTCCTGTCATTTGAGAGAGAGCGACGAGAGCGGTCAGTTAACTTTAGTGGACTGGATATCCACTCTTGTCTCCAGTTCCTGTTAGAGCTGTATGGTCAATGGATGCTGACAACTCCCAGACCACCACTTATGCTCAAGAATGAAGTTGTCAAGTCTGTAAGTACTTCTATGTTGTCATAATGTTGTGATATCTGTGTACTTACTATTATATCTGTCTATAGTATTGGAAAGGATGTTATTTATCAGGATGGAAAAATTACTAGAGATAGATCTCTTGAAAATAAAGTTAAAAGAGAATATCTTAGCTTATTTCATGTTTTCTGTGAAAAACACATCCTTCTTTCATAAAGCTTTTTGGTAAAACTTCATTTAACAACAACTGTTATAATATTATTTTCCTATGTCTGTTTTTTTTTCATAGGATTCTCGTATCCAAATTTTGTGACCAATTATAATATATTATGCTATAATGATTATAAGCAGCACCTTTTTTTTGTGTGTAGTGCATGTGACTCATATACCAGTCGCTTATATGTGAACAAAAAAAAAAAATTGGCAGGTTGTAAAAAATAAAACAGAAACAAAAAACAAAACAGGAAGCATACCAGTTCACCAGCCGATGGTACTGATTTTTTTATGAGTGCCTACCCGTCACATGTTTGTGACTGAAACAGATACTCTAGAACCGTCATTTGCAATCTTAAACAGGATTATTTGAATATTGAAAAAAAATCACATTCTTGTGGATCTAATTAATCATATCTTTTAATATGAATCACAATAATGTCTCCTGAACTTCTGCATTTACTTTGAAGCCATAACGGAAGTTTACAATAGTCAATGGTCATCAGGTTATAGGTCAAATTCTAGAATGACCACCATACTTTTTTATGATATGAATGGCTTCATGTAATTTCCTAGAAAAAATCATGTGGGACTTAAGAATTTGGTCAGCTTACAAGACTCTGTGTTAATATTTAACAATAGAGACACAGATGGAGAGATTGTTTAGTAAACCGTACATGTCAGGCCCTATATCTGAGAAGCCCAAGCAAAACGATTTTGATATCTACTGTTTTACATTTTTAAAATACATCAATAAGATAAAGGATTATCTGCGTATAATCATTTGCAAACTTCATTAAAGGTTTCACTGATGATCTTGATATATTGCCCCCCATGGTCCGTTATATCAACAAACTTTCGTCATTGAACTTTACCACTTCCTAAGAAAGAATGTGGCTTATAATCCGCTGCTGCTTGTATGTAGATCAATTTTTAAAAACACTAAAATTGACCTTGTGGCTTATATACTAATGCTGCTTATAACCCATAAAATATGGTAATCACATGTTACAGATTTTGTGACTAGTTATATTGACCTATCATATACTCTATAACAAATTGTTGACAAGTTGTGTACATTCTGTCACAGATTGTGTGCTTATCAGACTTGTTCATGGAGAGGGAACAGTATGACTGGATGCAGGAGGTGTTATTGGACCTGTATAAAACCCATCCACAGGAAGATGAAATTCTAATGCAATATTTAAATGTTGGGATCTGTAAGGCTGCAGCAGTGGTTGGCATGGTAAGTACTTGGGGACCTGTAAGGCTGCAACAGTGGTGGGAATGGTAAATACTTAGGGATCTGTAAGGCTGCAGCAGCGGTGGGCATGGTAAATACTTGGGGATCTGTAAGGCTGCAGCAGTGGTTGGCATGGTAAGTACTTGGGGACCTGTAAGGCTGCAACAGTGGTGGGAATGGTAAATACTTAGGGATCTGTAAGGCTGCAGCAGTAGTGAGCATCGTAAATACTTGGGGATCTGTAAGGCTGAAGCAGTGGTGGGCAAGGTAAGTACTTGGGGATCTGTAAGGCTGCAACAGTGGTGGGAATGGTAAATACTTGGGGATCTGTAAGGCTGCAGCAGTAGTGGGCATGGTAAATACTTGGGGATCTGTAAGGCTGAAGCAGTGGTGGGCATGGTAATTACTTAGGATCTGTAAGGCTGCAGCAGTGGTGGGAATGGTAAATACTTGGGGATCTGTAAGGCTGCAGCAGTAGTGGGCATGGTAAATACTTGGGGATCTGTAAGGCTGCAGAAGTGGTGGTAATGGTAAATACTTGGGGATCTGTAAGGCTGCAGCAGTGGTGGTAATGGTAAATACTTGGGGATCTGTAAGGCTGCAGAAGTGGTGGTAATGGTAAATACTTGGGGATCTGTAAGGCTGCAGCAGTAGTGGGCATGGTAATTACTTAGGATCTGTAAGGCTGCAGAAGTGGTGGTAATGGTAAATACTTGGGGATCTGTAAGGCTGCAGCAGTAGTGGGCATGGTAAATACATGGGGATCTGTAAGGCTGCAGCAGTGGTGGGCATGGTAAGTACTTAGGATCTATAAGGCTTCTGCAGTAGTGGGCATGGTTAGTACTTGGGGATCTGTAAGGCTGCAGAAGTGGTGGGCATGGTAATTACTTAGGATCTGTAAGGCTGCAGCAGTGGTGGGTATGATAAGCACTTGGGGATCTGCAAGGCTGCAGAAGTGTTGGGAATGGTAAGTACTTGAGGATCTGTAAGGCTTCTGCAGTAGTGGGCATGGTTAGTACTTGGGGATCTGTAAGGCTGCAGCAGTGGTGGGCATGGTAATTACTTAGGATCTGTAAGGCTGCAGCAGTGGTGGGCATGATAAGCACTTGGGGATCTGCAAGGCTGCAGAAGTGTTGGGAATGGTAGGTACTTGAGGATCTGTAAGGTTGTAGCAGTGGTAGGCATGGTAAGTACTTGGGGATATGTAAGGCTGCAGCAGTGGTGGACAAAGTATGTACTGAGGCCATCTGGTTGGTCTATGAATAGGGTTGTCAGAATATGTGGTACTGGTGTACCTTTACATTGCAATTCCTAGAATCAACATTGTATTATACTACATTACAGTTATTGTAAATTGCCTTTAGTAAAATTGTAGATAAAATATATTCATTTGTTAGAAACAAAAAAGCTCTTAAAATGATGTTAAGTCAACAGGATTTATAGATACATAGGTCTTATTCTGACAGAACAGGATATTACAATCCTTTATCACCCTAAAATAAAAATATTGCTTTAAAACATTTCAACAGTTCAATTTTTAAAACAATATATCATGGTATGTCCTTCCTGTATATTACTACATTCAGTTTGTTAATTGTTTTAATTGGAATCCAGTTGAAGCGTACATACAATGAGACATTCCTATAAAAATGAGTAATTTAGCCACGGAAGTATTTTTAATTCCTTGCTTAAAGGTGCAATTTTGAACTCTTATCTTTACTACTAAAAAATAAAAATAAAATTAGACTGTTTATTGCTTAAAATATGTTTATTAACATTTTATTACAATAGAAAACAGCTTCTGTTTGGTTACTGTTATATGTGTTTTCGTATTGTTTATTAAGGACAATGCCACAACAGAGAAGTTGATGAAGATCATTGATGCTGGCTTCAGAAGTCCACATTTACCAAGCAGAATTGGAGCTCTGCACGGAACTCTTTATCTTTTGGAGGCAGGAATACAGGATGTTACTAAGTTACTTGTTCCCTTAGCAACAGATTTCCTGCTCAGAAATTTATCAGCAGTCAGTCAGTAAGTAAATTACAAGGTATTTTTAGTGTCATCAAAAAAAGGAGTCGAATATTGTAGGAGTTACAGGTGAAAATTTCTATTACAACACATTTCCCTCAGTATAACATCCATCTTAAATTGAAATACTGTCTATTACCTGTCATGATCTGCTTTTTGACTCACCGACTCAACAACTGAGTTCATCACCCTCTATCAATCTACATCTGGCATTGAACCACCTCCTGAGATGATCACTCACAGTGAGTCAATACAACAACAATTCTACTCTTTCAGAGTTAATCAGAAAAACTTTGGAATATAGTAAACAAACTAGTTATCTTGTAACTAGTTAAGTATGTGTACAAATTCTAAAAATGTAAGTACCATTTATAGGAATATGTACTATTTTTTCCAGTGATAACTTAAACAAACGTAGGGGAAATAGACAGTAATAACTCATATAAAGCAGTTGTATATAGATAACATATAATGATATTGGAATTGAAAGATGATATTTCATGATCCAGCCTTACAAAAGCTGGAATGTATGTTAATATTGTTCTACACGAATGCTATGTTTACGTATAGAGGAGATCATTAAATGTGGTTTGATACTGATTTATTTCAGGACCTGTATCACCAGTCAGAACTACATGCTAACTATGTGGTCAACAGCATTCTATATCATGGAGAATTATCATATAGACCTTAAAGACCTTGAGTTTCCAAGCAAGGTCCTTCAGGTAAGTCACAGCTTACTTACATTGTATTTTAACCTTGTGATGATAACCAAACAGTCTTTGTTTTTATTTGATAACCATCTTAAACCCCCATAATTTTATTGGAGGGCATATGGTGTTACTATGTCTAACTGTTCCATCCTGTCTGTTTGGAAACAATAACATTAATTGAGAACTTTCATATTTACCCCATTGTATCACAATATCAAGTTCAGCACCTGATCAGATTTTGGTTTTCATAATCAAGAGGGGAATGTCTTGTAGATATTTTGCAAAATTTAAAGTATGTATTTACATGATCATGATTTCCTCACAGTCTGTAGGTTTATACCTGGTGACATTTGATTCCCTCACAGTCTGTAGGTTTATACCTGGTGACCTTTGATTCCCTCACAGTCTGTAGGTTTATACTTGGTGACCTTTGATTCCCTCACAGTCTGTAGGTTTATACCTAGGGACCTTTGATTCCCTCACAGTCTGTAGGTTTATACCTGGTGACCTTTGATTCCCTCACAGTCTGTAGGTTTATACCTGGTACTGTTTGATTCCCCCACAGTCTGTAGGTTTATACCTGGTGACCTTTGATTCCCTCACAGTCTGTAGGTTTATACCTGGTACTGTTTGATTCCCTCACAGTCTGTAGGTTTATACCTGGTGACCTTTGATTCCCTCACAGTCTGTAGGTTTATACCTGGTACTGTTTGATTCCCTCACAGTCTGTAGGTTTATACCTGGTACTGTTTGATTCCCTCACAGTCTGTAGGTTTATACCTGGTGACATTTGATTCCCTCACAGTCTGTAGGTTTATACCTGGAGACCTTTGATTCCCTCACAGTCTGTAGGTTTATACCTGGTACTGTCTGATTCCCTCACAGTCTGTAGGTTTATACCTGGTGACCTTTGATTTCCTCACAGTCTGTAGGTTTATACCTGGTGACCTTTGATTCCCTCACAGTCTGTAGGTTTATACCTGGTACTGTTTGATTCCCTCACAGTCTGTAGGTTTATACCTGGTGACCTTTGATTCCCTCACAGTCTGTAGGTTTATACCTGGTGACCTTTGATTCCCTCACAGTCTGTAGGTTTATACCTGGTACTGTTTGATTCCCTCACAGTCTGTAGGTTTATACCTGGTGACCATTGATTCCCTCACAGTCTGTAGGTTTATACCTGGTGACCTTTGATTCCCTCACAGTCTGTAGGTTTATACCTGGTGACCATTGATTCCCTCACAGTCTGTAGGTTTATACCTGGTGCCCTTTGATTCCCTCACAGTCTGTTGGTTTATACCTGGTTACCATTGATTCCCTCACAGTCTGTAGGTTTATACCTAGGGACCTTTGATTCCCTCACAGTCTGTAGGTTTATACCTGGTACTGTTTGATTTCCTCACAGACTGTAGGTTTATACCTGGTGACATTTGATTCCCTCACAGTCTGTAGGTTTATACCTGGTGACCTTTGATTCCCTCACAGTCTGTAGGTTTATACCTAGGGATCTTTGATTCCCTCACAGTCTGTAGGTTTATACCTGGTGACCATTGATTCCCTCACAGTCTGTAGGTTTATACCTGGTGACCTTTGATTCCCTCACAGTCTGTTGGTTTATACCTGGTTACCATTGATTCCCTCACAGTCTGTAGGTTTATACCTGGTGACCTTTGATTCCCTCACAGTCTGTAGGTTTATACCTGGTGACCTTTGATTCCCTCACAGTCTGTAGGTTTATACCTGGTGACCTTTGATTCCCTCACAGTCTGTAGGTTTATACCTGGTGACCTTTGATTTCCTCACAGTCTGTAGGTTTATACCTGGTGACCTTTGATTCCCTCACAGTCTGTAGGTTTATACCTGGTGACCTTTGATTCCCTCACAGTCTGTAGGTTTATACCTGGTGACCTTTGATTTCCTCACAGTCTGTAGGTTTATACCTGGTGACCTTCGATTCCCTCACAGTCTGTAGGTTTATACCTGGTGACCTTTGATTCCCTCACAGTCTGTAGGTTTATACCTGGTGACCTTTGATTCCCTCACAGTCTGTAGGTTTATACCTAGCTACCTTTGATTCCCTCACAGTCTGTAGGTTTATACCTGGTACTGTTTGATTCCCTCACAGTCTGTAGGTTTATACCTGGTGACCTTTGATTTCCTCACAGTCTGTAGGTTTATACCTGGTGACATTTGATTCCCTCACAGTCTGTAGGTTTATACCTGGTGACCTTTGATTTCCTCACAGTCTGTAGGTTTGTACTTGTGATATTTCATTTCATTACCTTAATTGCCACTTTGCATTTGTAATTGTTGACCTCTATCTCACATTTTTTATCCTTTAACTTTCTCTGTCTTACTGTTTGTACTTAATGACCTTCACAATTCCAAAGTCAAAGCCAATCCATAAGAAACCTCCTGTTTGTACACCAACAGTTTTTGGACCAAATTCTTGGTCTGTATAGAGATTTCTCATGAATTGCCCATCATTGCTGACCATCTGTATTGACTTGCTGGTTCGTTCAGCAATGAACAGTTGTCCAGCCACATCATAACATGCGTCTGTAGGCCAGAATGTTGAAATAGACTCCTTTTTATTCCTCCCACTCCTGGCAGATGTTGTCCTGGATTTCCCAGACCTCAGAGCTTTTGTTCCTGTGGTGGGTCCACGGTACTGGAATAGCAGCTGAAGTTCAGAGGTCAACACAGTCACAGAGGGGTTTCCCTTGCCCTCATGAGATTGTTCATCCCAGTCCACAACAGCAATGTTCCTGGAGACAGGACACACACTGATGTGTTGTGGTGAGGCTATGAGTTGACGACCAAGCTTGTCTGATGAAGCTGTGAATAACTCATCTCCCTCCTTGTTGTAAACACACACTTTACGAAATGTCCCAACAATAACCTTCTCATCCTGGGTGAGGGCAAGTGCACGTGGGACAAAGGGGAGATTAAGTCTGACTACTGTATTGGTGGGCGTGGTCATCTCGCGTATGCTATAGTCATACTCACTACAGCACCACAAGTTGTTGGTGACAGGAGAGGTGCAGATGTCCCGGATGTGGAGACCCAGACCTGTGCTCTGTTTGACATCCCCTTCCCTGTCCAGGAGGATCACCTCCTTCTTTTCTTCATTACTAATCCAGCTGTACACATCCTCTGTTGGCACAAGGGAGGTAATGTCTGTCAGATGACGAAACTCGGACACAATGCTGTACAGGGCTTGACTAGGCACAGGTTTCTCCACCTTTTTAACTGTCTGTGGTTTCACTGGGGACAGCTGTTTGGGCCTATACCCTATGATCTCTATACCACCAAAGGCAGACTCCAACAGGGGTAAAGGAGAGTTACCCATCTTGTACTTGGTTGTCTGGGTGATAGGAACTCGTGGAAGCTTGAGTCCTGCACGGATTGTTTTCTCGGAATCAAGTACAATAGAGAAGTCCTGACTATCGTTGGCCTGATGACACTTGCGGAGAGCATAGATTAAATCTGTGTGGAGACGACTCAGCTCTCCACGATAGTACTCAATGTACACTGTATTTTCTTTAGCAACCTCTGTGATAGTGGAAACATGACGTTGTGTGATTTTGTCAATCTCTGCTTTAAGTTCCTCTCCTCTCTGTTGGACTACACCTATCAACTCCTGATAGTGTTTTCGATTCTGTTCAAGTTTACCTTCAGCAAATTTTAATTCTTTTAAGATTTTTGGAATCTCAAATTTCTCAGCTTTCACTATGTAGTGCTCTATCAGTTTTTTCCAGACAAAGTCAGGAGTGTTTTTGAGCTTGACCAGAGTGTGGCCTTGGTGTGTGGAGGTCACACACTCGGGACATGCAAGGCTGCCATCACAATCAGTACAGCTGTAGCACAGTTCCTCATGTGGATGGTGCTGACATAGGGACACAGTCTCCTGTCCTGGGTTCAGGGGTTTCTTTATAGACATGTTGTGTGAGGAAAGTTAGATCTCAATAGTTACTCCTATCACATCGTCTCTTGGTATAATCTGTAAATATAAAATGGATGTGCTTTTGTATGAAGGCATTGTTATTAGTTCACCTGCCCAAAGTTCAGGTGAACTTATGCAGTGGTTTTCGCCGTTCATCTGTCCCTTCAAACAATAACCAAAAGGCCTTGGGTACTAATATTGGGCCTGTAGCACACTAGAATGAAGGGCTACCAAGTTTATTCAAATGAAAAACTCTGACCCACTTTCTGGAATGGGATTTTAAAGTTTGCAGAAATTGACTTAAGAAATGGCCAAAATGATATTGTTACATGCAGGATTTTTAGATGGAAAAAAAGAACAACATTATCAGTAAATTGTCAGTAATTTTAAAGATTTCACAGTGCATGTTGTTATTTACATTACAAACAAAGGAAGATTTATGATGTTGTGCATCTCTATGTTGGCTGGCATATATAACAAAAATATTTAATACACAAATTTTCTTTATATCCAGCTTATTGCCTCATAACATAAAGTTCATCATATGAATTTGGTGGTCATTAGTCAAAGTTGAAATAAAAAGCATACTGTGTATTTCATGAGTACATCAACAAAGTTAGTTCATATCAGTAGGAGTATAGTATACGGCATATCCTGTATCACATGTACATTAATAGTCATCACTTTATCTCAAAATATCACCTTTTGTTGTTTTGATGATTTCAATTATTTGTTCATAACAATGCATTTGCATATCTAAAATGATTCTTTCCATAGAAAAACTTAAAATGTAGTGATTTACATATTACTTTGAGTATGAAATACACAACTGATAAGTGTGAGCTTTAATTGATCTTTTCATCACAGGATATTGTCTTGATACAAATTAGTACCATTCAAGTTTTTGACTTTGTTGTACTGTACCTTTCATCTTTATGTAAAAGTGCAGAGTGACTAGTTTAATCCTACATCACAGATCTTTTCCAGATTAGAAGTTTTACATATCGTCCTTGTGTGAGACAACATCAGCCATAGACTGAAGCTCTGTAGGTTTGATTTAAATGTC